TTATATAGTAGTATAACGTCGCCTATAATAGCTAATATAGGAAGCTATAAGCTAGGTTTAGTATACGTAAGTATATACGTCAACTAGCTTATAAAGCAGCTTATAAATCAGACTAGAATCTTCTTTAACTAAATAGACTTTTAGATAAGGTTAAAGAGAGTATTCCATAGGGATCTGAATGTCATATGTTTAAACTAGCAAGCAGCCATTCTTAGCTAGTTACTTTTGTAAGTCCTACTAAGTCTTAGATAAGACTAAATAGGATAAATAAGTAAAATAGAAGTATAATATACTTATACTTCTAACAAGTTCTAAGCAGAGTAGCATCCCTCGAGTATAATTACGAAGGTAGCTTTTTCGGTTCTAGTTAGTTGCGGAAGAGGTCTTCTTTCGTAATAGTATAGCAGGTTAACTAGTCTGCTAGGATCGTAGCGATCCTATTGCTATTAATTGCTATTATAGTAAAATAAGTAGTAACCTAGAATTAACTATCGCTACCGGTCTCTTCCTCTTTGTTACTTTTACTAGTTTGTTTAGTTACGTAGTAGTATTGCTAAGGGTCTTCGGCGGTAGGTTATAAGTCTAACCCGTCGAAACCCTCGTATTAGACGAGAAATTAGCTATATGCTAGAAGTAACATATCCTAGGCATATTAAGTAGTTTTAAACTTCTTATACGCTTTTCGTCTCTCTTCTATAGTATGTTTGGTTGACTAGCAGTTAGGTTTTCTATATACGTAGCACTTCTTAGGCGTTAGCAGTAATAAGGGTCTGTTACGGCTTCTTCCTCGTAATAATCGACTTCGTAATAAACGACTATATCGTAAATAACGCCCTCGACCGTTAAAAGTTCTATCAGTCTAGTACTACTCTAGTAGGTTAGCTACTATATTAAATTATTATTAGTTAAGACGGGTAGCTATCTCGATCGACGAGATTAATTAGCTACAAAGTCCCTCGTACGTCTTAGCTAGTATAAATAACGCTATTATATACTCTAGAATATCTCTACAAGCGTATAGAAGTTAGGTATAGAGGGATCGGTCGTTATAATCCTATTATAGCAAACCAGGCTAAATCTTACTTAATTTATTATATAGTATATTAAAATACTCCGATTTAGTCTTTCTAAGGTTATCGCGAATGATTTAGGGAAGAGTAGTTATATTCTACTACGTAACGTACGCTTATTGCCTTTCCCTAGTCTCGAAGTATAATTTCAATTAGTTAATCATAGTCTCGAAGTTAGGCTATAGGTTAATTACTTTAATCAAGGCGTAGAAGTAGGTTTTAGCTATTCCTTTCAGTATTAGGGGAAGTGCCTTGTTATATTAAGAGGTATAAATTCCTAGCATTCTATAGTAATCTACGAATACTAGCATCTTCTTTTCGAGTATATCGTATATATCGCCGCTATATTTTATATCGTCGGGGTATAGTTTCGCGAATTCTGTTAATTGCTTTCCGATACGGTCTATTAACTCGTATAGTTAGAAGTCTATTAACGGAGAGACCGTAAGATATAGCGGTCGGTATAGTAGTTACTACTATTATTATTCTTATAGAGGAGGTAGCTATAAGGTTAGTTCGACTCTTCCTCCTATACTATTAGCTACTATTGCCGGTCTCGTAATCTCTTCGTAGAATTCGGGGTCTTTTATTAAAGCCTTTAGGTTGCGATATCTCTTAACGCCTTATTCGAGTTCTTAAGGTAACTAGTAGTAGAATTCTTCCTTTTTAAAAGCTAATGCTATGTTTTTCGAGATTTTCTTACTATCTATTTCGACGTAGACGCCGTTACTAATTAAATAGTCTCTAAAGAATCGTAGGATTAGGGGAGGTATATTCTAAAAGTCTTCTTCTAACTAGTCGGCGAAATCGGGAGAAACTTCGTTCTATAGCTCGAGGCTTGTAAGATTCCTCTTCTTATAGGTCTTAAGTAGGAAACCTATATAGGAACCTAGTTGCTATAGGCTAGCGTTTATAAGGTCGATTGCCTAGTTGCCTTATACTGCTAGATCGATTATACTTTCGATTCTCTATAGGATAGGGACTATTGATTAGCTTTTAGTAGTAACGCTGCTTATAAGCAATCCTTCTCGTAAATTTCGCTTTATTCTAACAATATAAAAGGATTACTTCTATTTAGAATCTTAAATTCTAATCCTTAATAGCGTTAGCTACGATTAGTATAAGATATAAGCTTAGAAGTAAGAGTTAAAAGACGATTCGGGATATTACGATTCTAAGGGGAAAGAATCGTAAAATCGGGGATTTTCGTCGGTTCGTCGTTTATTTCCGTCGGCGCCGTTCTCGCTAATATTCTTAAAAGGTATAAAGGTATATATAGGTCTCGAATTAGTAAGGAGAAAGTTCTACCATAGATTCTCTTATAAATCTCTCTTTCTCGCTTCAGGCTTCGCTCCTTACTATTAAGAAGTTTAGAATCTAATAGATAGTTAGCTTTATAACGCTTATAACTACGTGCGTTTCTCCTAAGCCGTAGCCTCGGAGGCGTATACGTATAGCTATATAGGCGGATTACTACTAGTAGTCTTTGCTTGCCTTTCGGCGTATTCTTCTTCTAGTAGGGAGGTCTCTTATAGCAGGCGCCTTGCGGTTAGCACCTCGTCTAAGGATTTATTAAGAAACTAGCAGGCGCTTCGTAATTAGCACCGCGCGTAGGGGATAGTTATAGTTAAGGAAGTTATTATCCTTATAAGATTCGTAAATCTTCGCCTTTATAACGTAAAGAGGTTAGAAGACCGTCGATTCGGTAGGTCTCTTCTTCTAGTAATTAAAAATACGTAATAGAACGCTCTTGCTAGCGATAATTAGCTACGATTAACCTTATCCCGCCTAAGGTAAGCATAGTAGTCCTTAGGTTACTTAAATAATCGGATTGCTAGTAGATTCGAGGAAAAGAAGCTTTCTTCTACTAGTTTCCGTAGATCTTAGTTACTCTCGCTTCTTCTCTCGTTAATACGAAATCCCTACTTTTACCTAGGCTTAGGTATCTAGTTTAAGAAGTCGTCTCTTCTAATATTAACCTTGCTAATCTACGGTTTATCCGTAGCAAAGTAGTAATTATAAAGTTAACTAAATTAATAGCAACTATAAGGTTTACTACTAATCAGTATAGGTTTCACAAGGGGTGAAACGGAATTCCGTTTGTCAAATAATAAATAATAGTAAATTAGTTCTAATCGATAGTTTATAATAGTTGAAAGTAGTGTTGTTAACTAGAAGGTAGGGATATTCCCCCTTGGCCTGTCACGTGGGTCTGGGAGGCTTGGGCCTCTCAGCCTGGCGGGCGTGTGGCTGGAAGTGCCACACGACTCCGTATTCCAACTATCGCAACAATGAGACTGTCTAACTAAACCAATGTCTGATGTTTACATGGAACTTCCACATGCGGATGCGACGATGGAAAATGTGGCGTTAACACAGTGAACGTTTGTGCTCACGGACAACATGGGGTTCCGGTTTGGAGGGCCGATGCCACTTCCTTGATTGTATTTTCACTGAAGGATTCTTCCGTACACTATTAGTTTTGGCTTCCACGTTGGTGTAGAATAAGCTGGTCCTGCCACTGCAAAATATACCTAAAAGCTTGATGTTGGCATTGATCACCGAAGGAAATTGTACACATTATTTAAGGGGTTTAAGAGTTTTCCCACGTGACTACAAGCTGTTGAAATATGTGCAAATGCTCACGAGGTCTACGAGGAAAGATGAGAGAAGGAAACTTTGGCGCTTGAAAGTGTTGTGATTCAGGTGGTTTAGCTTTCATCCATGAAGAGGGAGCCACCAAGAAAATTCTCCCATAATTATGAGTTCTCTTTCGGGCTAGTTTTGCCGGATTTTTCTTTCGAGATTCACGATAAAACTGCTGCGCTTTATACTGGCGCTTTCTTAGGCCAAGATGGTGGATACAAGCAAACAGACAGAAGCATATAAAGACTCACCAGTACGTGTTCATGATAAAGGAATAACAGTTTAAACATGACTTGCTGAAGCTCGCTTGAAGCCAGCAAAATCGAGGCAATTGGCGACAAGTACCTTGCTTCAGCGCAGCTAAGATGCCGTAAGATTTACCCCAAATCGCATCAGTACCTCCCTCGGCTGGATAATTAGCTCAAATGATATATCCGAATCAAGAAAGACGTCAGAGGGAGCATTTTGACGGATCTGAATTCGGTTGAAATCCATGGTACACGTCGACACCAATTCAACCAAGAGCCGACAAATATCCATATTACCCTTGAGGCCACATAAACAGAGTGTAGCGGCCCGGCACGTGGCCCACATTGCGGTAGAACTCTCGGGAAGGGAAGCCGAATCTTCCAGTCGGGGGATCTTGGCCCTACTTGGCAATTTATGCATGTAGGTTACTCTCAGCGAACCAAATGCCTGTCATCAGCCTGGGACGGACTCTAGTACCAGAAAGCTGTTTATTGTAAACAATCTATCGGACACGCTCCTTACCCCAAATTTCCCCATGTTTGGTGTTGTGAACTTCCATGCCACGTCGATCATACCCCGAACAGGCCCTCGGACGGAGGATTGTGTCTTCGTCGAACTCTTGGCTGCGCAGAGCAGTTGCAATATCCCATGGTATCTTTCGTTCCGTTCCTGAGATGGCGATGGGAGCTCCGTGACGGGATCGAAAACCAGCATCAATTACATAAAGGTCATGGAAACTTTTCACAGGTATAAAGGTCCGCAAGATGTTGACTCGATAATCGTGCGAGCTTTCCTGTCTTCAGCAAGCCTCGCAGTTCAGCAATAGACATAGACCGTTTTGATTGTTCTTTGCTGTTGTTTCAAAATGCATCTTACTTCAGTTATCACCATTCTTTCCGCCCTGAGTGTTGTCTCAGCGTCGCCCCGTTTCGGTGCCAAAGGCCATCACTTTCGTCGCCAGTCCCCCGTGGCAAAGGGCACCAAGAACCCATTCGAAGGCAAAAAGCTATACGCCAATCCAGACTGGGCTGTGAAGCTTGAACAGACCTACGAGTCGTTTGTTGCCCAAGGTGACGCCGAGAACGCTAGTAAAGTTCGGACAATTCAAGACATTGGTAGCTTCGTCTGGATCTCCAACACAGCTACCCTAGGTGATATCGACACGGCTATTGAGCGTGTGCGTGCGATCAAGAAGGAAACCGGGGAGGACCAGGTTCTCGGCCTGGTGCTGTACAATCTCCCTGACAGAGACTGCAGCGCCGGCGAGAGTGCGGGTGAGTTTAGCAGCGAGAAGAACGGACTGGAGCTATACAAGGAAACGTACATCAAGCCATACGCTGAGAAGCTGGCTGCCGCGAGCGATGTTACGTTTGCTGTTGTTTTGGAGCCAGACTCCCTTGCGAACTTGGTGACGAACTTGAACATTGAGTTCTGCGCCAAGGCTGCACCGATTTATGAGGAGGGCATTGCGTATGCAATCTCTCGCTTGCAGTATGATAATGTCAACCTGTACATCGACGCTGCCCATGGTGGGTGGCTCGGTTGGGATGACAACCTGGCACCATGTAAGTCATGAACTTGTCCATCTTTCTGGAAATTCTTACTGACAAAATGCGATAGCGGCCAAGCTGTTTGCCAAGGTTGTCCAAAAGGCTGGCAACAGCACCAAAATCCGTGGCTTTGCAACCAACGTCTCCAACTACAACCCTTTCCACGCCAACCCTCGGGCCAACTACACTGAGTGGAGCAACTCCTACGACGAGAACAACTATGCACTCTCCCTTTCTCCTCACCTTGAGGCCGAGGGTTTGCCTTCCCGATTCATCATCGACCAGGGCCGTGTTTCCAACAGCAGAAAGGAGTGGGGTGAGTGGTGCAACGTTTACCCTGCCGGCTTTGGAATTCAGCCTGGCACGCCAGTCAACAACACTCACATCGATTCTATTGTTTGGATCAAGCCTGGCGGTGAGAGTGACGGACGCTGCGGACTGGAGGGCGCACCAGCGGCTGGCCAGTGGTTTGATGAGTATGTTCAAATGCTCGTTAAGAACGCCGACCCTTCCATCGTCGCGAGCAAGGCTCGGAAGTAGATGGCGAAAGGCATATGAGCATTGATGACCAAAGGCCAAGAGTGATGAACAACAGTGATCTGCAACAGGTTCGAATTTCGATGCGACTTGACCAAACTAGCAGTATGAATTTTTCAAGTATGTATTTTTTTGAATGCACATACACTTATAGGCTCCACGTCATATAGCTATGAATCAAAATAGAGAGAATTAAAAGCAGATTCTTGAAGCTCTAAGCTTTCTCCTTTGAAAGTCCTCCATATCGGTTGCCGATTTTACCAAAGCCTCTTCCATCTAATCTTGACATCACGGTCAGGGGGTACAGCGGCATTCAAGAAATACGTCTCATTGTCCTTCGCTGCTCTGTCGGACTTTTTGCCGTCCATGTGAGTCCACTCTATGAGCTCCATGTCAAATCGTGTTACCAGTGTCGCAACCGTAAGTAAAATCTCTTGTTTCGCGAAGTGTCGTCCGGGGCACATGGAAACCCCGCCACCTACACAAAGAGAAACTGTCAGTTGCCGTGCACATGGAAATGGGGTAATTGGATATGGACTTGGTTAGACATTCACTTACCAAAAGGGAAGAAATCACTCGGTTTTCCAGCCATGACGAATTGCTTTTCGGTAGTTGTTTTCCCTGTAGCTTCATCTTCTTTCTTCACGTATTTAACGTGTCTCTCAGCCCAGAACTCGGATGCCGGATGGCCTTCGCGGGCCCAAACTCCATCGTCAAAGTGACCGAGGTTTGTCGGTGCCTGAATTAGAGAGCCCTTCTTCAAATGGAAGCCATCCATAACTGTGTCTTCCAGAATTTCCCGCGTAATGGCAATCGAAACATGCAGGCGCATGCACTCGATGAACACGGATTGCATAAGAGGCATAGATACGAGTTTCTGTGCGTCAAAATCTCGTCTTCCGGTTACTGGATCAGTCACCAAAGCTTGAACGGCCTCGGCACGAATGGCTTCATAAAGGCTCGGGTCCTTGAGAAGCTCCATCATGTACCAGGTTGTCACTGGTACGGTGTTGGAGTTGACGCTGTTAAAAATGTGAGCATAGAAATGCTGTGGCTGGAGCGACACACAAACTTACGCAAATATTGACATGAAGAAGAATGCTGCGCGAGACTGCAAAGTCATGCCGGAATCGTAAGCCCATTTCTGAAGCTCCCGCGAATGCCTAGATCCAAGCGCCGGCTCCCAGTAGGTGTCTGGACTGAGACCCTCCCAGTCGAAAGTGGGAAACACCTCATTCAAGTATTTTTCGGACATTCGCGCAATCTTATCACGCTCTTGCGCCGGTTTAGGATTCAACCATCTCGGCAAACCATTCAACAACTGGAAAGAGCCGCTATCAAAGCGCCAAAACTGCTCTGAAAAGTCAGGAACTATCTCCAAGAGCCGTGTACCGCACAAAGACTTGATGGCGCTTTCGCCCATGTCTTTCCTCAAGTACTGAAACAACTGGACGGTAGACCATTCACCGAGCGGATGCTTCGCCAATGCTTCTCCAAGGAATTCTGTATACTTGTTGGCCAGATGCGCCGTGTTTTCGGTTAGAGAAAGATTTGTCGTGCTCAGATGATGCAGGGTATACCAGTATCGCTGCTCAGTAGGCACATTTTCGTGTCCAGGTGCTGCCGCCTTCAATCGTCCTGACTTGTCGTTGACGAACTTGGCGACATCTTCTTTTGAAGTACCCTGGAGGTCTTTGAATACCATGAGAATGAACTTGTCAGAGCTCATGGTTGCTGATTTACGGAACATGGTCTGGACTTGCTGTCCTCCCTTGATGAGGTACATCCGCACCGGGCCGAGGCGGAGCTTGACGATGTTGCTAGTTTCCAGAGCATGGCTTTCGGATTGCAACAGTCGATATCAGACATGACTTGTAACACAGAATCAGAACGGAGATGTCCAAAATACCTTGCACGTTTCATAAAGTCCCTTGCATTCGTCATGTATTGGTACGTGTTGGTAACGAAAGGAATCGTATCGGCCAAAGAGGGGGGTTCATCTTTGCTGCGCTGGCGGGACAAGAAAAACACGAGCGGCAAGACGAGTATGGCACCCGCCAGAGCCAATTGATTCATGGTGATACTCATGATCGCTGGCTATGGCCACCATACGATCAATGGTACAGTTACGTTTAATTGTTGTGTGGCTGTCAGCGAAACGTGTGCGGGGTGAATCTTTTTGTGACGCTCAACGCCAAACTTTGTTTAGGACTGGCGCGGATCCTTCAGCTAATGCATCACATGATTTGACACAAGATTGTAGTCGGCCAGTATCACCTGAACTGGCACCATAACCGATGCCAAAACTGCTGCCTAGATGGATGCTTAGATTGGTTATTTTGAGCTTATGGTAAAGTAAAGCAAGCCTTGTGATTGGAGAAAGGCAGTCATTTCCAAGTACGCTACGCCAAAAGTAAGGACAGGGGTGATGCTGTGCCTGAAATCAGCGTGTTATCGCTGACCTTTCACAGGTTTGTTATAGGGCTCTTCATGTAGCTGATCCTGCGCTACGGCATGGTTGGTGGGGCGCTGAGAGTGCGGCTGAATGAGTGCATCACGCTGGAAGTGAACATATTGAATTGCACGCTTGACATCAACCATTTTGTGCCGCAATTGGTACAATCGTAGTGAGATGTTCTGTTTTCCTTCTTCTAGGGCAGATTCTGAATGTTCTAGCTAGTTGTTAAAGTGGGGGAATGGTCCATAGTGACAATTAGCAATGGCAGAGGAGACCCTAAGAACGAACAAAAATCAAAGTTGCTGTCGAACAAGTCCATGATTGAACGGTTTTGAATTATCTACAAAGCAAAATTCTCATTATACAAAGATTAAAAAGTTGTTTGATGGCTTTCAATTGCTCATGGTTTCTTTTTCGTGTAAAGCAACCCCTCCCACTATGCAATACTGGTTGGAATAGCCTAGACATGGGCAGGCTATTCGAGGTCTATCAGACTGCTTCTCTCTTATGACATTTGGACATTATATTGCCCTGGATAAACACTCTTATACTTATTGCGATCCCAAAATCGAGCTTCACAACTTCCAAGGTCAACCATCTAGTTGAAAGAGCCAATTACTATAAGCTGTTCGCAACAAATATTCAACCCAGTCTTTGTAATAGCAGCGACAACGATTGCCAGTTTCTCAGTGGTTATATCGAATGTCAATCTCGCCAAGATTCACAGAAAGTTATTTACCAAACTTTGGCCATTAACAATCAGATACTTCTTCTGAAAGGCTGAACATTCTAAGGAAAGGTTTTAAAATCTTGTCCTGCAGAAGAACCACGCAACCCCGAAGCGTGCCAGATAAGTTGTGTGTTCAACCGCTTTGAGGGCATTGACTGGCTGTTTCTAAGAATGAGAGACTTCTGGCTGTTTACCAAACCTTTTACCAATGCAAGTAGCAAAACAAGAATGAACTTTTTACTCAAGGGAAGAAAATCCTATTAGGTATGCGATACCCGAGGTTGTTAAATGGCCAATCTAAGCCCAAGGTGCACTGCCACGTATAAGCAAGTAAGTAACAGATATTGCATACTACCTCTGACATGCAATCGACTACAGCAAAGACTGAATCGATAAGTCTGCGAAACTTACTACTCAGCAGAGTTTATCATACCAAGTCCTCAAAAGTAAACGTTATATCAATACATGCATAGGATGAAAAGATTCCAACGTGTAATTGATTCGTCATTTCTCCATCTTATCATGAAGAATTTGTTTTGACTGTGCAGAGTTCCCAGACAACGTGTCGATGATTAAGGGAGTGCTAATCAATTGATGTTATCTAGACATCATCAAACTAGAAATTTGTTGAAACAATGCGTAGAACAAACCCATCAGACTACAAATACCAAGCCTTTGCAAAAGGCTGAGCGGATTAGCCCGGTGAGGCGCAAGATGGGAAAGAAATTCAGTTTGAACGGGGGAGTAGAAGCGGAATATGTCATATTCTGACCGATCACCACCCTTGCAGGGCTCCACGACCAAGCTGATGAGAGAACATGTTACTGAAACGGGTATTTTCCTTCCTGAACAAGCTATGAAATTATTTCAGTCCATGCATCTTCACGGTGGAATTTGCCATATCACCTTCCAACGGGACTGTATCCCCACACTATGTTAGAACAGCCTCGCTATTGACTTGAGTCCTAATTAAAAAGCCCCTTTTCCCCCCTTCAAAAATACATGAAACTGCAGCGATGTATCTCTTCTTGTGGGTGCAAGCGAGAATGTCTCCGCCAGGCCGTTGCCAGTTGAACAGAAGTCCCTTTCTTTTCCACCATTACAACTGCGCAATCGACGCATAGAAGTACAATCTTGAAACCTCTCAATATTCTGCACTAGGTTTGATATTAGCGTACCGTCGCCAAGTGCCCGTGGGGTTTCAAGCAGCATGGGGGATCGGTAGGATAAACGGTGGTTGGATGAAGTTTGCCCGCTTAATCAGCTGATTTTAATGGAGATTGACCCGCCGCCATGACTGAGGCCAGTTAGTAGCGAATAAAGACTTCATTCTGGCGGCCTCGGGTATGGTCCGTGTGAAAACAATTGATCAGTCAACAGAAGCCGAGTCAGGAACCTGCATCAGCAGGCAGGGGTAGGCATCTTGCGAGGGTTCAAGGAGTTCGACCAATCTGGCGTACTACGTAGTATGCATATTAACCTGTCGAATGGGTCATGTATAGCAAGTGGATCATGGATCGGCAGTAATCCCGTTTCGAGATAGCGGCTCTACGGCATTCGGCAGTTGAGACGTTCTTTTTGGATGGTCGCAAATATCAAACATCAAGTAGGTATTATGTGGTAATAATCAGATGTTTAAGTGTTTTCGACAGTAGAATATCCGTATTGCTAAGTAACAAAGTCTACAACTGTCATGTTGTATTTTGAAACCTTGGCGATTAAAGAGTTCTCACGGTGTCAACAGCATGATGGATTATTCTTCACCTCCATGGTGGACACATTTCCGTATTTGAAAGCACCCCGGCATCCATGCCCGTGCTCTCCAAGTCCATTATCTTTCCGGGTATCTCGTCATCTCCACCGCATTCGACCCAAGTTGCAGTATCGGCAACGCCGTCTTATAAACATAAACTCGACTTTTATTCTGGTCAAAATGCCCGGCCAGAGGTTGCTTGAGGGTTTAGGGGCTCGGGGGTAGCTCTTGAGATGGCGTACTCCGTAGTGACGTGGATTTTGTTGCGTTCTTCATGTCTCCGTGCCTACATAGAGTGGTGCTTGTTATCTGTAACCACCTCGGTGTTGCTTATTCCTGAGGAATTGTACGGGCTCTGAGGCTGCTTGCTTGAGTCGATTGAAGCTTCTTCGCCTCCATAACCAGTCCCCTTCTCGACGGAGTCAGTGACGATGTGTTCTTTAGACCCCCAGGCGGTGTCGTTCGGAAGAGAAAGAGGGTGACTTCGAGGCCCCTTTTTCCCTGGATAGCTACCCAATCGGTATCCTTGGCTGTCGCCCATAGTAGTGCTTTTGTTTGTGCTGGCGTTTCGACTCTTGTCAATGACGCTCTTGAAGAGGGGGTACACCATGGGCATATTTGTGAGCACGACAGAAACGAACGATTCACGGACAGACCAGTAGCCCGATTGTGCACTATCTGTCTCGCCAGCCTGAAAGTTCAATGTTAGCAACTGTTGAGAGATATGGAAATGACGGTATGACTTGCTGTAAGAATAGACACACAGCGTAGAATTCCAAAAGCCATCTCGAGGAAACCACCGCTGAACATAATGAGAAGGGTGATCTTCTTCCTCCACGGCAAGTGGGACTTCCAAACCATCTGCGTCTTGTTAGCTCACCGGCTTCAGTAAATAGAAACATATCAGATTTGGCATACCGGTAGGGGAATCGCCATTAGATAAAAGTCGGTAACGGTGTTCATAGCCATAACGAAGATTGTTTGGATAAAGGAAATAGCGGGTAGGCATGAGTCTGCTGACGTTTAGTGGCGGAGATCTCTAGACATTGAGGCGCACAACTTACTGCCCGGGTTGGGATTAATCTGCCACTGATGGTCGAACGGTATACATTTGAAAAAGGCAACGAATAGACAAGCGATATAGGTGGCAGGCATGATTATTATGGCCCAGAAGATGATGCGCTTCATCTTGTGCACGCCCTCCCTATCTTATGAGTCAGCACGTAATATCAAGAACAGTCTTCGTCATAGCCTACGTCAAGCGAGAATAATAGACGACCCAGCATCCTTTCAACAACCATAGCAAAGTTGTATAAAACAAAAGACCAATAACATGTGTTTTGGAGCCGTTTACACGTAGCATATACTCTTCTGATGTTGGTTCTAACGCGGCTCGTTGTGCGTCTGTCATGCCATTGTTGGCCACACCTTTCCAGTATGCAACAACGAAATAGGCAGCTACAGACTCAGCGGTGTAGACCAGCTAAAGAAATAAGTCAGATATTTACCATGATAAAAGAGTGATGGGCATACTTACCACCGCTAAGCCCATCAGAGCATCATCCCAAGCGAGCTTTCTCCAACCCAAGGTGGAAATTCGACTGTAATAACGAAGTCCTACCACAAGATATGCAGCGCCTTGCAGACCCCAAACTTCTCGAATAAACGCATTGGCCGCTTCTGCAGACATGATAATTCGTGCAGAATCAAAGCAAAACCGTTAGCTAACAAAAGACAAGACATGCGCAAAAGTAATTGGTAAATTAGAATTGAGCATATGGTCCGAAGAAACGAATGGCGCAGGAAGATATAACTATGAACTCAAACACCCAGAAGAAGTTTAAAGATAAGTAATAATATGAAAATTCGTTATAGAGGCACTCCTGAGTCGTTCAGTCCCTCTTGTTTCTTTCCTCTTACCAGCCTTGTGCTTGTTTCTGCCCCGTCATTTTGCTTTGATCTTGTCAATATCCAGGGGCAAAACACGCTGATCAGAAATTGTGTAGTAAGAAATACAAGGGCAAATGATAGAAGAGAACGTCCACTATCCTTGACTCGATAGCAAGGGAACAAGGGTCCGGAGACGGCCAACATCCGCCATTGATGGGGTTAGTGTTCCACTCCGCCTTGGGTAGTAATGTACCCAAGTGGACTGCTCCATCAAGAGTCCTCTCGGGTTCGGATATCAGCTTTTCAGAACAGAACTGTATAAATACGAGACCCTAAACAGTATCAAGAACGTTAGAGTTATTAGCTTTGCCTGTTAAAAACGAGATGTCACTATTTTGAGCTCAAAAGAAACAAGATTCTTAATCGTAGAGGAAGGCTCATCAACGTACATCTGCAGTGATTGGGCCTATTACTACAGTTCCATGCAGGTATCAAATCGACTGTTGGATGTTGATGGTACCGCCGAAAGAAAATCAGAAAAAACAAACCTGATGCTTGGGTCATTGTCCTACTCTATAACCCCTGCGGCTCCCTTGTCCATCTTCTCCTGACACTGAGTGTGAAACGACATCTGCTCATGACGTGAGCCGTCAAGGTCGCAGCACATGCTTGGCCTTCCGGTGGGATTCAAGGCTTGTTTTGCTGTCTTAATTTGCCGGATGCAGCAAGCACCCCATTGTGACTGTGAAGCTCTCATTCTTGATGTGATATACAGGGCATGGTTTTGCTCACACATTTGAATCCAGCATAACATCGTCCATTCGCCTTGAAACTGGATTTATTTCAATCGTCGAGCTGATCAACGGCAGATGATGCCATCACCATAGTGATCCTCCTCTACAGGTTCGAATAAGCATCGACTTTGCGTCTTTTCAAAACATCTTCATTCAACTTTAACGTGTGGCGAGTCAGCTTTCGTTGCGATGACGGAAGTGAATCGTTGCAGTATTGGAAAGGTAGTATCTTAGTGGGACCCGGTGGGCAGGATGGCGCAGACAGCAACCGTGCAGCATTTGCTCCATTCTGGAAATGTATTTCCAGGGGTCTTGGGGTCCCAACTCTTGTCAATGAGCAGGTGATACCTTTCATAGCGAATGGACTCTTGAGACAACATCCCTTTAAGCTGTTGGGTGTCTACTAAACTGGGGGGCTCTTACGATGGCGATCCATTGGACTTCAGGGGCAGATCCATAAGTTTGTCTCTGCTGCTACATACGGCTACGTAAACCAAGTATGCCGTGCAGTGCCGGCGGATGCAACCACCAAAGTGGGATCGTCGAGTCACCGTCCACAAATTACAGTTAGTGAATGTCCCGTCTTTCAACGGCCCGGGAGGTGGGAGACTGTTCCGGGTAACTCCGCGCACCGTATTATGGTCTCCGCCCATCCGATGAACTCGGAACCCGCGTAAACGAGAAGACATTTGTGGATGCGACAAGCGTTTAGAGTAGTGAACCAGGCCCCGAGAAAAAGAAGGCTCACTCGGTACCAACATGATGGTAAAATAACACGACCGAGTACCAGGGAACTGGTTTACCCCAACTGTTTGATATACCACAGTCCCCAATGAGGAGTGTTCGTGCTCATGCTGTCAGTCTGTTACCAAGGCGATAGCTTTTCAGTATTATGTAGAAGCGGTATATCATCTCGGTTTTCGTCGTTTGGCAACCCCGAACACATACCCCCACGCGCAACGGCGCGCCCGTTTGAAAATTAAAAACGGGATCCGCCGGGCCAAGCATTGTGCCTTTCCATTTTGGTGATAGCCACTCTCCAAATGCATCCCAGAATGGTTCAGATCAACGATGGCTCTTGAGCCATGCCCTTGTCAACGGGACGCTCCCGGACGTTGGAGGGGAAGCTCAGTCTCCACTGGGTGGTTCTTGTGCACCCCGCAAGAATGCAACCCAAATCTTCTTGCTCCTTCATCACCAACCAGCATGGGAACGTTCCTATCGAACGTTGGGCGGCCACCAGCCAAGAAAGTAGCTTTGGGGTAGGGAGGGTCCGCCGCTCCTCAAGGACGGACAAGATGCTCACAAACCCCGCGACTGGAATCTGCGTCCGAACTTTTTCATTCCTTCTCACTGACACGCGCGGCTATCTCCAACTCTGGCGCTCTCTTCATCAAAAACTCTAATATACCCTCAGAACCACGGTTTTCTAGACATAACGACCAACAGACGGTCACAAACATACATGAGATGGCTAATGAACAGGCTCCCGAGTCGAATGTCGACGTGTAAGTCACCTCATCAAGTCAAAACGGTTTTGACTAGTATGTGAAGCCTGTTCACTGACGAAACCATCATGACCATAGGCTCATCATTGGCGCCGGCCCTGCGGGGTAAGTTATGTCATTGCGTAGCAAACAGCTACGCTTACCTTGTTTCCAGATGGCAGCAAAGGCTAACGAGACGCTGTTCAGGCTGATGGCTGCCGCCTGGATGGCACATTGCGGCGTGAAGGCCCGCATCGTCGACAAGAGAAATACCAAGATCTTTTGCGGACAGGCCGATGGTCTCCAATGTCGCAGTTTGGAAATCTTCGACTCTCTTGGCTTCGCGGACCGTGCGTGGAAAGAGGCCAACCACATGATTGAGGTACGCAATCCCAGCACACCACCTTGACAGAAGGAATACTAACACACTTGATCAGATTTGCATGTGGGTGCGTGTTCACTCCTAGTATCTAAAGAGAAAGAAATCATGCTTATTAGGATATGTAGAACCCCGGCAGTGACGGTGTAATTCGCCGTAGTGACCGAATTCCTGACACTATCGTCGGCCTCTCTCGATTCCAGCAAATCGTTCTGCACCAGGGCCGTATTGAGCGCTTCTTCCTCGAAAATATCAGGAAGTACTCCAAGGACACCATTCATGTTGAGCGCGGCGTCATTCCCGAGTCTCTTGAGATCGACCAGTCCAAGGTTGACGATGACTCGGCCTATCCAGTAACCGTTAAGCTCAGGCAACTTACGGAAGAGGAGGCAACCCCTCCTCAGGCAGCTAACGCCAGCAAGGTCCCTGATGGTCTCTTCCGCAGCAATCTTGTACAGAACGATGATGAGGAAGATCTCATCAAGAAGAGTCAAGACAGGGCTGGTGCGAGCGAGGTGGTCCACGCCAAGTACGTTATCGGCTGCGACGGCGCTCGCAGCTGGACTCGGCGACAACTAGGCTTTGAGCTTGACGGTGAAGCGACCGATTTCATCTGGGGTGTAATGGATATCATTCCCATCACTGACTTCCGTGAGTGGCTTCTTGATGTCACGTCAATGTTATGTGAGCGCTAATGCAGTATAGCTGACATTCGCATGCGCTGCGCTATTCACTCTGCTGAGAATGGTAGTTTGATGGTGATCCCCCGAGAGAACAGACTTGTTCGCCTCTACATTCAGCTGAAGGAGGTCACTCCTGATGCGTCTGGCAGAGCCGACCGTTCTAAGATCACCCCCGAGCTCATCTTCGGCGCCGCCCAGAAAATTCTCGCTCCTTATAAGATCGAGTATGAGTACTGTGATTGGTGGACAGCTTACCAAGTACGAAGCTCCTACCCTCGAAGAAGATCACGACGTTTGTCAAACCATATTAACAATCTCTCTAGATCGGTCAGCGCGTTGGTACCAGCTTCGATGCCAACAGCCGCGTCTTCCTTGCTGGCGATGCGGTCCATACCCACTCGCCAAAGGCTGGTCAGGGTATGAACGTCTCCATGCAGGACACTTACAACCTTGGTTGGAAGGTTGCCCTGGCCGCCAAAGGAATTGCGAAGCGCAGTATTCTGAGCACCTACCAGAGTGAACGTCGTCGCGTGGCACAGGACCTTATTGAGTTCGACCAACGTTTCTCGCGGCTTTTCTCTGGTCGTCCTGCCAAGGATGTCATGGATGCTGAGGGTGTCAGCATGGAGGTCTTTAAGGATGCTTTCCTCAAGGGCAACCTGTTCGCGTCTGGGTTGTCCGTGAACTATGGCCCCAGTAATCTGGTCATTAAGGCTGGCGATGCCCTTGAACACGGTGATGGAAGCAAGGTTGTCACATCAGCTGCTGCCACCATTTCCGAAGAGGAATTCAAGAAGAAGCAAGCACTTGCTACTGGGTTGCCAGTCGGCATGCGATTCAACAGCTTCAAGGTTCTCAACCAGGCTTGCGCGCGCCCGTGGCACTTCCAAGAGAGACTCAAGGCAGATGGCCGCTTCCGTGTCGTCCTCTTTGCCGGCAACATCTTGGATGCGGGGCAGAAAGCTCGTGTCGAGAAGTTTGCTGCTGCACTTGACGCACCCGAGAACTTCCTTCAAAAGGCCACACCACCCGGCAACCCTATTGACAGTGTCATCGAAGTCCTTACAATCCACTCCTCTAAACGCACTGAAACAGAGCTACTGAGGGATTTCCCTGATATTCTACACCCATACGACTCCCATTTCGGCTGGGACTACAACAAGGTCTTTGTTGATGATGAGAGTTGCCATGAGGGCTTTGGTGACGCATACACGAACTACGGTGTTGACAAACAGAGAGGTTGTGTCGTAATTGTTCGCCCGGACCAGTACGTTGCCTGGGTGGGTGAGCTTGAGGACTTCGACCAGCTGCAGAAATACTTTGAGGGATGTCTCGTTTTGAGACAAAATGATACCAATGGTGCCAACGGAACAAACCATTTGAATGGTCATGTGAACGGTGTGAACGGAGTAAACGGTAGTTCGTTGCCCGTTCGATGAATGTTCTGAAGCAATTAAAGTCTAGATATTTAAACACAATATTATTTTCAACACCTGACGCAGACTAGCACGGCTTCCTTATGCGTATAAAGTGATGTATCCAGGCTCGTGGGACAGCCAAAAACATCAGAAACTGATTTACTGTGCTAACACTGAAGTGTAAGTTTCTGCTTAGCCTTTGGCTATAAAAAGTCCTCCCTCATTACTGAAGTAGTCATCACCCTTCAAAGGCATCTTTTGGGAGCACTGTGATGACAGGTGTCTTCCAAATATCCCAGTCCTCCGCAACCTCGGGAGCTCCAAATGGCTTTAAAGCAGCGATACGGAAGCTGTCCCTAGATCAGCATTTTCGTTTTTACTTTCGCATTGCAAGGATGGGAAAACCTACTTGTATGACCCAGGGAGCACTTGAGATCCATTTGCAAACCTTCCGAGCCAGAAATAGTCCCCGTATCTGCCCCGAGGCTCGTTATACCGAGGGAAAGAAAAGATATCATCCTCGCTGTCTTCTCCAGGGATGAACCAGTTCGTTGACGCGGTGCCATTCCAACTGGTAGCTGAACCAACGTAACCCTTCTCACCCACGACAGGGGGGTAGGACCAGTTTGCTTCAGTGTACTGGGCATCAAAGATCTGTAGATGTTTGTTAAATCCGATTCTAGTTTATAAATTTCTGAGTATGACCTACATCCCAGCGGAGTTCCCGAGTTCCCCAAGCCAATCGGGTTCTAAGCTTGGGAAAGTCTTGAGCAGCCCTTGTAAGATTGAAGGTAAAGCTGTTGATGGTTAGCGTTTGACATACATCTCTTAGCTAAGTATTTGGAAACCACAGACTTCGATTTCCTGTCGAGCTTGTCGCTGTTGAGTCCTGATACGATATATGGGACATTCCAGCCATAATCCCAGACATTTTCAATAGTCTTCTTGAGTTCACAAGCAACACCTGCAAAACTGTAAGTGACACTCTGAAGTAAGGAAGAAATTAGTTACCAAAATATGGAACGCCCAGCTCTTCTCCATTGCTACCGCTAACAAGGATCTTTCCGCTATAGACGGGTAGCTTCGTAGTATCGACACCTTCCAAGGGTTTGAAGGTAAATCTGTGCTCTCGTTAGCCATGATCAAATTTATTAACGCCTACTGGCTTCCAAGAAACATACTCAACAGCCTTCGTCTCGCCAGGCCCAATGACAATCTCCTCAGGAAGCGCCACATCCGGTGCCATTTTGGTGGGTATGATCTCTGGGTAGAGATGTATCGAAGGAATGAAAGATCGTTGCTGACCGGGAGTTGACGGTTCGTAAGCCTCGTAACCTCCAGCATCCTGCAGGGAAAACTTATAAGTGACAGATTCGGTGCCATGGTTGGTTATGTCCAGGGAGTGTGTGCCAACGAAATGAGCCGTGTCGTTCAACTCGAACTTGCGGCCATTAAAGCCCAACTCCGTGGTGTAGCTCAGTACCCTCTCCGCATCGACAAAGCCCCCACCAACTTGAGTAGTCGGAGCCCAGAAGCCATAATCAGTAGGACTAGTCGACCAGTCTGCCCACGGAACCGCGCGAGCAGTTGATGTAATCCTGGCTACGAGTCTACGTGCCCACTCCGGGTCATCCTTGTGTGCAGCACGGCCACCGAATTTGCTAACCCAGAGTGCGGCAATGCCGGAGATGTAGGGTGTAGCCATACTAGTACCACTGAGGACGCGGTATCCATCAGTCGGGTACGTGCTGAGAATTTTGGTTCCAGGAGCGGCGACATCAGGCTTAAGCGCAAGATCATAGGTGCTGCCCCAGGAAGAGTATGCTGCCGGGCGTCCGCCGCCAGCGTTTCGAATCCCGACATAGTTAGCGGTATCAATGTCGAAAGACACCGTCACATTACCGCCTGCGAGGATAGTAGAGACGATTGCCTCTCCTGCAGTCGCTTCAATAGCTCCAGTGAGGCCAACGCGGTTGGAACTCGCCGGACTCTGATAGGGTCCCTGATTGTTGTAGAAAAGAATGTACTGTGCACCAAATGCAGCGAGGTTGTTATACTTGGTTGTGGTCGTGCAGCCGCCGAGTCTAATAAGAACCACAACCTTGTCCAGCTGGGGCGTATTTTCCGGAAGAGCTTCGCAAGCATCGTTCGCAATGGATGTGTTGAGTGTGATAGGTTTGATGGGCCAGTTGATTATGGTGTCAGGGAAGAAGCCTGATCCAGGGACGTAAGCAACACGTGTGTTGTTAGACTTTCCGTCGAGGTTAAACTCGGCTGAGAAGGCCTGAGCTGGAAACACGCCGGGGTCACTTGAGGCAACTGTCAAGACACTTTCGCCTGATGCACCATTGGCCATTACAAACGGACCATCTTCTCCAGAATTGCCGGCCGCAAAGACCACCACAACGCCCTTGTCGACGATCCTCGATGCAACAACTGCGAGAGCGTTGGTGACAAATCCACTGCCTTCGCCGACGCTGGCGCTAATGATATCTGCCTGGGCGAAAGTAAGTGGTTTGTTCAAATTTGTAGTCAAAATTATTGCCGTAACCAACCCCTGAATCGAAAGCTTTTAAAAAGCCTTCGATGACAGTTTCTTCATTCGAATAACCAGTACTGCCAAAAACCTTGAAAGAGAGGATCTTCGCTTTTGGAGCAACTCCGACGAACCTTGGGACGTGAGCTGAGAACCTCGAACGGAAATAAAAATAACCCTACTTGTCACTTTTACCGGCAATGATGCCGGCCACGTGCGTTCCGTGTCCGAATTTATCCATGGGATCGTTGTCGGGCTGCGCGGGTGCATCAGGCCACGCTGCCAACTTAAAGTCAGAAAGTTTTTGCAAAACACTCCGTCTCCGTGTATCACGTACCATCGCCGACTAGATCATAGCCTCCGACAACGGTGAAGCTGCTGCCGATACCGCCGCCAAGCTGAAGTGCAAAGTCAACCATGCCGCTCAGTGACATGCGATATGAAAGAGTATGGGGTGTAGCATACCGCTGGATGAGTATACTGTACGCCACTATCCACAATAGCCACAGTTGCACCCTCACCGAGAATGCCGTCTTTATGCAATTTCTCCACTCCCGTGAGGCCATGAACTGAGTAGTTCAAAGCAGCAGCATCATCGCTGAACGACTCGCCATCAACAGTTGGGAGTAGCTGCACGATCTGGGACTGATATACCGAGGCGACAACTGGTTCACCTTCTGATGTATCAAGTGATCTCCTAATATGATCCACTGAGCACCCGTGGTCGCATTCAACAACCAAGCCGGGAAAGATATCCGAATCAAACTCTTTTACAACTCGGAGTCCGGAGGGGTTCGTGGCAGCGCGGACGGCAACAGACCGTCCATGAAGTCGCGATTTAAGTTCCACAATGTATCTCTTAGATGCTGCTGAATTGCTGGCATCAGCCTCATCTGTCAGCGAGCGAGATGCGAATTGCCGGACGGCTTGGGCAGTGCCCGAGATACCGAGGAGAGCCAGGCAAGCCGCTCCCACGCGCATTATGGCAGATGAAGACCAGGGAATTGACTAAAACAAAGATAAATGTGCGCCTACCGCATGAAAACACGGGTGCTCCGGCCGGTGAGCGAGCGCGATATCGTGCTTGAAATAGGCGTTCGCCGCCAAGAATTACGACGTGCGATCCATAACACCTGCCGAAAGGAGAGCTCCGCGCATCCTGAGATCGTGATTGTGTGCTTGCTTCTACTCGGGAGAGATCCACCAGAGTAGCATCGGAGGAAGCGATTGAGAGTTTGATTCGAGAGTTGCTAGTGAACAGGGGAGGCTGCTGAAAAGTCGGTGATTGGCGGAGGCGACGGAATACGAGATTGTGGTCTCGGTATCCAGGGATATAACCAGGACCATGGAGCACCTGTAGTACGGGCATGTCTTTTCCAATCTAATAGACAGATAGAACTATGTCATAGTGTCACTATGTTTGACAGAACCCAACTTTCTACAGGCGAAAATTCCCTTATGGAAATGCGGATGGATCCAAAATAGGAAATCAGAATCACATCACAGTCCTCATACTACTACGCCATACAGCTTGCCAGGCACTACCAAATATTTGATTTTGAAGAAATTTTTTATATCAATTAGAAATTACGAGACTGTTTAGTTTCTCTCGCACCATCAGGTATCAATCACATCGCTTTTTTTAGCTGCCGGGCTCTCCTGTACCATGATCGGATTCAAGCCTTGTTCCACGTCAGACGGCTCAACGAAGCTCTGTCGAGAGTTCTGATTCTCGGCCGCAGACGTAGCGCCCAAAGGGTCGTGATGAAGTTGTATCATACTACCATCAGATATGGTTGTATGGTGTACCCTAAGACCCGATTTTCTCGACCCTACAGTCGCCGGCGCGGCGTCGTTTCCGGACCCAGACTGAGCTCCACGTTGCAACCCGTTATCCGAGCCTAGTAACCCCATAATTCGAGGGCAAAAACGGGTTGCCAGAGGTTTGAGTGTGATGAGACTTGCGCAGACGATGGCTGTGTTTAGCTCGACGACAGACCATTGGGCTATTCCCGGACTGTCATATGTGGGATCGGTCGAGTTTTGGGCTGCAACCAGTGAAGGTATGCGTAATATCGAGACTATGCAGACACTAACGACAAAAAATAAGTATGTAATTTGACAGGCAAGAAGTCAAAGTGGCTCTTACAAGAATCCAAGTGCAAAGATTAAGTAGAGGCCAATCTTCTGCTGGCGGGGCTGCTTTATTTTTGGGAGAATTGGTAACGGAAGAATAAGGATCGTGAAGTCGGTGGCAATATTGAGACCCGCATTGCCAAACCAATGCGCTCCTCGGTCTATACAACGGCCTGGGACACTGTAGGCTTATTTTTAGTCTGAAGATAATTTCGTAGAAAGTTACATCGACATACCTCAAGTCCCAATTCCTCTGGATGGGTACGCAAGCGACTATTGAGGAGATGATCGCCCACAACGAGACCAGAATGACGAAGCACAAGGCAACGTAACATGCTTTACGGTATTGAAGGTCCCGTAGCACCCGCAAATACAGCAGCAGTATTGAAACTTTTACAAACGCCAGTCCACAGTTGTAAAAGATGATGGTGATATACGACCACTAACGACAGCGGGTTAGAATGGCTTAAACAAGATTCTAAGAAATCGATTCGAGATATATAAGCTCCTACCTTGAAGAAAGTTTGTTGTTGATACAAACTGAGGGTATAGAATCGTTCCCCCATTCCTGTTCTGACCTCTGTCAATAGGTTAGCCAGCTATAAAAGAATCTTGTTCGAGCGGGTAAAGCTTACGAATACACATTCCGATGGCCTCAAGGACGGACCAGACCTGTAAGAAAAAGTCAGAGTTAGCCCGAGTAAACTACCTCAATACCAAGGATTTCAGAGTGTCCGCCGTTGAGAGATTAAGGCAGAACCTTTGACGTACCCAGGCAATGAGAATACACCAGTCCTCTTTCCCCAACAGTCGCGCCGGTGAAAGGCGAGCAAAAAATCTCAAGCCGACGATAACCCCTGACAGTGCTGCTGTGATGGCCGAGCATACAATGACGGCCTGCCCACGAGGTGCTATGCCCGGCGGACCCCCATCCTCGATGACTTCGATGTATGACATATCGTATCGCGATCGAGCCGTGACCGTCACCAGAATTTCATATTCTCATCGGAGTCCCAACCACCAGATAGTGGAATCGGTCACGAAGTTCTGGTCCGTACGGTTCGATTCAAGTCATCCATAGGGCTGTCGTATATCTCCGCCGTACTTTTCGTCCGTGAGCAATATCGAATGTGAGACTAAGCGTCAGAAAAGACATGAGAAAATAAGAATGGGAGGGGCGGTATGCGAGACATATCAGTGCCGGGTCTCCGGGGGAATTAGGTTGGCAAGGACTATGGCAGGTGAAGTGTGTCCAGCCCTAAAATGCTACTGGAAAACATGGGCGAGGCACAAACTAACTTGCTCGCCCTGAATTAAAGTACATGCTTAATTAAGCCCAAAGAAGCCAAGACAGATCGTGGTAGCACAAGAGCACGAAACCATGCTGACCCCAAGGTGTCGAGTTGGTGTGCGATTAGGCTAAACCCCGTTTCGTCAGGATAAAGCCAAAAGGTTGCATATCTCTCTCTGATGTCAGAGCTGAAGTTACAGGTGTATGTATGGGATAAAGGGTTGACATTGCTGTACATAGCATCTTCTGCGAGTGGCCTTGGAGCTTGGACGAAATAGCCGCTAGGGCACCTGGCCCTTCCCTTGTGGAGGTTAGGAGATACATGCATTTCATCTCATGTTTGCCGAGTTTCGCCCAGGTATGCCGTTTATGGCTATTTCTAGTCATTAGAAGACGAAGTTTAGACTCCCGCAATGCTTAAGCTTCTGGAAATCAAAACAGTGGCACTGGCCTTCCCGGGGTGATGGGGAATTGGGGGGTTGGACTACTCTCAAGGTAGTTAGCACGCACCCTAAGGTTGTCACCTTGAAATCGAGGGCCTCGAACACCCAAGACACAGATAGAAGCTAATGCCAGCGTCGAAGAACTTAGCAGGACGTGATTGACGTTGTGGCGTCTGCCCTTTAAGGTTAATGTAATCTCCGACAAGCTCTGTTTAGGGGTGTAGGGGTTGATAAAAGTCCATTTCCGCATTGGAAGCTGAATGGTTCATGAGTCTGTGGTTTGTTTGTTTGAAGTATGCTGATGTCGATGAGCAAAATCAAAATCTACCAGGTTCAGGAGTTTCGTCATTCTTTAGCGGCGTGTTGTGTGGTACAATATACCGGATGCGGTACGATGGGAGTCGATTTGATTCATTGGGAGCGGCGGATGCAGGTTGCTACTAGTTGGCGCCACTTCTGCCAAAATCCTGAATATGGCATAGAGAAATGATATTTTAGGGCGGGACTAGATGATAAAAAACATCTGAATGAATGCGAAGAATCCGAAAACGAGGGGATTGTATGGAGTGGTTCGGTTTGACGCGCTCGTCCTGTTGAAGCGTGAGAAGGCCTGCTCAAGCACTGCCATCCGAGCCCTCTAAACGTGCCGCCCACATGCCGCGTGCCTAAGTAGGACTTTGCCGGGACTCTGCCGGGACTTTTGATCCTCTAGCGTACCGCTCCGTTGACTTGAGTGATGCCCCCGTGGTGGCTCATGCTGTGGAAAATACTTGGCAAGGTGCCTCAGCTTCTTGGCCAGTCTCCTCCGCGTGGCTAAATGAGACGCTAACGGAGTTGAGACAAAAAGATGGCTGTTAGCCAATGGTCGCATCATACAGAAGTTCAGTCTCAGGAAGAAACAATCAGGTTAGTTACCATAATAGGTCTGCCACACCAAGCCACATAAGCCACACATACTTTGAGGAAATCTAGAACACGGGACGTTTTTTATCACAGGTGGATATTACTTGACGGCCAGAATCATACTAGTATTCACAGTCCATTCCAAACAGCCTCCGCCGTAACCTCAAAAGATGCTTGGGAGCCTCCCACCTGTACTCCGTATGACCCCTTCTCGAGCTTCCACGCCTTTAGAGTTTCATCCCAATAACTGCCAGCCACTCGCAGGTCGATTTCTACCTTGGCCTCCTTTGATTCTCCGGGCTGTAGATCTAATTTGGTGAAGCCCTTTAGCTCACGCGCCGGCCTCCACACCGAGCTGTCCTTTGATGGTGTAATGAAGAATTGCACAACCTCCTTTCCAGCACGAGAACCCGTATTGGTTACCTTGACTGAGCATCTTAGCTTGGCAACGCCAGAAGCCTCGTCAACCGTTGTAACCAGATCAGAGTAAGAGAAGGATGTGTAGGAGAGACCGTAGCCGAAGCCCCATCTCGTGCGCTTCTCTGCTTCGGCGTGCCGATACCCGACGCCAAGACCTTCCGAGTATCGGATCGATACATTGCCCTCTTCCGACTCGGTGGCGGGAAAGTTACCAAAGCTAGGGCAATCCTCCAACGTCTTGAACCACGTTGTTGCGAGGCGCCCGCTAGGGTTCGTCTTACCCGTCAGGAGGTCCGCCACTGCTTGCGCTCCCTCCTGACCAGGGAAATGAGCAGCCAAGACAGCATCGACATCACCAACGATGGCGCTGACGTCGATGGGGTTACCGCAGTGCAGCACGAGGACCGTCTTCTTGGATGCGGCTGCAACGGCCTTGATCAATGCGACTTGGTTCTCTGGCATGCGGATGTCTTCCAGATCGTAGCCCTCAGACTCGTACTGGTCGTTGCGTCCGGCATAAATGATGCTGACATCTGATGTCTTTGCCAGCTCAACTGCCTCTGCAATGGCAGCTTCCTCGGAGTAGAATTCTTCAAAGCAGAGGGTGGCTGCATATGGAGTCGGCTCGCCCTTGACTAGGCGATCCGGTGACTTCATGCTCAGCTTGATGTCGTAGGCTTGGCCAGCGTTAAGAGAAATTTGAACACGGTTCTCGAGCTTAATGTGATTGAAGATGAACTGCTCGGTGGCGATGTTTTTCTGGGGACCTGAGAGGACTTCCTTTCCATCGACAGTGAGGGAGAAGTCTCCAGTGGTTCGCACAGCAAGGGTATGCTCCCCTGTAGTCTCGGGCGTCAGTTTGGTCGTGATTTGAAGGTGAGATCCGGGGACCTTAAGCCCGGCCTTGAATTCGCCCAGCATCCAGGACTCGGCCTTCTCCTGGAACTCCTCCAGGATCGGCTCTGGTGAGTCGTTGTTGAAGTACTTGATATCGACGCCGTGACGTCCGTCTTGGGATGTAAGCTTCGACGCCGGGGCCACAGGAATGATTCGCCTTGTGCGGACGCCGGAGGCGTATCGAACGCCATCATCTCCAGGGAACGCCTTCTTCAAAACTTGTAGCGGCGAGTGCCTGTACTGAGGCGTGCATGACGCGCTTCCTCCGCCCGTAACAACAGGTGATCCGGCATACTCCCCGATCAGCGCCACCTTGGTGGTCTTTGAGGGGTCCAAAGGAAGCGCCTCGCTCTCGTTTTTAAGGAGCACGATGCCACCTGTCGCAATCTCGCGCGATAGGTTGTTTGTCTTCTCAGTAATCTCAGACCTTTCTGGCCTCTCACCGAGACACTTCCTCGTGCGATTTCGGAGGTCTAGCATCTTGAGGGCTCTGGCATCGATCTCTGCTTCAGAGACCTTGCCGGACTTGACAGCCTCTGCTAGCCTTCCACCCCTGAATATGGGGAAGGGCATCTCAAGATCGAGTCCCGCCTTGATGGGCGCAACCGTGTCGTGGACAGCGAACCAGTCGCTCATGGTGATTCCTTTGAAGTCCCATTCTTTTCGGAGGACTCGTTCGATGAGAGGCTCGTGCTCACTGCAAAATGTGCCCTCGACCTTGTTGTATCTGTGATAGAACGACTATTAGTAAAGCGTCTCGGATTGCGCTAGGGGACCTTACGCAGTCATAATCGCAACCGGGTCCGATGTGCGCAGCATATGTTGCCACGATGCGAGATATATCTCCCTCAATGTGCGGCCATCAACCGACTCTTGAACGTCGTAGAAGTGTCTCTGTGTCTCTGAGTCGTTGCAGACAAAGTGCTTGGGACACGCGCCGACGCCATCCTTCTGAATACCGTTGACGATTGCGCCTGCAAGCTGACCGGCTAGCACCGGATCCTCGCTGAAGCACTCGAAGTTGCGACCACCGCGAGGGTCTCGGTGCATGTTGATGTTGGGGCCCAGGACGATCTGTGAACTCTTCAGACGCCCTTGGTTGGCGAGTTCCTCGCCCAACCGAACAAGCAGCTCGGCGTCCCATGTCGAGGCCATGCAAGATGCGTTGGGGAAACAAGCGGTCGTCATATCAGCTGTGATGCCTGAAGGGCGCACTCCGGCAATGGAGTCCGAAACCTGGGAGCGAGAAGTTAGTTGGTTCCCGCACTGGCCGTGATTTTGGTCGCAGACTGAGGGCACTGACTCTGATGGGAGGTATATTCAAGCGAGGAACGCCTGCTGCCGTGGAGAAATCGCGGCCAGAAAGAAGGGCGATCTTCTCCTCCAAGGTCAGCTCGGGAAGAAGAGACGTGAAGTCCCTCTCGTCGATTTGAGAACCCATGGCTGCGTCGTATGTAGGTCTCGTAATCTGAAAGGTCAATTGCGTTCTCGGATCGAAGATGAGGGGTTGTATATGACTTCTGGTGATATGGTACAAGAATCAAGTTGAGGAAGAAGACAATGACGACTATTTACATCCAGAAACGAGGAACCGCATTTCTTATTTTCTTTTCAAAAAAGCCATCATGAAATCCAAGCTACCCAGTTCCCCCACATTCCACATCGCACTTTGTCGGCCCCAAGTTCACCGATCTCTCCGACCCCGGAACTCCCCCAACCGCATTCATGGGCTTTTCCCCCGCATCTGCCAACACCCCCACCTCGGCTTTTCCGCCATCTCCAGTTCTTTGCGGAGGAACCCATCTGCAAGGATGGCGCTCAGGAATCTCCGGACAGTCAAACTAGTATTTAAGGCCTGCAGGCGAGTTCTCCTGTTCCAGGGTTCCAGGAAAGCCGGTTTTACTTGCTACGTCGTTTGTGGCAAAGTCGTTTTCTCACTTTGGCCGCTAACCTGCGAGGATCGGAGCGTTTGCCATTACAGATGAACCTCCACACAATTTGGATGTTGTGCGCGAAGAGCCTCATTTATTTTGGTTTTACACGATATTCTAGTATCTTATGATGTTATCTTACAACTGCCTCTGGTCATCGAGAGCCATAAAGAGAGAATTCGTTCCCTCAAAGTCGGCAAACTGCATCGCGAAACCAAAGTCCATCTCGTTGTCTAGGATGTTCAACGGCCCCCAGTAGTGGTTTAACTGAAGCATTGCATCTGCCGGTGGCATGGCTGGTATTTGCGCAGCTGATGGCGTTGATGAAGAAAACTTCTTTTCTGCCTTTTCAATTGCTTTGTGGAGCAACTTGGCTGACCTCAATGCCACGACACACTCGTCCATGGTCTCCAAGATCTCGATAGCCATGCCCACTAGCCTTAAAAGGGGTTGCATTTCTGCCTCTGTGGCCTCTTGCGTGACGTAAACTAGTATCATGGATGCCGCAAAGACGGTGTACGTCGTATTATAAAACCTACTGAGCGTTAGACTTGTCAGAAGCAAATGTTGTCTGGAGGGGAAGTCCTACCAAGTACGGAAGAAGTCGTGGTGTTGATATGTCTGGTAAATGATTTCAATTGTCTGTTTTGCCGAATTGAGACACGTCTGGATGCCTTCGTGGGAGCCGGGAATCGCAGCTCGCTCAGCAGACGTCGAAGTAAGTATGATTGATCCGAACAGCAGAATCTTTAGGTTGAGATAACCTGGTCGTCGTGTGAGTTTAAGAGCTATGATTTGGAAGGGGTTGATTAAGACATACGCATAGTTAGTACAAGCCGTTGCCTTTTCATCCATTGAGCCTCTCTGGCGTTTTTAAGTGAAGGCGGCTGGACAGTCTCCGTTGGGCGAATAGGTTCTGGCATACCCTCAGCCCATTTCTGGAGATCTTGATCGATCTGGTGTGCTAATGCCACGGTCCTCGGTACTGTGGTCTCGGGCAGGTAAATACCCAAGCAGATGCTTCGAATGACCTTTGAGTAGTCCACCATGCATTTGATGATGGCACAAGAAGGAGGATCGACGAGGTCCGCAGCTTCAGAGTAAACATTCTCCGTTTCTGCGATGACGGGGAATTGCCGGTTGTGATACAGATCGGCGCCTAACGTATCGGGCCTCCCCATTGAAAAAGACATTTCACTAGTTGAAAGTTAGTGAGCTGAGGTTGAGTTGAGGGCACTCATAGCCTTACGTCTCTAATGAGTATAAACCCCTGACCAAAGATCGTTAGTAAAACAGCACAATACAGGCAAGCGGCCGACGGATTTTCTTACCACCATGTTCTTGTTTCTTCTCTCAACACAGACGGATCTTTCTTGCAGTCAGGGCCGGGCTCTCGATTGATGCCCATTGCCAGCGCTGTTCTCACAGCAAGGCCGACGTACATATACGACCCTGACAACGATCAGTCAGCATGATGAACTTCCTCTGTGGATGAATTTAAAGTTTGGTGTCATCTTACAGTGTGCATTCAACTCATTTTGACAAACTTTCGCCTGTATAGTTGTGAGCATCAGCCCCCGACGGCTTAGAGACGTAACATCTTACCAAAAAGATATAACATTGGACCATTTCCAGGTCAGTAACCATTCCAAGCTGATCACAGCGCCTCTTAGCTTCATCAAAGAATTTTCTGCTCCATTGCAGATTCTCGATCCCATCAATGGGCTCATCCTCTCTCACACCAATGAGCGCGCCCAAGGACAATATGCTGTAGTACAAGGCGATAAAACTCGACGGCGTCTGAGCAGTATCCTGATTGGACCACAGGGCCTCGCAGCGGTTGAAGAAGGTCTTCTTATCGAGTATGGGATGGACATAGTGAATGCTGGAAAAGAAGCTCTGCAAGAAGTATCTGCATTGCGGATAGTGAGTTATTGTCCGAGCAGACGACCTTACCTCCCCCGTGTGCGCCTGCCCCTGAGGCTGGTCAGCCCCCGGTGATGAGAAAGCCGGGTTGTGAAGATTCGACAATAGGGTGCCTCCATCAGAGTCCTGGTCGTTTGAGACAACTGGTTCTTGACCAGTGCGTTGTACGTGTGATAGAAGAGCCACGGACGATGAACTGCCGTAGAATTCGACATTCCGAGTGTGACGGTTGACTCCCGAAACTTCCTGGCCGGCAGCGTTCCTAGAGCGGGCGTTTGATGGCGACTCGACAGTGGTGCTTCTTGAAGGGCGTCTCTGAAGTCGACAGTCCGGTGAGAAACCGTCGGCTATCTCAGGGGCACTTGCGGTCACCGAAGCATTTTCGTCTACTGATTGTGCTTTTTGAGATTCTGCCAGAGCAGAAAGACTCTTTACTTGTTCCTCAAGTTGTCTCACATATCTAAATAGTCATCAGAGAAGACCTTGCGAGGGGGGCTAGATGAGAGACATACTCTGGAGTATAGAGCCTCCTTGACATATCCTGGCCTCTGTAGGCACATGTTGCGCCGCGATCTTTTGATTCCAGCGTGAGCTGCCTTCACCACACAACGAGGGCGTAAAATCGCGCACAGAAACATACTTTTGCAATACGTGCAAGGATACAACTCATCGCATTTGTTCTTCTTGGCTCGGCAGAGATCGCAAGCTCGAGCGGCCCGGGGTCGGCGGACCTTGATGCCCGAGTTCTGCGTTGTCCGCTGGGCCTCGGCCGAATCCATGATGATGGCGGCGGTAGAATGAGAGCCGCGCGGCCTGATAGAATTCTGGTTTCCTGACCCTTCTGAAAGACGATTTCAAGACTCAGTGACTTCAATATGGAAACACCCGTCCGCTTGCTTGCTTGCTTTGCTGGGGCTCGTAGATTCGCGAAAGGGGGAACGGGGGGGGAGGGGAGGTCTGGGTGTATGCAGAGGTAAAAGCTGCCGTTGCAGCGCATACGAAACTCGACCGCTGGTGCAGAAACATGAACTCCACTTCCCCGCACGGCGGCGCAGGACGGCAAGGCTTGCGGGGGTTTTGTTCTCCTCTTGTGGGGTAGAGTAATCGGGGCATTTTGCTCGAAATTGCCTCTAATGTTTGGTCAAGGGCTGTGGCGTTCTGCTCTTGAGTTACATCGATCACGAGGATCTTGAATCATGTGGGTACAGTTGAACTGAATCGTGCACAAAGGGTCCATACACAATAGTCAATAGTCCGTTGAAGAATTGCATTAAACTTGACATATTATATACTTATAGATGGCATATGGTTATTATGACTTTCATCATTTCCCTTCCATCAGATGAACCTCGTCTATATACACTTTGTCCAGTTCAACACCAAGTCAACATGGTTCATCTTGACCAATGTTTGCCGGCCGGCTTTTGCTCTCTTGTTTTTTTTTTTTTTTTTTCCCAAAGCCCGCTTACTGGGATCCCTCATGCACAGTCATGGCTGACTCCACCTTCAACCGGGATTTCCGGTTTGGTTGAGTCTCGGCTCTAACGCAATGTATGCCCCGAACAAGCTAGTAGGGCCGAATGCAAGGCTCCTTTCACAAAGATACCGTTTCACGAATGGCCTATCAAACAAATGCACAGTCAATCGTAATACTTCGGTGTAAAAGGATGTTGACAAAAGTTGCGGCGGTCTCCGCAAAAATATGTATTGGGCAAGCCGAAGACAGTTTCGTAACTAAAAAAAAGAAAAAAGAAAAACAATTTCAACAACCCAAAAACAGCGCTCTTTATTTCCTGATTCACTTGGTATCCACCGGCCCCTCATTGAACTCGTACTTCTCAAATTTCCGCGCCGAAATGCCCAGTTCGAACATGATGTCCAGCTCCTCAAAGGTGCGGCCCTTGGTTCCCGGAATGTCAAAGTAAATGACAAGTAGCATGAGAACTCCCATGACGAAGAAGATCCACCCAATGTGACCACCCAAGTTGAGCTGGTCGGCGTTGAAGAGGTACGGCAGGATAATGGTCCAGATGACGCTCACAAAGGAGGAGAAGGCCACACCGACACCCAGTGACTTGGCACGCAGTCTGGAGGCCGACACCTCGCCGGCTACAGCCATAGATGCACCCACAGCAGGTCCGTAGGAGACAGATGTGAAAATGAGAGCCACGCCAATGGTCAGGAGTGATGCATGTGTCCTGGGGACCGCCGCGGCGACGCCCATGACAAAGTACAACGCCACGCAGAAAGTGATGCCGGAAAACATGAGGGGGCGGTGGCGGAACCTCATCATGAGGAAGGCGTTTCCTACGGCAGAAACGACACCCATGGCGATACCAATCTGTACCAGCATGAGAACGGTGTGGCTGTCGAGACCGGTCTGGTTGAGGAAGTAAGGGGCGTTGGAAGATAGGACAGCGCCAACAACTTGAGGGATGTAGAAGCAGGCGAGAATAATGCGTGTTCGTCGCCAGTTGGTGCCCTTGAAACATTCGATAAAGGTCGCTCCCTCGGCCGCAATCTGGCGTTCAGCCTCGACGTTCTCGACGATCTGGGCCAGGCGGGCGTCAATGTCTTCGTGGGAACCCGAGAGCCTTTGCAGCGCACGCCGCGCCTTGTCGTGCTTGTTCTTGATAACCAACCAAGTCGGTGACTCGGGCAGGAAGGGAAGGCCGATGGCGAGTATTCCGGGGAAAGCCCAGGCAGCGGCAAAGACGACGCGGAAGGCCGACTCGTCCATTATGGAGGTGCGAGAGAAGCTCGAGGCGATGGCGATCAACAAGCCAAGATTCTGCCCAATATCTGTTAGAAAGGCGAGTCACCTCGGAGTTCGCTGCAGGACGGGACTTACCAGCATGATAGTGTTGACTGAGAGCGCAATACCTCGAATTGGCAACGGCGCAATTTCAGACACATATGTTTGTGTTGTCGTAGTGAAAAGACCGACCGAGAAACCGGTGACGATCTTTCCGCCGAGGAACTGAGCCGGGTTCTGTGCAACAAAACTGATGGCGATACCGGTGGAAGCAATAAGAATACCCATGGCGAGAACGGCACGTCGACCGCACCAGTCCTGAACGTATCCCGCGGTGAATGATCCAAAGAACATCATGGCATTGTACATGCCGTTCCATGCCGATTGCCAGTAGGCCGGGATGATCAGTTGTCCGTTGACTTCAGAAGCCATAGTCTTCCTATAAACATCACCTGGTTAGCGAAACTCGACTATATGCAGAATTTTATACGGTCAACTTACTGAAACGCCGGCATAGCCAAGCAGACAGACAAAGCAAGATTCTCATAACCAACCAGAGTTGTGCCAACTAAGTTGAGAACAAAGTTAGAATATTGATGCACCCCACCCGTCAGATCAACTACTTACTGTTGGCGTAGAGAGTCCAAAGGGCAATCTTTGGGTTCTGACGCAAACATTGCCAAGGGGTTATCTGGCGATCCGCCTCCCGCAATGCCTCCTCATTGTGCGATACCTGGACTTTGTCCAGAACCACGTCCTTGCGGACCTCGTCGTGAGTGTTATCATCCATCGCTTGGACTCTTACACGCGTCGACCTGTCGACTGCAGGTGTGTCGTCGGCAATCTCGTTATGCCGATCCGCCTCTGGTCAGTTATGACTACGCCCCAGCGTAATACACAAAGCAACAAACTAGTCAAGGGGTAAAGATGAGATGACTATGGTTTAGACGGAGCGTCGGTGACTAGAACTCGCCGATGGTTGATGGATATGATCCGACAAAGACCTGGATGGTAAACATTAAGTTGGTTGCAACGGAGGGTTATATCCAACTTCACCGACTCTGCAGACAGGTTTCTGCGACGCTGGCCGGGATGGCTCCGGCTCTGCCACCGGAGTTCCCGACTGCACCCCAACTTTCTCCAACACTCAGCGTGGCGGGGTCCCCAGATGCTACTAACTGCATTCTGCATCGGTACTGCTGTCACGCTTGACACGTAATCGTACAGGTGATGCACACTTTCAGCACTCGAAAAATATGGGTTCTTTTTTCGTATTGGGGGATGTTGGGCATGGCCACCCACTCGCAAGCTATTGTACCGAGATCCTGTCCGTACGGATCTTCCGGGGCATGATGTTTTGTCTCTTTTGGAATAGCTACCAACAATATTTACGAATTGTCTCCAATCACATCAGTTGGAGGTGATTAGTGACAATCGTTGCTCAATGTTCAGCAGTCCGGCAGCCACGGCATTCCTCAGGGTCCATATGCCCGACCCGGTAGTCTGGAACGGCAAGTGCATGATGTGCCTAAGGTGTTTTGAGTCTAGCTAACTACTATGTAGCGACGGAGTTGAGTTACTTGATCAAGCTCTCTAGGAAATCAAAGCCTTCTCGCTGCAGATTCCAAGTCTCGGATCCGACCTTCATCTTTGCGGCGAAGGTGTGCTCCTCTCCCGGAATTTCCCTCAAGCCAGAACGAACCCCATTTTCTTGTAGTGTCTTGAACAAGCCCCTGCTCAAGTCAATAGTTACCATTGTATCCGCTTGGCCGTGGACAATGAAAGTCGGTGGGAAGGAGGAGCTGATGTTCCTGACGGGATCAACCTCATCCCAGTTCTTATCTGGCACAATAGTATTCATAACATTGCCGTTGGCAATTTGTGTCATGGCGAACGCCTGTCTCGGATCATTAAAGTTCGGAGGACCCGGGGCTTGGCCTTCGAGAGAGACGCCGCCCACAATGGGCACTGGATCCTCCTCGAACACTTTGTTCAGAAACTCTTCAGGCAGATTCGGCGGTAACCTCGCGGCAACATGCGGCAGCTTTTGCGTCCAGAATGGATGCGTGAAGTTGTTGGGGCCGTACATGTCATAGATTCCCGCAACAGGACGGGGAACTCCAAAACCCTGTGGTTGGTTTGTGTTGTAAGCTTGATGTCCCAACTTGCCAATAATAAGGCGAGCACTTAGTGCAGGGCTAGCTGAACTTACTAGACTCAGCGCAAGTGTGCCGCCAGATGAAGTGCCAAATGCAAATACGTGATCATGATCCACTGCATACGACTCTTGGACTTGAGTGTTGATAGCCTTTTGGAGACCGCCGTCGTATACCCAGCTAAGAAGATCGCGGCAGTCTCTCATGGGTCCTTCAAGCAGAGAAACTTGAGGACATAGACGATGGTTAGGGGCCAAGACGATCCATCCTCGACTGAGACAGTCAGCCACTTGGTCTTGGTTGACCATCTTCAACGAGCCGAGCATGAAAGCGCCACCATGGATATTGATGACTATGAACGCAATTCACATTAGTAAGAAATTGCTTTTGGCAAACTCGAGCAAGGGTTCGATGGAGCAATCTTACCGACTGGGCTAGCCGTGTTAGCCCCTGGGGGAGGGGGGAGATAGACGTCCACATCTATTTCCTGCTGACCTATGGTCTTGTAAACCGCTCGGAAAGGGGGCTGGCTCGTCATTGTGCTATCGACTTGGCTTTCTGTGGGGGGGCACTTGGTGCAGAGAGAATCAACAAAGTCCAAGTTAATCTGAATATCCGGGGTAATGATGTGGCGGGGGCAACCTAGATAGCTGAAGAACAGCTTGGAGGTGGGCCTGCCTCGATCCTGTTGTTCCGGGAGTCAAGGTTTGGGATAAGGGAATATCCGCGGGACATCCGGAGGTCTTCGGGATTTCCGGTATCCACAGACGGCGCACAGACTGAGCCGAACAGCGTCAGAAGACTCCAATGCCATGTGGTCCCGGACCGTCGCCTTTGATTTTGTGGTTCTGCACCGTTGCGAATGCGGGGGAAGAAAGCTCTAAAAAAGGCTGGACAAGCGCCCAAGAAGAGATCATTTTGACCCCCTAAAACTTCATTCCCACGTGCAAATCAAGAGCCGGTCTTTGCGCCTCCCCCCCGCACTCTTCATCCGCAAACAAGCATTTTCATTTGGTCGTTTTTTTGGTGAGACACCGTTACACAACATGAGCATTCCAGTCCAGTCATCTCCTCCTGACGCCAGGACAAGCTACATTATTGACCAGCTCGAGGGCGAGCGCATCACCATCCCCGGCAGCAAGGGCGTTTTCAGAATCCTTGCCTCCTCAAAACAGACAAATGGCGGTATCGCCGTGTTTTCTAGCGGTGCCGTCTTGTCTGACGCCCCTGGTTTCCATTACCATGCGGAAGCACACGATGTGTTCCTGGTGACCAAGGGTCATTTGAAGCTGTGGAATGGCGACAAGTGCAGGATCATGGGTCCTGGAGATTTCGCCTATGTTCCTCCTGTGAGTATACCTAGTTCACCTCGACTATTTTGCCACGATTCTAGATTCTAACCCCTTGCAGAATGTCATTCACAACCCTGAGCTCCTTGGCCCTCATACTGAGACACTAGGCCTGGTCGCTCCCGGTGACTGGATTGATTTCTTCCGCTACGTCGGAGAGACTTACAAGGGCATCATCGTCCCTGAGAACGACGACCGTGATCTCCGCAGCCTATTGATCCCCAAGGTCATGGCCGCCAAGGACCGGTTTGATGTCCACTTCCAGCGCGACTACAAGGCTCCCGAAGTCGGCGACTGGGAGGAGTCTGAGAACGTTCTGCCAGCACCTTTGGAGCCTTACTACCTTCGTGCCAATACCGGCCCGAGGTATATTCTTGGTGGCGTGCTGTCGAGGCCCTTCATCAACGCTTCGCAGTGCAGCGGCAAGTTTTCCATTACAAGTCTCGAGTCTTCAAAATTGTACGAGAACTCGCCTCTTGACAGGTGGTTGACGTTCCCCACGGTAGACCACTGCTTCTGCGTCCAGGAGGGTGTCTTGAAGGTCAAGTTGAAGGAGTCCAACACATGGACGGAGGTTCGTGAGGGCCAGACGCTTCTCGTTGCTGCGGGACAGGCCTTTACGCTGGGTTTTGCCACCCGCTATGTTAGGGCTATCACGTTTACGAACGGTCCTGGTATCGAGAACCTGATCGAAAACGCCGGTGAGGCGCTATCAGGCTTTGTGTTACCGGAGGAGAGCGTTGCATGGAAGGAGGAGCGCGTACAAGAGGCTGCCAAGGCATTGGGTGTTGTTACTGAAGCGTTGTGATGAGTATGTAATGAAAGCATTGGAAGCTGAGCTTTGATCTCGGCTATGACATATAGAATTTTTCAAGTTAAACAAAGTTTTGGACCAACACTGCTTGTGACTGGTAGCATGCACGGCGTTGTCTGCCAACTGAGAGTCATTTCAGTGTTATGTGATTGGTTTATTTCGGAGTCGTGTCAAATTTGGGGTAGAGCGAAGACGGCCAGGGGTCATGCAAAGTATGGGAAGCCTAGATGATGCATATGCAGCTACCCTTTTTTCTTACTAGATTAAGCAAATGATGACTGTTTGACCATTCCATTTTAGAGCATAATAGACTTGCAGACTATTTGTAGAAAAGCATAACATGCTTAACGTCAAGATCAACCTTTGTGAAACAACATCACGACTCCCAACTATATCAAAGTCACTCAATGCAAAGAAGCCTACAATCTATGGAAGCCGCTAAGTGGCGTCTTGCAAGACGATCGGTACTAGCCTCGTCTTGGAACTTGAGCGACTAACAAAGTGGAAGAGTAGAAGCATCTGCAGTGGCGTACGAAGACTTCTTATTTGTTCCCAATCAGTTACTGCTTGCAAGAGCATCTGTAAGAGTACCAGCTCTTATTAAACTCTACGTTGTTTCCAAAGCTACTTTTTTCGGATGTTTTTACTACATATCCTTTCTATAGAAACCTCAATACACGGGTGGTAGGACACATGTCTATCTAAACTAAGTTGGCATTAAGAAGAGAGCAACTGATATTGCAAACCTCCAAGCCCTGCAACAATGCATCCATTAATGCACTTCAACACGCCACATGCCATGCCATGGAGTTGAACCCAGCTTGCTACCTCGTAAAGTACCATCCCCGGCCTTCCGCCCTCTTGTGCACCCCTGCCACCAGATTGTCCTGCTTAACGTATTTTCAGCTATCAATTTCGTCTACTAGCTATCAGTCTTCCCAAGTAACATTGTGAAGCGGAAGTTGAAAGCGTTTAATGACCACAAATTTAATTTGTGATCATTCTGGAATCATAGCTGAAGGATTGAATATTGCTTTTCCTTTGGGGCTTTAAAATTGCCAATAGCATATGGTTGAAGAGAAGTTTGCTTCGTCTTGATTTAAACACCAAAACGCTTTCAACTGGCTCAAACTCTTTGCATCCGGTCGGTTATATACTTAGCCTACCTAACGTCGCACACCCACTTCTCGCACACCCCCACATTTCGCACACCCATAAATTGGGTCATCATGAGGTATTCATCAACTTCATAACTATAAGTCTGATTCGTCTCCTGCAACTGTGATACTATCGCCAGTTTTAATAGGTAATTCAGGCTCGCTAGATTCATCTGAGCTATCCTCAATTTCGCCAGCCTCAATTTGGGCTTTGTGAATTGCCTCAATGTTGGCAAACTTCGAATTTGGGCTCATTTGGACCTTACGCCGCTTCCGTACCATTCCAGCCTCAACTTCTGCTTCCAACATTGCAATCTTCTTCTCTGCTGTAGCCAATTGATAGTCCTTTTCATCAAATCCCTTTTGAACCTTTCGAAACAACAGTCGCTGCGTTTGCTGATCTTTATCCAACTTGCTGAATAAGCTAAGTTGATCATATAGATCAACTGTCTTCTTGGGCGTTGACCAGGCTACTATGGATGTAGCAGATGCCCAGTTTTCGTCTTTTCCACCATCAGAGGCCCTCATAGGCGTAGAATAGCCTGGCTTTGAGGGCTTGGAAGCATTCTCAAGCAGTAGAGGGCTCATGAGCGGTCGAGCTATCGAAATGGGCCATAGTCCTGTTGCTTTCCAGCCGCTTCTGATATTCTTGCTTGAAAATGCCATCTGGCGTGCTTTTCCATAGCAGGTAAGAAAGTTCCGTTTGCCTACAACTGTAGAATCGTTGTGTTGAATGAGGTATCCAAGCTCTTTTCGATAGGTCGCCTTGAGAGGCCCAAAGACTGCTTGGTCTAGAGGTTGGAGAACGTGGGATGTATGTGGCGGTAGGAAAAGGAGATATATCTTGTGTTTATAACAGAGATACATAAATTCTGTTGTTTCATGACTGCCATGACCGTCTAGGATCAATAGTCTCTGCTCAGAGGGATGATCAGGCTTAGTCAGAGGGATAAAGATGTTCTCAAGCCATTCCACAGCTGTAGAGTCTGAAGTCCAGCCATTCTCAGTTGCTGTGAACTTCCAACCACTGTAAATATCACGTTTATGGATATCAAGAGGAAACCATTGTTGTTGAACCGATTTCCCTCGATAAATAACAAGTGGAGGAAGCGCCTGACCAGTTGCAGAGACACACTCAAGCATAGTTGTCCAAGCCCGAGACCCAGGCTGTTTTTTTCGCATTGATGAGCTTTCTGATGATCCCAGTACTAAGCCATTTGATCCTCTGCCTTCTAGGATACCAGTTTCATCCATGTTATAGCGATGATGTGGTTTGATCGCCTTGATCTCTGGAAGGGCGAGTTGTTGAAACCATTGCCTGATTACATTAGTTGAGGCCCCATTGACACGCTTAGAATCGATGGCTCTAGCTCTATGAACCTTGATTGATGGATTTCTCTTAATAAAGAACTGAATCCAGTTTCTCCCAAGTGGCTGGGTAGTGCCTCTGATGTCTAGGATTCGCTGGGCAAATTCCTTGAGTTGTTGATGTGTTGGCGGCAGCCCTAACGCCGCCTGGATACGCACCCATTCAGCTAAGTGACTTTCCTGTGCTGGAGATAGCTTCTGGAAGCTAGAGAAAGCTACATTTCTTGCCTGTGAACCCTTTAATCGAGACTGGAGGGTTGATGGTGGAATTCCAGCATCATGAGCTGCCTTTCGGACACTCTGCCCACTTGCAACTGCATTGAGAGCTTGATTGACTTCTGTTTCCGTATACTGGCCCATTAAGCGTATAAGAGTAACTATTCAAAGAATTATAATAATCGCTGTAAAAGTGGTGAAGATATTAAAGAATGTTGAAGAGGGTAAAATTCTACATGAGCGATTTATGGGTGTGCGAAATGTGGGGGTGTGCGAGAAGTGGGTGTGCGACGTTATAATAAAATATGTGAGGAAGAGTACCTATGGTCGTTCTTACCTCTGGCTGCTAATTCTCCAATGCAATCTTCCTCTCCTGGTATGCTTCCATCCGCCCTGAGTACGAATCTCTCATACTTGGGCATAAATTCCAATTCTAATTTGCACACAATCTCCTTGTGATGCGCTGCCTTCTAAGCTACCCCTAAAGTAGTACCATGGGTTCCCAACTGGGCATCTGCGCCGTGTTCAATGAGCAGCCGTACGACTTCCATATGCCCTGCTTTTAAGGCTGCCTCCAATGCAGTTCCATGAGCATCTATTTGGTTGACATCTGCACCAAACTCAATGAGCAGCCGTGCCACTTCCACATGCCCTGCCTTCGAAGCTGACCACAGAGCAGTACCATAAATATCTATCAGATTGACATCTGCACCCTTGATAAGGAGCCAATGTACAATGTCAATATATCCTGCCTTCGACGCTGCCTCCAAAGCAGTACCATCAGCATTCGACCAATTGACGTCTGCGCCACGTTCAATGAGCAGCTGTACCAATTCCATGTGCCCAGCCTTCGCAGCTGCCCGCAAAGCAGTTCCATGAATCCCTGTAAAGTCAATATCTGCTCCATGGCGAAGAAGCATGTCAGCGATACTTGCATTCCCAGTTTCAGAAGCAATTCGTAGGCCAGTCTCGCCGTCTCCCGCACCTATGTCGGGAGGCACTCCCATTTCCAATAAAAGTCGAACGATAGATATAGCATCGTTCCTACAAGCTTGATGCAATATATGTGAGTATGTGTCATTACCTTCATCGATGTTTGATCGGGTGCCGAACGTGGATGCTACTTCTGTTTCGAGTAGCGTGACGGCGACTTGTACATTGCTCACTTCAAGAGCCGAATCCATGCATGCGAACCTGAACTGCCTCGCATCCTCACGACGGTCTCCCATAAACCCGCTCCCGAGCCCAGTTGCTCTGAACCAAGATTCCAAGAGCGGAGACGCCATGTTGCCCTCGTGGTTCAAAACGAAGTCAGCGAGCTCTTTACCGAGCTGTAGCGCCCGCTCGGAATTTTGGCCACAGTTCTGAATATGTCGGGGAAGAAAACGCAGTACATAGTACAATAGAGGCCAAGACTGTAATTCTCTAACGAGATACTCAGCTCCACGTTCTAGCTCCTGAAGCTCCGGGTGTTCGTGGATTGATGGGCAGCTTTCGACAAAGAGGCGAAGATAGCAAATTGAGTTTTGTAATATTTCGTACTCCCCTTGCAGGCGTTTTAAACAGAATGGCCCTGCTCTCTTGTCTCGCGTGAGGAATTCCCTGACCGTCAAGTGCAGCAGTTGAACCATGTCTTCTTTTTCTCCAACATCTGGTAATGGGCCTTGATGTGGTATCGATCTGATCTCGAGCAGGTCACCGCATACGTACTCGAGCCTCTGCCGCATTGCCAGCTCTTCAGGAAGCCTAAAATCCTGAAACTGAAATCCGCTTATCGGAGTCACAGTGTCGGGTATGGCAATAGCATCGCAAAACTCGACTAGATTCAATGGCCGTTCAGCGTACGTCACCCATGTCAGCATTCGTCGTGCTTCAACCACGGTTGCTGCGTTGAATTGCTTGTTCTCGTCTTTTTCATATTGTTTCAACAAATCGCCGATGATTCGCTCATAGAAAGGCTCCAAATCTTGCGGAAGATTTTCAATGGTCTTTCTCATAGCTGCCGCCGTGTAGCCATGACGGAGACATCTTTCCATTTCTCTTGTTACAATTTCCACCCACAGAAAGACACCGCACGCTTCCTTTTCTAGTTTTGTAGTGATTTCCAGCATTATGTCCTTGAATACCTCTATGTTCATCGGGGCGCGACTTAGAGTTGAAAGCCTGAGAAGGTAAGCATTTTGGAGCTGGGCCATTTTGACGTCAATGAATCGTTTAATGTCGCTTGCGTTCTTCTTTTCCAGAATCATATGAAAGAAATGGTTAATACCGTGCTGATACAGCAGGTTGCTCTTTATGTCGTCTTCTGGCCGGCTCGCAAGAACACACTGAGTAACGCAAGCGGAATCAGCAGCGCAAAGATGTTGCAGCAGGAGTAGAACCCTTTCTCTTTCAAGCTTGTCGGACTCGTCCATACCATCAACGACCAAAAACACCCTCAAAGGGAAGTCATCGAACCTTTTTAACGACTGGAATACTTTCTGGAGATCATCGAAGCTCCAGTCAATTGCACTGGGCCGTCCACTGGCACGCTCCAGTAGGTCGCGATACGTCTCTCGGAACATAGGATAGAGCTTTTGCTCTTGATACAGAAGCTGCCATAGTAGTGACTGAAGCATTTGTGTGTTATTTGTATCAGACTTGGCTCCCCGCAAGCTGTAAAAAAAGCTGGCCACAAGAACGGAACGAGTGTCATTTAGCCCAGAAAGAGTGGCCGAATCAAGGCGTGCAGCTTTGCCGAATGTGCCTTGGTAGTCTGGCAGCTCATATTTTTGAATTATGTGCCGCAGGATCTTCTTAGATAGCGTGGACTTTCCGCTTCCCGGCTTTCCTTGTATCCAAAGGAAGGATGAGTTCGACTGATTGCTCCAATCTTTGAAGCTATCGTCCTCCCAAAGCCACGCCCCTGTGCTTTCCTCTCCAATAGAGACAAGTGAACGGCGCTCATTATTAGCCTTGAGAGCAAGAGAGTTTAGACAATCTAGGAAATAGTGAGATGCTGCATCTCTATTTGATGGCTTATGGGACTTTCCTACCTGCGGACTCCTTTCCCAGATTAACAAACGGTAGACCATCTAAGATTTCCTGAATGTCTTGATAAGGCCGACTTGCCAGCAAAACCTTGAATGACATATGTTCCACTCGACTTCCTGAGTTCAAATCATTCCAGAGGGAACGAAGGCCATGCATAAAATGACTTCTTTCCGTTAATAGTAATTCATCGACACCATCGAGGACAATCCACACTTCTTTTTGAGAGCTGAGAATATTGAGCAAGATCTTGGATAAGATTTCCCACAGGTGTGCTTCATGTTCATGACCAAGATGCTGATGGCCATTTGATAAATGTTCTTGAACATCTAAAGGAATATGTTGAAGCATAGCTTTGTCCGCGAACTGAGAAATGATAGAGGCGACTATTGTCGCTGATGCTATCGAGGATGTGAGAAGCTGTGGGGTCCCGGATAATGGGATACTGAGTTTCCGGGAGCAGAAGAAGAAAGCGAGGTACGTTCTAAACGAACTGTATCTCAATTGCAACTGTTCAACTACATGTCGTAATATCATGGTCTTTCCCATACCGGGTGGGTCGTGGTACCACAGGAATCGGGCGCCAGGAGATGTGAGCCAAGCCATATACTCGGGGCCATGCATGAACCATTCCATAGCATCCAGGTTGACATGACTATTGCTTTCCCGAAGCTCTCGAAGAGTCTGCTCGACAACGCCAGAAAGCAATTTCACGTCGAGCCTTCTAGAGTCTTTCTGCTCGATGTTGTCGTGAATCAAGGTGGTGATGTATTCGCATAATCGTGTATAGCCAACATCTTTGTTACTGTTGAACCTGTGAATTTCCCGGTGCTGACCAGGAGATGGAATGTTTATCTTTCCATCTATGGTTGCCGACTTTTCTGATACGGCCTGTCACCGATAATGTCAGCCTTGAGTCAACATACCTACCACCTTGGCTTTATTTTCTTGGTTTAACTCACATTCGCCAATGCAAATCTACCCATGCGTTCTGCTTGAACTTCGTAGAAATTAACCATGTCCTTTTTCCCACAATACTTCATAAAGTCCCGATGGAGTAACTCATTTTCTCTCGAATCTTGATCTAATACTTCGAGCAGAGTCGTGTTTGCCCCTTGCCAGAAACTCAGAAGTGACATGGCTTTAGCCAAAAACGTAAGGCTCGAGCCATTATGTGGAGTACCAAGAAAAATAAAGCCTTTAACAAGATCAGACGAAAGTCTACGCCGTGACTTGTTTACATCGTTGCTCGATGCCATGATCATAGCCTGGAGATCACACGTTAGATTTTGCGGTGCACTTGCTTGGACGAAAAAAGCTGCGACACACCTGCTTAATGATGAGCCCCCCAAAGCTGTATCCGATAAACATGATAGGACGTGTGCGTTCCTACAGAGACTTCGTGTGAGTAATGATGAAGGCTCTCTGATGGGTATGAGCAATAGCCTCACTTCGTCATTTTGTCTCATGACCTCTATGGACGTTAGAAGATCTTGCCCATAGCCTCTGAGAGACATGCTAGTCGCATGTGCTTGCCATCCTGAATTGTGGTAGTACACCAGAACTCGGGCTCGAAGCTCGTCAAGAGGAAGAAAGTCCTTAAGCCAAAGGGGGCCAATGTGTGCTTCGGAAGCAGAAGCGTCTTGCGGACTAGTACCGCGCCGATAGGCCCACGCCGTCTCCGGCGACGAACCAAGTCCATGGACTGCAACGATGCTGATCAAAGATAATTAGAAAAATTCTTGGAGTCGAGGGAAACCTCAAAACGTCTCTTTCAAGCGAGTGTTGAGGAGAGAAAAGCAGTCAGACCTACTCTACTGATATTTGTTGAGTGTTCCGAGGCAGAAACTCGTCGACAGGTCTCAGCTTTCGAGCAGGTGCATGGACCATGAGCAGAAGTTGAGCTGGAGATAAAAGAAGACAAAACCCGAGGTTGATGAGCCAAAGAGCAACTACGGCTTTGGAATAGAGCATCGACTGTTGTTGCTGGAGCTTCTGGGTGAGAATTGCAAAGGTCAACAGGGAGATTGCCCATATCTGATGAAACGCAACGCGATTTCCTATAAATGCCCAAATAAGATATGCGATGGAAACACAATAAAGTAAAAAAGCTATATCCATTTTAGATTCCTAGTTTGACAGACTTAACTGCTTGAAAGGAGTCTCTCTTGGATAAAGCAGATACAGATGCTTGACTGTACCAAAGGAAGAAGAAAATACATTGAGGCTGCAGGCGGAAACATCAGGCAAATGCGGGGTCTGCCATGTCGGCGATTTGTACATACTGATATGACAGGCTTGGTAGTCAGCAATGTTGCAGCTGAAATGCAGCTGCGCCAATAGTTGTGGATCGTTTAACGCTGGTGGTTGGTTTCCCTGTTATCTCTTTCAGTTCAGCCCGTTGTCGATTGGTCAGTTTCAACGAATGACGTGCTTTTATTAGACGCCATGTTTGGCTTCGAATGGGCGTTGGGCTTTGCCGTACAAAATTCAAATCAGGCTGAGGATTGTAATCTTGCCAATTTGATGGGCTTCTTGGTGTTTGAGAAACTGATTAATACTCACACTTTGCGTTGGCTCTGTATACAAGCATAGACATGGATAGAGCGCCATTCCCCAAGGTTCTCCAACTCTGTTCTGAACTTTCAGTCGCAGGACAGCCACGCCGGCTGATCAAAGTTTCTGACTCAGAAACTTCAACTACCTCCGCAGGTAAAACAAGTGGCACCACAGACTACTTCCCAGGTCAGCCTTGGCTAAGGCTTCAGGACCAACAATCAACTATTACTCAGTTTCTGCGGAAGGACATTGTAACAGATGACCTGGACAAGCTTGCTCCTCATATGTGGTTACTTGCTACGCAAAGGAGCGACCACGTGTCATCCCTTACGCATCAACAGGTTCGAGGGCGCAAAATTGTCGTCACCGAGAACCCTGGCCTCCACTTGACGTGGATTTATGAGAGAGTCTTTGTGAAACCACTACCCGAGTACCTCTTATCACATGCCTTCTGGGACTACTACCTAGTTGGAAGAGACTCGCCTATCTCCGCGTCAGACAGGGAGGCTATCCTTCGTGCCGCCAAAGGATTCCTAAGATCATACGCGTTCTTGATCCGACACAAAGCCGACTACCTCCTCGCAACACATGAAGATAACTTAGAGTTGGTTCCTAAATCAATCTCGTTCTCTAGCCTAGTCGAGTTTTTAAGATGCTTTGAAGGAATTTCCGATGCCGAAGTCTCTCCTCGCTATATGTATGGGGACCTCCGACTCACTCGCGTCAACTTTTGGGCTGCGGTCTTCTTGCGGCGATCACGCTACTTTAAGTCCCACGGGCAATACGGAGCATATTTTGCTCAGTACTACGGGCCCATCCTATTTGTCTTCGGAGGGATCGCCATCGCGCTGGGGGCCATGCAGGTTGTTTTGGCAGTTGATCCAGGACCTGCATCTGAGAATGAATGGATTCAATTTTCTTGGATGTCGCGAGGCTTTTCGGTTTTTGTGTTGTGTCTTGTACTGATTCTTACATTGGCCATGATTGCGGAACTCCTTTTCCTGGTCCTTCGAGAAGTCATTTACGCTACCCGCCACCGCTATCAAAAGATAAAAGCGGAATATGCATCTAGAAATGATGTAGAGATGGACTTGATATATACTTAGGGCAATACCATGTCCTACTAGTTATTTACTTCATGTGTACATCAAAGAGGCCAAGGGACAATAAGAGATTGTGGTTAATCCAAAGTACACAGATGCTACTTCTCCGTCGCAATTTTAGTCGAATAGAGTAAAGCCTGTGCCTGGATTAGACTTCCCCAAGGTAGCTGATTTGAAATCCATACTTGGTGAAGCAAACTCGCTAGAAGGAATTTTGAATAGTCAGTTGCGCGTCTTAGACCGACCATCGATGTCCTCAAAAAACATGAATTGGCTGAGTTTAATTGTTTTTGATCATGAGAAACCTTTGAGTATTGTTCAAAGAATTTTAGGAGTTTTTATTTGGACTTTGCCTGAGGGCTATACAATCGCCAACAGCCCAGTGGTTGGGTGGCAACCAATATACTCGAATCGCTGTTGCTCGGGCTTCAATACCAAAACCTCGTGGAACAAACGCAGAGAAACATTGTTGTCTAGCTTTTTGGCATACTGCAGGAAGCCACCAAAAATTTCCAAGTGCGTTGAGTGCTCCTTAGCCCATCCTTCAAGTGAAGCAAGATCATCGAAAAAGGCCAACCCAAATGTGCGGTCCTTGTCTGCTTTCCCCGTCGTAGGATCAATGAGATCCATGAACCGGCAGCTATGGCATCCAACCTCTTCACCGTTATCGCGGAGGAAGTTCATGCCTTTGATAAGCACCGGGTGCATCGTCGAAAGATAAAGATCACGTTCCTCTGGTAGAGTACCAGACCAGTCCTGGCCGGATCGAATGACGGCGAGATTTTGTTTGCCGGAGACACGTATCCTCTGTTTCGCTGCAACTACGTTCCCGTTGGTAGTTTTTTCCTTCAGCGTAACTTTTTCTCCTACAAGCTCATCGTTTTGAGCCGCCGCGAGCCTGTCTCGCATGCTACCCCAATATACGTGCTCCTTGATGGGTCCGATTACACATTCTCGCATGTGAGCCGCACCTTCGGGGATTTCGTTATTAGAGAATACCGTCTCGAAGCGGTCGACCGTGGGAAAAAATATTTCGAGGAACCAGCCGTGGCGCTCTGTCTGGGGGTCAAGGTTGTCCCACCATGCTTGGAAACCAGAGTCTTCAGACCACTTCTCGTACGCCGCTTTACTGGCCCAATATGCCAGGTGGGCAACGTTGTAGTATCCGCTGGTGTCGGTGACAGCCGCCCACTCTGCGAACTGGGGACGGGCGGAGGTTTCGACGGCCTTGGAAGTAGTAAACTGTGTCAGTCGTGCAACGGCATCTCCGTCTGCTTCAGCGGCGGAAACATATTGGGCGCCGATGACAGCGAACACGAGATCTTTAGTTTCCTTGGGAAAGCCAGCACTGTAAGCTGGGAAGGGAGGCTGAAACTCGTGAGGTGTTTTGGCGGCAAGCCTTCGAGGGCATTGGAGGTGCTCTGGAATAGCGGAGACGAGCATTTTGTAACAACCGATATCAGGAGTCGGCGGGGAAACAATGAGTCGTGCAAGAGCAAGAAAAGTCTCGGGGGTCAATGCTTTTAAGCATGAAAGATGCAAAGGGCAAGATGAGAACTGGAGAACAAGACCAAATGCAGACAGGCACCGCTGAGGATAGTGTTGGCAAACAAGTCCAAATAGTCCATTCACCCGCAAATATCTGCATGGACAGGGATTCTGACTGAAGTAAAAGAACAAACATCACCGTTCTACATATACCCTGCAGTGTTTGTGCCCACCCATGCTCACAGCACATGGGCTACACTTCCTACTTTGGAGTAGCTTCGAACAAGTGCTGCATGGCGAGATGAAGTTGTCTGAACAGCCAATACTTCTTTCAGAGTTCGCTATTGGTAGTTTTGTTGTTTTGTGTAAACAGCTAGCGACGCTTTAGCGAGTGAGGATAGGATAAACGAACGTCATTTGGCGTGACGCAGAGTTCTTCTAAGTATTAACTTCAAGCTAGTCGATAGATTGCGAGATGGGGTTTCCGCACTGGGAATTAAAACAGAACATCCTCAGCTGATGACAGACAACTGATAGGTTTAATAAATAAAAAGAATGTATTGGTTAACTTCACAGAAGGTCCATCGCAGGGATGAAGGATCGGTGCGTACTCGACTAGTGTTCCACCAGACCGTCGACCCCCACCAAACGGTGGATAGAATGCCACTCTTCCTGGTTGCGGCAGCCTCAACTTGAGATAAACACACCAATTCCATGTCACAACAGCTAATCATTACTACCAAAAGGTCTTTTACGATTCAGGTTTGACCGGAGACTAGCCTTCCTCTTCCCGAGCGGGTTCCCGGATGCAACTTGCGATATTAAGCAGCACCAAATATGGTTATTCTCTACCCTTAATGGAGACTTTTTCTGATTTCGGCAACCTGTAAAGGCCTGAAAACCAGGATCATGACTAGATTCGAACTCTTGCAGATTTCGTATAATTCATGCTTAGACCCCAAGACACCTTTTGTGTAAAAGGAGGCTGGACGCACCAGACCGAAGAGTGGGAAACTTGCGGACAAGAAACCACCGCAACTGCATATTATCGTCACCCCACCACCATCATCCCAACATGGCGACGCCATTCCAGGTAGAGGCTTGGACCGAGTATGCTATCGGATTACTCGTGCTTCTGATTCGAATAATATACCGGTCGAGTATTGTCGGAACCAACTGGGAAGGGGATGACTACTTCGCCCTCCTTGCAGTGTTCTTTTGGACAGTAAGTCATGGGCCCGTAACAAGGCTTTTGCTAGGAGTTGACTGACATTTGATTCAAGGCGGAGCTTGTTATGCTGGAGTTGATCGGTAAGGATCTTCCCATTCCATAGATCGAGACCTAAATTGACTGTTTTCCAGGACAGTATGGCAGCATCACGGGCATGAACGATGAAATCGCACTTACTCTCTCCGACAATCAAATCAAAAGAATCGTCATTGGGTCCAAGTGCCTGCTGGCAGGATGGATCATATACGTTACTCTTATCTGGTGTCTAAAGGCATGCATGCTTTTCTTATACCGGAGACTCACGTAAGCCCCGTTTTGCAGTCCCTTTGATCCTTGAACTGTTTGCTTACAAATTTGCTGTTAAAGGCTTAATCTTCAACAGAAGAAGATGGTGTTAATCACTGCTTGCACATGTGCTGTGTTATACGTCGCCACCATCATCGTGATCCTGACGCGATGCATGCCGTTTCATGCAAACTGGCAGGTGTATCCATACCCAGGCGGTGAGTCTAAACAGTCGACCAACTTGATGGCTCTGTGTTTCTGACTGTCTCTCTCAGACGCGTGCGCACTCAACATTCCAAATTATATTGCGCTTGCCATCACGAACGTCACGTATGTGCCTCGCGACAAATACTTGATAGAATCTAAAACTGACCCCAAACTAGAACTGATCTGATGATTTTATATATCCCACTCCCTTTGCTATGGTCTGTCCAAATGCCTCTAGTTCGGTATGTGGTTTCTTCCACAAGATGCTCTGATGACGGAGCACGAGGTTGACTTGACTATAGCAAAATAATCTGCTCCTTTTGGCTCTGCACGGGTGTATTTATCATCGTAGCCACTCTCCTCAGATGCATTCTCTGCCTGCAGGATGCGCAGTCCATTAACCTAGGAACAATCTGGTCCATCCGAGAAACAGTAAGTGGCCGAAGCTCCTCACGCAATCTCCTCACGCCCCCCTTCCCACATCCCGGTAAACTTTCCCTTTCCGTCTGTAATCGACTAACCATTTCCCTCTTTTCCAATTGGACAGTTCGTGGGTATCCTCGCTGTCAACGCCCCGGTCCTAGGCCCCTGGATCGCCAAAAATGCGTCAGCTGTGCGTTCCCGCACCTCCAAAAACCGCTCCAAGACCGGCGGACAGGAGTCAGCGAATCATATTGTTACAATTGGTGCAAAAGAAAGCACCCATCGTCTTGATCGCTTGACGAAAGACGGCCGCGTACGCAAGGGGGTGGGGTGGACTGAAATTGATAATGACAGCGAAGAGCGTATCATGAAGACGCAAAACGATGTCGCCGTCTCAGCCAAGCGCTCAGACGAGGAGTTGAGCCAACACGCTCATGCTGACGGCATTCACGTCAAAACCACCTTCCAGATATCCAGATAACTTGGGGTGTCGGAAATGAACACAAAACAAGATCGAAGGCGTGGTGACACGCACGATGTAACATCTGTAATGTAAATAATAAAGTGAATGAACACAAATCCAATATTTGAGGGCGCCATGTTACCGTGGCAGCAGACTACCATGCCATCAAGAGAGTTAGCTCATTGACCAGTTCATAAACCTCACACGCAAGAGTGCACTGAGTAGAGCGAGGATCAGTAATTGAGGACCTTTCCTTGGGCATTTCAGCCACCGCAGATGAACATTTGAAGCTTTCTTGCTGCTTCCCCGCTTCAAGGGCAGTATTTACGAGTCAAGACCAACACCATTTACATACCTAGTTGAATACAAGACAGTTCCATGGAACTTCGCTTGTACAGGGACCAGCTAGCCAGGTCCTTGCCTTGCAGAAATCATAAATGACAAGGCGTTACATGAAAGTGATTGCTAGGGTAGATACTTGGCCATAAAAAAGACAGATTGACGGGTTAGGCGATCAGAAACCAGGGCAGTGTCTTGGTAGTGTACCAAAGAAGCATATGATGGAGATGCGAAGAGGTCGGCAGATGCCAGATCCCCACTGGCGGGACTGCGGAGGGTTCCACCCCGCAAGTCAGCAATGTGTTTGATTGGGCAGAGCGTCACTTTGATAATCTATTGCTTCGAGGCCTCGTCCTAATCCAAGCTCTTTGCTTTCGCACCAACCATGATGTTGCAATGGTCAGAATATGGACTTGGATGGCTGGCCGCCCAAATTCTTGTCAGTCTGGGCAGAGACGCAATAGCTTGCCATCCACACTCGACGGCCAACCCGTAAGATTAATCCCCTATTTCACTTCGAACGCTCTTTTTACTATATTATTAAAACTACAGCACGGGTGTTACTACCCGGATGCAATTACTTTCATTTTGCTGTCCCTGAGACGCATAGGGAACCGTGTGAGGGACATCTCTTGTGTAGTGAAAACATCCTTTGTTGCCAAGTTTATTATCAACAGCCTTGAAGATGTGTTTTCTTTTCGATCTTTTCGCCTATCCAGTAACGCTATTCAGATGTAAAACCTCTTTTGTCGAGCAGTGTTAAGGAACTGTCTTTGAAGGCTACAGCTGCAACCTAGACGATGCTTGTGTATGTCAAATGCCTGTCCCGCGCCTACTTAGGTTTTTCTGGTAAGATAATTGCAAGCTTGTGTCGTTGAGATGACTAGAGTAGTAACATGATGAGCCTGGTGGTTAAGACATGTTAACAATATTTTCTTTCCTTGAGAACCTTTCAAGAGAAAAAGAGAGGAGATCGCAAATGATTGTAATTTCGCGACTCCCACAAGAGAACAGGTACAAGCCAATCCAATTTGACCCCCATATTTCTCTAAATACTATCTATACAATGGTCATCAATCGACACAAAACACACTATCCGAGTATGATTGGCTAGTTACCCACATGGCATGTACCTTTTGTCTTATGGCAGTTGATGGAATAAAAGGCTGTCTCTAATGCGGTTATCTTCCAGAGTCGTACAGTAGATTTACGTTGATTAATGTAGTATTAATGATTCAGAGGCCTGCATCCCGCTTACCTGTTAAGCAGGCTCGCGAAGGTAGGAATGGATTGTCTCGCTTAGCATGTCTGATTGGGAGGCATGCATGAGGTGTTTTTAGTAGATAGTGGGATAGTCATGTACCTAGTGAATACATAAAGCGCCTAGTTGTAAGCATTCAATCGCAAGATATCAGAATCAAGTTCGCCTTAGACTGAAACAGGACAAAGCAATTCCAATTTGCGGCTCGATGTTTGTGGCCATCAATGAAGACTATGTCAAAGGGGCTGGAAGCGCACGCAAGGCAGTGCATACTGAAGGTGGCCACATGACCCTATATCGCTTCCTGGTCGTCTCTGGGCCTATCAGCGCATAGCCCAGCTTAGCTGCATGAGCCCAAGGCGACTTGGGCAGCATTTGCCTTGCTGCCTGTTTTGCCTTACTGACATTACTTTGGGCAAGATTGAAATTGATATCATTGATCTTGCGTTTATCCCAAGGTTCTACAGAAACCATAACGAAAACAGCGTTATCGCGTAGGATGTTTGATGCACCTCGAGAATGGAAAGATGCTTGATCCAACAAGGTAGTAGTATCCCAAGATTATGCGACATCCCTCGCTAAATTCTAAGTACAATCCAGTGATAATCTGTGGTCAAGAGCTTTGAAAACTCTCGATCCAAAAGAGAGGGAGCAATTGGATGTCTTCGTCAGCGACGACAAGCACAATGTCCTAAATGACATTCTCCAGGCTGCCCAGCAGAAGAAAGCCGATGCCCTAAGGAAACGCTGGAGGTTTACTTGGAACGGTCAAACTCACATTGTTAGGGATTATTTGGAAAAGATCATCATCTGGGTCGAAAAGTTCAAAGCTGTGGGTGATGCGGCTGTTCAGTATGATCCTGCTCATGCGGCACTACCATGGGCGTGTGTTCGCTTTTTCCTTCAGGCCACCGTCGACAATGTGCGGTTTTTTGGCATCATGGCGGATAACATGGCTCAGATTGCAAACATCATCGCCCAAAATGCTATCGTGGAAGATCTATATCTGAACCGGGATCTTAAGGTCACTCCCCTCCTCCAGCAGTCACTCATTCGAACGTACGCGCTTATTCTGCGACTTTTGGCCAGAATTTTCAAGTATTATTCGCAAACAACATTCAAGAATCTGGCTAAAGGTTTTACTTCTGAGTTGGAGACAGCTCAGAACATCTCTAACCTAGTTGCTGTTGAGCAGAATGACATGGAGCGCTGCATGGGAATCGCAGATGCCGAAATTCGCGAACTAACGACTGCAAAATCAGATCAGGATCGATCTCGACACATGGTTAACATGAAGACAATTCTCTCAGACCTGAGGTCCCCTATCAGCAGAATTAGCGCCGACCTTTCGCAGTTTCTGAGATTGAAGGATGAGGAAGATCGACTGAATATATTGAGATCGCTTTCTAAGCTGCCGTACCCCTCTCATCACCAGGCGGCCGCTAGTGGACGTTTAGATGGTTCTGGGCAATGGCTTTTGCGACATCAAATTTTCAACAGCTGGCGAGCAAGCAGCTCGTCTACAATTCTTTGGTTGCATGGAATACCTGGATGCGGCAAAACGAAGCTTTGCTCAATAGTCGTCGACGCGATGAAAGCGGCTGATACCACTTCCGCCGAGCTCCTGGCATTCTTTTACTGTGCTCGAGATCCACGTGAACCGATGCGAGGACAGTGCAACGCAGTAGTCCAAAGTATTTTACGCCAGGTCGTAGCTGCGTCACCTACCCGAACCGTCCCAAAGGCAGTGCAGGCCATGCATGAGAGAATTCAAGAAGAGGGCTTCGGCGAACGAGAGTGGACACAGCATGAGTGCATCGACACCCTCGTCGATGTAATGGATATATACCCTTCACTAACTATCATCATTGACGCCCTGGACGAGTGCGACGCGGATGAGCGGATGTCCCTTCTTCTTTCGTTGAAGGAAGTAAGAGATAAGTCGGCGAACCTTGTGAAGATTCTTATCACCAGTCGGGACGACATCGACATTATGTCATCGCTAGCTGACACATCAGACATAAGAATCAGTGCGGCTCATAATGCTGAGGACATCGACCGTTTCGTCAATGAGAGAGTTGATACTCTGATGGATTCACGAGAGAACCTCTATGGCCCTGGACTCGAAGGCCTTCGCCAGGAAATAAGGACTGTATTGTCTGGAAAAGCTCAGGGAATGTAGGTCTATGATTATTTGACGACGAAAACCGCAAAGATTAACACATCGCAGGTTCAGATGGGTAGATCTCCAGCTTGAAACGTTGAAGCGTACGAAATTAGATCAAGACCTCAAGTCACAGCTAGGCCGCCTCCCAAGGACTCTGGACCATTCATACTACGCCATCTATCGTGCTATCCAAGAAGCTGGAACCTGCGCAAAACTTCTAGCTGATGGTGTTTTTCAGTGGCTACTGTATGGCAAAGAAGCGATTCAAACAGAGTCATTTGCCGCCTTTATTTCCATTGCAACAGGGGCATCTAAACATCCATTGAAACCGCAACATCTATTGGATATTTGTGGAAACTTGGTCGAAATCGACCAATCATTCAATGTTTTTCGCTTCGTTCACTTATCAGTCCGGGAGTTCTTCGAACACTTCCAGGATCGTGGAGACGATACATTTACACCATCAAAGGGGCACGCAACTTTGGCCTATCATAGCCTACTGCACATATGTTACAGTCTTTCACCTACGCGGATGGAAAGTTTAAGAGTTCAAAACCTTACAGGAGAAAATGGCCATTTAAATTACCCTTCAGATGGAGCGATGAAGCGATATGTTGACCGGTACTGGCATGTGCACGCGATACTTAGTGGAGAGCGCCGCTATAAAAAACCTTTTCAACCTCTCTTCGAATTTTTTATGCAACAAGGTCCGACTGCTGACTCTCTATTCAGTATGTGGTGTTGTACCGCGACGTTTGAGGAAGTTTCGGGGTTAGAACTTGAAAGATGCCACTCGGCCACCCGAACACCTGCCCATCCGATATGGCTAGCGTGCGCCTTTGACTTGGAGGAAATGGTTGACGCATGCATTATTGAAGATGGGTTTGACATTGAAATGAGGACTGGTGTTTCTCTTACACCTTTGCTTGAAGCTGCAAGGCTTGGCAGCTCTCGTACCTTTCGCAAACTGCTAGATTGCGGAGCAGACATAGGGGCTAAGACCCCCCATTACGGCAAAGGGGTCGTAACATTTGCTCTCGAAAACGAGCATACAAATGTGCTTAAGCTACTTGAAGAGCTTGGTCTCATGGATCATTGCTTACCGGCCACGACTAAGGAGATTATGGACATCTCTGGTCGGAATAGACTCGGCAAAGACGGACACAGATTTATGGGAAGAACCGTCAAGGCACGTCGACTTCCTAAATCACGATTGGGAATACGGGGAGATATGGGCCTCTTGGAAGTACATAGTGGCTCAGAGGGCCCATATCAGCAATAATGCTCGGTTGGAAAACGCCGTATGGCGTTCTTGGATGCAGATCAACTGCAACATAAAGACGGTGTCTCCAGAAGCACTAAATTGGTAGGCCATACCTTCCCCGTCACAATACACCACGTGTTCCCCTGAGCTTACAATCAGCAGGCTCAAAGACTGCGATGTTACCTGGCTCTATGGCCCACTACAGATTGATTCAAGCGCCTTTGCTGATCCACGCATGAATCCAATCAACGCCGCATTTTCGGAGAGCAACTCCATCACGAACGAAAGGTCCATTCTCAGGCGCAGCAGCTATACTGCAGCTATTTAAATCACTGCATGGTATGATTCCTTCAAAAAGTCACCAGCAGCAATCCAAGCTAGGCTCGAACAACCGAGTCAACTATCGGAGGGATTACAAAGGCGAGTTGACGACAACAACAGCTATGCACTACCAATCACCCCAACTGACATCACACTTCCTGGCACGGAAAAGAACAAAATTCGCTTCAACGAGCGAGTCATGCAGGCTACCGCTGTTGAAGTTGAAAGTGAGAATCTGGTTGAAGACGATGCAGATGTTTTCAACCACGAGGACACCAAATCGGACTCAGGTATATCTTTCAATTCAGTAAACACTGTAGAAACCAGGGTTTCAGCTAAATACAAGATGATTCTTATTATCCCACATACAAATGTCAAGCTAGTGGACGGGGAGGCTGGCTGTTGGAAATATAGGTCGCCATCCCGCAGTTTTGTGTTGGAGGAGTAGATTTAGCTCAGTGCATTTATTCACAAAGAGAGTACAGTCCACCAATTTATTTTGCGGAAAGTCAAGTAATGTATATATAGATATATATCAATATGAGTTGTTCGTTATCTTAACAAAGCTAGTGGGATAATGCGCCATAATTAGTTCACAGAGTATGTCCGGCTAATTCTAGAAATCTGAGTCGTTGATGTAAATCTTTCAAGCATTCATGATGGCCGTCCTCGAGCAACGGCGTCACGTACCGACGCGCCCTTGTCTTTACTTCATCATAGTTGAATTCCAACTTCAATAGCGACTCCGCGACTGCTTGACCCGATAGCCCGCGACGGTCACGCTCTCGCGAATGCCTTCTCCAACACCCGTTGGCCATAAGATCGCCGACCGCCCTATTCACCTATCGCACTTCGCCTCCAAGAACATCTCCAAGAGCAACCACCGACATCGAATGGCAATGTACCTATCCCATCCCATCGAGTGCGGCAAGAACATAGTGCATTCACCCTTTTTCTTTCTTTCTCACCTTTACTCTCACAGCAGAAACGCATAACGATAGAAAGTCATTCAAAGCGATGTCCAGTCCGATACTGATATTTAAAATAGGTCGCCGTTTGAGAAGGAAATTTATATCATAAGGGAATGATGCAAGCCATCGTAATCTTCAGTACTACACACTATTTCTGACCTTATTCTTACTGGCACAACCAATCACAAAACGTATTCCACAATGACATGTTTGTGTTCTCTGCTTGTGAGACTTAGCAGTCTGCTGCTATTACCATTGCTACCAATAATTATAGACGTAGCTTTCTCCCGCCACGGTTACCTAGCCTACGATAATGGCGCGAATCTCAATGCTGGCACGTTGCGGTGTGCCGTCTGGGACCGAAGGGTCAATGAATGCCGCATGAGGACAGACTTAAGTCATATTAGTTTTTGCTTTCCTCTTTAGTTATGAAACAAACTCACATCGAACCTCGTCCGCCGAGCTGTCATATAATTTGAACATAAGTGCTTCATCAGGCTTCATACGCTGTTTGTAGAACCAACGATGATGTGGACTATGTCGGACCTCATACCCTTCGTCACAGTAATGTGGGAAGACAACATCGGCGCCGAGAAGATCCTGTTGCCGAAGGCTCCGAGGGTCAAGAAGCGCGAGAGGTCGGTCTTGGTATGGTCCTGTGAGTGCTCGCCAGAGTCTTGTCGTTTAATGTTAGTCAAAGTCGGACCTAATTTTCAATATGTCAAGTGGTAAGACATACCCAACCATTCTCCAGCGCCCTTTTTTTATCTCCTCAGCTTCGTCAGGAAGGTGAAGATCAAGCCTACGCAAGCCAGAATTGAGAGTTACGTCTATTTCGGTTAGCCAGAGACATATCTGAAGAATATAGGGGATGATGAAAACTATTGACCTACCACAGTGAGCGCGCATGTATGGGCCAATCCATGACTCTGACGCAGTCCGCTCACGGTTCTCGCACCGGTACTTTGGTTAGTGTCAGCGTCAGGACAACTATATCAGATTAAATATTCACTCACCGTATAAGTGTAAATATGGACCTTCTTGGCTTTGAAGTAATCCATCAGCCACTTCTCCATGGCAGGAAGGTATTGGTTCTTGGCACTATCTTCTGTCCATTTACTGACGTCGACTGGTATATGGAAGAATTGGAAGCCCGATTGCGCAAACGTGAACTTGTCCTCATGTCCATTGATGTCGTGGATTTTGACATTGGAGTGCGCCTGCGCGACGATATTGCTTCGACGAATCTTGCCCATAAACGGCAAGCGGGTGTGGTAAGGCTTTGTTGTGTCATAAATGGCATCATTCGACAAGTAGTTGAACTCTTTAGGTATCACATGTCGAAGTTTTAACGCATCTATCTCGGCGTCAAGGTTCCTGGAGCCTTCCTTCTGAACGGAGAGACCATCTGCTTCACTCTGCAGCTGCCCATTTGTGCCAATATTCCAGGAAGCGATTGAATTGTCTGGTTGAAGAACCTTGGAAGTGCACACTTTTCCACTCAGAATCGCATTCTTCGCCCAAGACTGCCAAGGCCGGTCAAATGGATTGCTTGGATCGAAGCGCCAAGTGAGGACTTCAGGGACGGTCTTTTGGAGCAATATTGCCAGCTCACTGTCTTTCTCTGGAGGCCAGTACAACTGCCAGGGCCGAGCACGAGCTTGGGCGTCCTGGCCATGCTGATCTTGGTTGCCAACGCAGTCCAGAAATGGTAATGCAACCTTTTCCATTTTAATATCTGCCCTGTGTTTTCTGTCAGTGCTGTTGATGCTGTAGTCTTAAAATGTGCTGTGCAGGCTATGTGAGCCGTGTAGGAGAATGAAGAATGTTATACCACGATCATGATGGTCAAGAATTGGTTTAAATGACGATGATACGGGTGCCTATCTTTCAATCAATCCGCCGCCTCACCCTGTCTACCATGTGTCGCAACGGCAACAGGTAGCCTCCAGGACCTCTTCTCATCGAATCATAGCGCCTCTCATCGCGGATAATGCAAAGATGAGAGGGTGGGGGACATCAGTCCGGAAGCAGCACATTATCTGTACTCTACCCGTGCCAAGTGTGACTTCGCGAGCTGACGTGCATGAGCCACACACAGTACATGTAGTCCGGAGGGTGTTCAAAGGTGACCCAAAGCTCTTAGTGGTTGCCTGGCTTGGGCGTACATTTAATACATATATTGTATAGTATATTATCGGTTAGTAACATTCGCCTCCAAGTCCACCATTATAGTCGAAGATAAAGAGCCGCCCTTAGAGTCTTGACAAAGACGTCGATTCGCACGAACGTGTAACAAGCGACCTTCTTTTTCACGAATCATCTTACATAGCGCGGAAGGGTCTCTTCAGATATCTCGTGTGGGTAACCCTGCGCTCGGGAATGACTTCCACATCGGAAGACGGTACGCTCCATCTCCTAAGAAGCCCGACGTAGGTTGGACGTTGTTTTACTCAACTCAACTCGATTATTTCACAGCCGTCACTGATACTAAAAGCCTTAAATGATAGATCTCTTCGCTTCTGCGATTGCAAAACTCCACCAGAAGGTGCCTCATGTCATCTTGCAAGAAGACTATGATTCTTTCTACGCTGGCAGCTATTCGTCAAGCTGCAAGAACATCGACCAAGCCCGTGACTTGCTAATATCGATGGGTAAGGAGAAGAAGTATCGCGGTAAATTCCACCGGTTTTTCGAGGGCCTGAACAGGCTACTGGAACCGCTCCGCATCCTCAAGGACGCACTCGACACTTTGTGCCAGGTGGAGGGGACATTCTGCTTGGTATGGGGCTCTATGAAGCTTCTTATTGAGGTAAATCGAATGGAAAAAACAGAATAGCAAGAAGCAAACCTATTCAGACGAGAAGCGCTGATTATTAGCTAGATCGCCAAGGAAGTTTCCCAAGTACCCGTCCTCGTGAGCGAAGGCATCGAGAAACTTGTCGGTTTATTCCCCACATGGGAGACATATAGTGAGATCCTCTCTGAGGCAAACAACATCAGGCTCCGGCTTCAGGAGCCGTTGGTTGAAATCTATGTTGAGTACCTGACCTTTTGCATTCTTGCAAGCAAGCTTGCCAAGAACAAAATAAGTGAGTCAAATCTCTGCCTGTTTTCCTTCCAATCAACGCCTTCGTGTTGCCTTACTCCGCATGCACTGCATCGCCTAAACAGAATCCGGCTCGTGGAAAGAGCATGTGAATTACCCGGACAAATAACAGCAAGGCCTCAGGTGCCACTAACCAACGCATGCCAACGTTGAATCGTGTTGAGCATCATGCTACTTTGCCGGTGTACCTCAACATCCCCCTCACCATCTGCTGCCTACCACGTTTCACGAATCCAAAGCAAACACGTCTTGCATAAGGCTGATGTCATGTAGAAACAACCCTTCAACATATCACTCTCAGGGTAAGTCCGTTCAACAACTGTCTGCAGACTATCGGGGACCAGGCCCGACGAGTGCAAGACCTTGCAACCGCTTTAACTTTGAAGGAAGTTTTTGGTAAGTAAAGCTGTATGGTACTCTGCCCACACACACACACACACAAACAAATTCCTCTGCCAATTTTCTATCAGAACTGTAAGATATCATGTCTCAATAAAATGATCACTCACAATGGATCACAATAGGAACCAGGGGCAAACTAGACACACTTCTTGACTCCGCCATGTCAGAAAACAGAGGCCGTTCAAGCAGTGCCTCATCATCAGCTACCATGTTCGAATCATGCCACATGATTCCCGGCCTGTTATCGCCTACGTTCGTCGGAAGGACGCATGAAGTGGAATGGCTTCATTTAACTCTTAACCCCGACAAAGAGAAGAAGAAAGGGAACCGTGTAGGGATATATGGAATGACGGGGGTAGGGAAAACGCAATTGGGATGTAGACTTATTCACGTGCTTTTGGACGCCTTCTAACTTCAAAATAGATGCTTAAATACGAGGCGATGTACCGTGAATCATACACTAATCATCTGCTTCTCGTCGGATCGTCTAAGGAGAAATTCTTCAACTCCATACAGGAGGCTTTGCAGGCCATTGGCCTGCCGCAGCGCTTGGATCAAGAACCTAGGCTCAAGCTATTTGGGCTACATGATTGGCTTTTGAATTCAAGAGACTGGCTACTTCTCATCGACAATGCTAGGTCTGAGTGCGTTGAGGGAATTAGACAGCTACTGGCTAGCGATACACAGGGGCACGTCATCCTCACAACTCAGTCGCAATCCGTCGCCACAAATCTTTTCGGCAGATCCAATTCGTTTCCACTCGAGAAAATGGAACCAAATGATGCTGTGCAGGTCTTTATCAGTGCAGCAAGCTTGGACCAAACGGACTCGAATCTTGAGTTAGGACAAGAAATCGTAAACCATATGGGAATGATGCCGCAAGCTATTGAACAGGCAGGGTCGTACATTCGAGTGAATGGCATTACACTCAAGACTTTTCTTGAAAGGTACCAAAATATGCCCGACGAGGTAAGCATTCACAAAAGAATTCATAGGTGATAGGTATTAAGACTGACTAAGACTATAGATTCTCCGTTGGGATGATGGTTCGGATATCGAGGCTAGCAAGTCCGCCACCCATCGTTTCGCCATCGCCAAGCACTTCAAGCTTGTGCTCAGTGAACTTGAGGTCTCACACCCAGACGCCTTAATGATGCTGAGGTTTTACTCTTTACTTGAACCAGAGTTGATCCCACTATTAGACAGCTGGCAACGGGCCGATCTCACTCCAGAATTGCCTCCATTTACAGTATCATCACCACGCAAGGACAACGCCGGGCAAGGAATCCTTCAATTTCTCACATGCTGCCTTAGACGCACCTCCAAGCCCAAGAAAGGTAGCACTGCTCTTCCTGATGAGAAAGACTTTAAAAGCCAAACACACTCTCTGGTAGACAGCTTGAGAGATTTATTCCATGATCAAAGCCGTCGCGAGAGAGCTGTTGCAAAGCTTTGTGGACTAAGTTTGACTCACCGAATAGAAGGGGAGAGAGCTTTGTGGATGCACGATTTGACCAAGAAAATGACGCGATCGAGCATTCCTCCGCATGATGATGAAAAGTGGTTGATCGCTGGAATCAATGCTCTTTTTCACCTCATGCCCGTTGGCGACAGCACAGATGAGGAGCGCGCGTGGGTCAATCTTTGTATTCCCCAAGCCATGACTCTAGTCCGCCAAGCCGAGTCTATCAACTTGGAGCTGCAAAAGTATGGGTCATTTCTCGCCCTTTGCGCCCTTTGCAACCTCCACCACGGCTCTTGGGCTCTATCAAAACAACAGTATGAAATCGTTCGGCCACTCTACGAGCGACACCTAGGGTTGGAGCATCATCGGACCATCAACTTGCTCAAAGACTTGGCATGGGCTGCGCGCTTGTCGGGAGAGATGAAATCATCCGAGACCTATTTCCAAAAGGTTCTGGAGCTGCGGGAAAAGACTTTGGGACCAAATTCCCCCGACACACTTGAGACTTTGAACGATTTAGCAACAACGATTGAACGGGCCGGTAAGCTAAAGCAGGCGGAGCTGATGTTCCAAAAGCTCTATGACCGGTACAATTCGTCCATCGGACCGGAAGGTGTGAGAACTCTTGCGGCGGCTCATAACCTTGCGACGTGTCTTCATAACCAGGGTCGCTTGGCCAAGGCAGAGGAGATGTACAAGACCGCCCTCGCAACAAGTAGGGGTGCTGAAGACACCGGAACACTCAAAACCCTTAGTAACTACGCAGCAACACTGGACCATGACGGAAGGTTCGACGAAGCCAAAACTGTTTACGATGAGGCTCTGACCAAGTTCGTTAAGGCTTTTGGAGTGAATCATCTGCTCACGCTCCGACTCCGTGGAAACATGGCCTGCCTTCTAAAGCAGCAAGGGAAGTTTGATCAAGCCGAGAAACTCATGGGTAGCTGCCTGGAAACCGTCCACAGAATATACGGCCCCGACAGTTTTGAGGCCATCGCCGATTTATATTCCCTAGGCGAGGTGTTGCAAGTCAAGGGCGAACTTTGCAAGGCTGTTGAAGCCTACCAAGAGACTCTACGCCGGTCATCGGGGGAGATGGCAACGCATCCGGTAGTTTTTCGATTTATTGACTCTCTGGGCGCCGCGGAAAGGGAGATGGGACATCTTGAAGTCGCAAACGAAAAGGCCAAGGACGCCTACAGCAAGTTTGAGTCTCTCCTGGGATGGGATGATCCTTATACTCTAATGGCTGCCAACGATTACGCAGAGGTTATTCACGCAGATGGCCGATACAAGGAGGCGTGGGATCTCTATACCAGGTGCCAAGATTCTTTCGAGACTCTTTTAGGACGGGAACACCCACACGTAGCAATGGTAATGAATAATATGGGAAGACTGTGCTGGGTCCTCAACGATGACGACCCTATGCGGCTATTCACCGAAGCAAAAGAAATATTAGCTACGAGGCTAGGGGCAAACCACTTCTGCACTCTTACCGTCAACCTAAACATCGCTCGGACGAAAGCCATGTCGGGTGACTTTGACGGCGCAGTGAGACTGGCAAGCGAAACTCAGATTGCGCTCAAAAGTCACATGGGCGATGAACACCCCCTGACTTTGGCATCCAACATCGTCTTGGGGATCATATGTGCTTCGAGAGGGGACACGACTTCACTAACGAAAGCGAAATATCACCTTCTCGCTGCCATACAAACAAATAAACATGATAAACACCCCCTCGGCGCCAATGTGTTTCTCAGTTTTGGCCTCCTCATTCTGGTTCTCAAGCGGCTCCCAAATTCCTCGGTCGACATCATCAATCTTTTGGCAGATAGCAAATCCTTCAAAGATGGGCAGCTTTCGCCGTTTCACATCCACCCTCGCGGTAAGATTTCTTTTGAGCAGCTTTGTAACATGGACACGGATTCCTTTGACTTCAGCCACTATATCCCCCTTTCTATCGGCGAGACCACGAAGCTTCGGTGGGGTAGGAAAACATGCTGGAGGGAGATGGAAAGCGCCAAGTTGCACGTATGACTCTCAACATTTACACAAAGTGCTAGGCGGCCTATTGCAAATAGTTCAATTTTGGATGCAGTACACAATATCTCCCTTGAAGTTCATCGACCATTTCCTTTCCCCTTGGCTGTCTATCACCATTCTTTGTGTCGGGAAATTTACCCATTCATGGTTTTCCTCAGTCTTTCTAACTCCGAATCAACCATTTCCCCAACTAAAGACTATGTCATGCTTCAGTGAGACTCTACCATGAGGTCAATACGACTGTGCTTACCTCAAACGTTGTTACGGCTTGCCAACGCATCGTCTCGAATGCAAGACTGCTGTCACCTAGAAGATAGTTTACTTCCACGGCTCGTGTCAAAGTCTGGTCAATCTTGACAACCGTCTTCCTGCTATCAGCATCAGTGGCACCTACACACTTTTTAAAATCGTCATAAAGCCAGCTATATGATATTCGTCAATATTCTTTTGGTTATCAACGCAAACTTTCGTCTCTCGTTGAGACGTTGAACATTTGTGACTCACCGGAGCCGAATCCCGATGTGCTGAAAAGCCAAATCAACAAAATCTCGAACGGTATGCTGCTTGCCGGAAGCCAGTACCATGTCGCGTGGCTCTGCTTGCTGTAGCATCATCCAGATACCCTGGACATAATCTCTCGCGTGGCCCCAGTCCCGCGTCATGTCTACCCCGGCCAGCGTCAGGGGCTTGTCACTGATACCGAGGGCTTGGGATGCAACCCCTCGGGCTATGCGCATGGTCACGAAGCCGCTCCCTTTGCTTCATTAGTCATTTTCTCTCACGGGCAGTTCGGTGCTTTTGGACCTCTACTGAAAGTCGTAGATGAACATTACCTCGTCTGGGTGATTCGTGGTTGAAAAGAATACCATTGACGGCCCAAAGCCCATGCGAGACACGATAGTTGCGGACAAACCAATACGCTGCCAGTTTGGAGATAGCATATGGTGATCTTGGAGAGAAAGCAGATTGTTCGTTGAGAGTATCTGCGGGGGAGAGGGTCCCGCCAAAGAGTTCTGAAGTGGCCGCCTGTCATCCGAGTCAGGGTTTTGCTTTTTGATACCCCGTCACGTTGGAAACTCTAAGCCAGTTCCAAGTCCTCTTTGTGACTCTTACATTGTATAGTCTGACGTGGTTCTCGAGTCCGCAGTTGACAATCGCTTGCAAAAGATTCAACGTGCCTATCGTGTTCACTTGCATGGTGTAGTCCGGCGTCTTGAAGGATTGACTGACATGCGACTGTGCGGCCAAGTGGTATATCTCATCTGGACGTACATCTCGCAAAAGGTTGTTGAGAAAGTGAGAATCCATGATGTCGCCTTTATGAAGCGTGCTTTGTCTCTCTATTTTACTGACGTTACGTCAAACTTGTGAACGGTAACACACCAAATCCAATTATCACTACTTAGCATTGGCAACAATCTTGGGTCAACCTACGCAATGTTGCTGTAATTTATGCCTTCTTGAGAGGCATTCCTCCTTACGAGTCCGTGGACCCGATAACCCTTTTGCAATAGTAGCTCTGCAAGATACGAACCATCTTGTCCCGTAAAACCTGCCTTTACTGTTAACCATCGCCACAACACTTCAAGCCTTGGTTAACACGATTAGTGTAGCATAATTCTCCATGCTCTTACCCGTTATCAGCGCTATCTTAATATCCCGCTTAAGCAGCGATGCTTCGTCTTGCGAATTTGAGTCCATGACAAGGCGTCCAAGGGTAAGCAGCCGTAGGTGGCGAAATAGATGGTGGCTTGATCAAATGACACATTTATTGCCAACAAAAGATGACCTTTACATACAGCCACCACTACAGAGGTCTTGCCAACAAATGTGAGTTGAGCCGCCTCGGCGACATTGGCGATTCCTTGGCCCATGATAAGAGATTGGGTGGAGTCTGAAATGGTGTCGTGAAGTGGCGTGGTGCCGAGTTGGGGCTTTCTTGGCGGTTGCATCTCTCCAAGCACAGATCTTAGGTCTCATTGTCGAACTCCGCTCAACACTTGCTAAAGCGCCGGACTGCGGGTGCCGGGTGTGGTAAGAAAGTACTATACATGTAACATTGCGTATAGAATGGAATTTACCCGCCAGCCTGATACTTCAAGCTTTGTTTTCTCAAATATTGTGTTGGTAGCCTATTCTCAGCCTGCTCTCAGCCTGCCTTACCACACCACTATCGTAATCCATTAGACATTTCAGCTTCACCCCGTTGACTATCTGCAATCTGTTGGCTGCAATGTGCAAAACCCACTGGGGGAAAAGAACATCTCAATCCTCCACAGGGATTAGAGGCCAACGGGTGTCATCGGATCCCTTGATGGCTGTCTCATCAAATCGATCAAGCCAAACGCGGCCAAGTGGGAACGGGGGTGTTCCTGCAAGCTCCGCATCTCTCAACCAGAGCCTCAAGAGATGACGTTTCCCAAGCCCGTCATCCTCGTCGCGAAACGCCTCTCGCCCATGGAGCACCCTCCGGTTGTTGAAAAACACCAAGTCGCCCGTTTCGTACTGTACGCGATATGCAGCCTCCTCGGCGATGAGCTGTAGGGCGTCGAGGGCTGCTCCCTGACGCCGCGTCAGTGGTGGAACATGACCAGGGCGGAACCCGTGGTGCGACCGTATGAGGGCGCCACGGCTGAAGATCATCTCTGCCGCGGCGGACCTCTCACCGAGGAACATGACAGGACGGCGGACAAGGCTCCCGTCTCTGGCACGGGGCCAGTCAAAAGGCCAGTCGGGCTCTGCGAGGTCGCAGAGCAGATCTGGTCTGTTTGCGGCCAGCTCATTGTAGATGGTCGAGACGGGGCAGAAGATGCCCTCACCTCCGCTGGTGGACGGTCGGATGACCATCATAGCAACGACGTCGGCTGTTGGATCCGCATGAAATGGCTGCCACGATCACCATCAGCCGTCATTTCCTCGTCACCAAGGGGACCACATCTCCATGCAGTGTGCGATGGCAGGCCAGACTGGCCAAAGAGGAAACGAAACAATCAACATGTACATACAAGCGCACTATTTCTCCATGGCCCTGGCCGTGTCGTTCGTCCCGCATCCGATAGGTCGGTAACATGTACTGGTTTTATCAGTCAATTAGCGGGCGTGTCGACACACACAAATGAGATGGTGCTCAAACCCCCTTAAGGGGGTGGCCAAAGGCATGTTGTCTCGGGCGACGGCGCCCGACCCAGGATACTTCCAAAACACGTACCGATGACTTTGCCTCCTGGCTGCTGACCGCGCTGCGGCGACACATGGCTGGCAACTCCAGCAAACGTGGTGAATATGGCCCTCATGGAAAGGGCTGATGGCTCTATCCCACGTATGATACGGATGCCGAGCCCGCTGTGCAGGCTCTTACGGATTGATGCAAGCTTGACCTCGAGGCTAGGCAATGGGAAGGTTGACCTGTTTATTTCGTCAAGCGCCTTTCCCGACTCTGGAGATAGATTAGTATTTCGAGACCATCTCTGAAAGTCTCGGTGCAATTAGAGAAGTAGCTAATTAAAATTTACCGGAAAACCTTTCACAAGCGGCCTTGATTTCATGTAGTTCATTGCTTGAGAGTTGCGTTAGAGCTTCATCCTTCAGGTCCGACCCTCTCCATGCCATCGAGCCTAGCGAGGAGGGCCATGGGCTTGGGAGTCGGAGTCTGTCCCCTGGCAAGGGATGGTCCTTGCAAAAAGCCTCGAAGTCCTCTTTCTTGGTTTCATACTGAGGGACGAAGTGAGAGTCGCTTGTGCTCGCCATCATGGACAGAAAGGGTGGGATAAGAACGTGATCAGCGCCGTGTGGGCGGTACAAAAACTGTATGGGCGATACGGTGAAGAGTAATATGATTTCCATCGCATCTTCCGTGATGCCTCAAGAAGCTCGCCTCTCCTTTTAGCGTTTTTTTTTTTGGCAGTCAAAGCACCCTTTGTTCCGTAGCATCGTCGATCTTTTTCGAGTTTCACATGTATCGAAGTAGTGAACCTCGTAGCCTGCTGCTGTCTCTCTCCAACGGCCACTAGGGGCATATGAACTAGCCTCAGATAAACCAAAGGATTCATTCTCGGTACCTTTCTGACAGGTACTGTACCCGCATTTAACCGCCGCAACGGTCATCTGCGCTGCTAGAGCCCGATGCGGCGCGGAGTGCTGCATGAGAAGTACTGCAACCCAAGCCCCCAGCCGCCCACTTAGTATGAAGGCTGCATAGGCATGATGCGGATGAGGGCCTTTTTGAGCAGGCTTATCGTGTTGGCATTTGGGGCTTGGCGTCCGCTCATCAATCGATTACAGTGCGAAACGCTTCAGGTCTATCCAGTGAATGTGGTGATCCTCCACTCAATCAAGATTGATGCAGTAAGCCAACGAACGAGTTCAGGGAATAGCGACCGGATTGACTTGATAGAATATGGTTATTGCGATGTTTTGAGGACGCAACTATTGGTACCCATACAATGCACGTTTGGCACTCCCGCTGTCAATTCCTGGTAGGTATCTTCACTGTCAAAAAGCTTCCCGCCTCTAACATCTCCAGAGACTTACATGAAGAATAAGTGGTATTCTCTTTTTCTTCCTTGATAGAATGTCCAGCCAGGGCAGATATGAGGCTGTGAGTCTCGATGGCACCGCTTATGAAGGCGGCGGCGGCCTCATACGATATGGCATTGCTCTCTCCAGCATTCTCAACAGACCGCTACGAATTCATTCCATTCGAGCGAACCGGCCCGGTGTTGGAGGGCTTCGACCTGAGCACACAGTCGCCATAGATTCCATGGCGCAGCTCACAGCGGCCCAGGTAAGTGGAAACAAGCCCGCTAGTCGGGAAATAACTTTCAATCCTCACGCGGACTTGAGTGGAAATCACGCGCAGCCTCCGACTGAGCTGGACGTGACGGTTGAGGGTTCTGCTTCGATATTTCTCGTGGCCATGCTTCCGTTTATTCTGTTCTCTCACCTGGGGTCCAGAGCGTCTCACTTTACTTCTGGAGTGGACGAGAGCGCTGGGCTAGAGCTCACCATCAGAGCGGGTACCCTTTGTGTGAAAGCCCCTTCGATAAACTACTTGCGACAAGTATTCGTTCCGACCATGAAGCTCGTTGGAATTGGAGAAGACTACCTGGGCATTGACAATGAGCATGAGCAAGGATGGCACACAGAAAACACCAAATTCCCGGGCAAAATGGTTGCGAGGATAAAGCCTTTAAAAGAAGCCCTACCCGGTTTTATCCTCGAGCGACGAGGAGAATTACAAACGATCCGAGCTACGGCTCATGTGCCAGGTCATGTGCTCGACCAGTTCAAAGAAAACCTCGTGAATGAGTTAAAAAGTGCCGTCGGGGGGTCCGGAAGCAACGTCGAGGTCATTATCGATGTCTTCAAATCGGTGCCGGACGACCAATACCACTTGCTGTTGGTCGCTACGACAGTGGCACCTACAGCCTATCTTGGCTACGAGCAGGTTTACCCCCAGAGCGATGTTTTCCCCAAGGAGATGGAGGGAGACGAGGAGATGATTGCAAGCCGACTCATCAGATGTTGCATCCGTGGGCTGTGGGCCGAGCTGCGCACGGGAAACGCCGTCGATGAGCACATGGAGGATATGTTGGTCATCTACCAGAGCCTGGCATCCGGCTTTTCATCCGTCTCAGCGAAGAATGGAGATGAGCCTGTTCCAGAATTTAACGCAGAGACTCCGTCCATCAGTGAGTACACGGCACGATATAACACTTCATCATCTTGACTTTTGTTTTGAGAGGGAGGCTAACTTGTGGGTCGAAGAATCCGGATCTTTGTATGAGATTTCCACGGGATCAATGCATCGAGCGACAAGCTGGTGGATGGTGGAGCAGCTCACTGGGGTCAAGACTGAAAATCGCTTGGTGAATGGGCGGGAGCATGTCGGTTGTCGTGGCATCGGGCTTGGTTCGTGACATGAGTGCGATTCTATGAGGCACCCAAGAATCATGGAGGCGAAATTTGAAGATGCCTGATGAGCATGGATCTATTTAGCACTAACCACAATTCACAAATTGAAATAGCTTGATAAAACCGATCTGTTTCACAAGCCTCCTAAGTCGTCACTTTGTACTTATACACTCCTGTCTGTAGCTATGTACTCGCCTATGTTGAGTTTGAAAACTGGCATCATAAAAAGTACCGGTAGGCAGACATGTATTCAATGGATGAGCGGCTCACAATGTCGAGCCTACTGGGTCAACCAGCCGCACACAAAATCCCGTTTCCCTACAGAATAAAAAGCTAGCCTGGTACGCACTGGACACTACTACACACTACCTTTGTCTACCTCGCATTGCGCGATATCAGCTCACCATCAGACACCGCACTTAGCCACCAACCACATTCGAGCCTGCAGCACGGCCTGACAGGAGCTAAGACGATGGAGCCCGACAAGGCCCGCCGCTGGTGGCTCCCCGGACCGCCCCCACAACGCCGTCTTGTGTCCATTGCCGAAGTGGAGGAGTCGCTTTGCAGGGACGGCACCCCCGAACTTTCGATTCCCGTTCGACATGTTAGCGTGACGGGGCTCACGCTCTTTGCGACAGGCCACCCAGTGGCGGCCTCGCCCCTTGATCCGTACCTGGGCCATCTCGACAGCCCAAGTAACAACAGCACAAGTACGCATTTGTTCCACGGATGCGGGAACGTTACAGGGCCGGAAGTAGCAGAGTCTTTCTCGCGCAGGGGGCCTTGCATACGCTTTTCCCGTGATCGGAGCTATTTCTCGTCGAGTCGGGCGGTGTACTGGTCCAACTCGATCGAGTTCGCAATCGCATGGAGCTTCTTCTCGGAGACGGGCCATTGGGATCCCGCAGAATGTGATAAGCCCGGTATTTGGCCGTTCCAGTGTCTCGTGTACGTATCGAGGCTAGACCTGGAGAAAACGAACTTCGAAAACGGATTGCATCTGATACCTGAACCGCAGGGATTCAGAGATGAGGAGGAAATGGAGAATGTAAAGCCCTTTTTCCACTTTTCTCTCTGACCCGTCTTTCTCCCTTTGCCATATGTATCCTTTCATCATGAGCTTTGTGGCAGCAACAATAGATCAACCGCTGATTTTGGCCACGCCTAAGTGGTGCGATTCAAACATGAGCAAGTCTCCAGAGAAGCAACTTGTCTCACCGCCTGGGGCGGCGAAGACGGAATGGGGGTTAATTGGGTCTCGGATCCCCAAGCAAACAGCGAAGGGCTTGGCAAAATGGCACGAGCAGGCTGACAAGGTCTGGCTGTTTGCCAGCTGCAATGAAACGAGCAGCACCACCATTGCCAGAGCCGGTTTGGAGGTAAGCATGCCACGACTCTCGCAGATTCACAGGTGCGAACGGAAATATGACAGGAGGGAGAAGACAAATAAGACGGAGCAAGCAATGACTGACGCTGAGTGGGCAGATACTCTGTATTGCGTTCACGCCTGGTCCCGAAATACGACAACGCGTGTCCAAGTTGTAATGGTTGGTCGAGTAAACATTGAGCAGTTTGAGGTTTTCTGGTTTCCCAGAGTAATACGGATACATGCTGCATATCTTTCTAATGCACTACCCCATAACCAAGTATCTGTACATGCTTCACTCAAGCCATGCCAATGTGAATGTTCCGTTGCGCATTGCAGTCTCACCCGAGCGAACGCCACTAAGATTGCCAGTGTAACTGCCAGCAATTTCCACATCAGCTATGCCACACACACACACACACATATACACATACACAGAAATAACAATAATTTTAAAAAGGAGTATAATTCTTCATGGGAGTCATGGTAGATGAGAGTTAGCATGGAGGTAGCTTGGCAGGCGAACGGCAAAAATCTCATTCTCATTAATTGAAAGTAGAAGTAGAAGTACTCAAACCAACTAATATCCTACACCAATTAAAAAGTACAACAACCTGGTATGACCTGCAGGTCATTCCCTTTTCACTTGTGATTGTAACATTTGTAAATAGCAAACTCTTGAGTATAAGGGGATACAAAAAAGAAAGATAACCTCGATGAAAGGTATGTTAAATTTGTCAAGCATTAAGCGTTGTTCGTCTTTTCTTAAAACTACATACATATTGGGGGTTATTTTGCACACAGTCTAGTAGAATAAAATTATTTAAAATAAATGACTTATACTTAAGGTAATCCAAGTTGCTTAGGATTTTTCCCGTCAGCCTGCCAAGTTAGGATGCTGCCTGGCTCTTTCCTACGTGGTAAAAAGAAACAAATACTTTGTCAATACCACCATACCTGTACACCTATTTGCGGCAGGCACGCAAGGGGGGACTAATCCTTCCTGTTTGGCCCAAATTTACTTGGTCAGGCAATGGCAGGTCACGGGTGAGTTACCTAAGCATTGACTTATAGAGTGGCTGCATCTTAATGATGTGACCACCTTCGATCAGGCTGGCACAGCCTTGTCTTGACTTTATCTTGATCGACCCCCAGCTTCAATAGCGAACTCCACGACTGCTTGACCCGATAGCCCGCGGCGGTCACGCCCGAACTCGCGAATGCCATCTCCAAAGCCCGTCAGCAATAAGGTCGCCGACCGCCCTATTCCCCTGTCGCACTTCGCCTCCAAGAACATCCCCAAGAGCAACCACCGACATCCTCACTACCTCACCTTTATCATGTTTTCAATCGGCGTCATAGGATTCGTGCTTCTCGCTCATGGCCTGTTCTATGGCCTTTTTTCTTCGGGTCTTTTGGCGGCGCCGGCTTTACCTTCGCTTGAGGATCACCCAGACGAGGTATGGGATCATGTTGCTCCCTTCATCTTCGACTCAGTTCAGGGCCTTCTTAAGCAATGGCCTAACTCGTACGCCCCGAACGGTCACTCTGTCGTTGCCGGTACTTTAGAACCGGCAACGGTCTTGTATCATGCCAAGCATGGCGCCGGGCCTCCGGAGAAACCCACCTTCTTCGCTTTTGATGCGTACGTCCTTGTTTGCCGCTTCCTCTACCGATGCTTCTCTGCTGACCAAGTGGAAGCGAAATGTCGGTAGGCATTTATGGAGGATTCGGCGAGTCTCGTCTGCACGTCTACGGTACAACTCGTACCCTTAACATTATCTACTTGGATGGCCAGTCGGCGACTTTGACTCCCGCAGGAACTCTCGACTCGCAGATGGCGCTTCTCCAGGGAAGTGTGCCCAAGTCTCCATCTTACGACCTTACATACGACGACGATCAAAGGGCGATTGATCTGTGCGCACTCGTCGCTGAACTCGGGATTGATGGTGTTGTCCGCATGAACGCTGGATTCGAGGTGCTCATATGTGACTATTCGGCCGCTAAAGTTGAAGAGATATTTGTCACTAATATCACAGTGCCTGGAAACAAGGAGAATGAAAACAACGATTCTCTTCCACGGGATCCCAACCGCCAGCCTCCCCGAGGTTTCGGCAATATTTTCTCGGAGCAAGGCTCTTACGAGTGGCTCCGGAGTGCCACCTGGCACTACGGAGCCTACGGTGGGGGAGGTCCATCAGAGAGGAGAGTCAAGCTCGACGTCTGCCGCCTCATGTCCTTCTACGACCCTGACCTCTCCAGTCTCGTTCACTCTCACCATGGAGGTATCGTCGGAAATCAGACTTATCAAAATGGATGGGGCCTACGTCGCGGCCATCGATTGATTGGAATCAATACCCAGGATGTTGAACTCGCTCGATCGTGGTTAAAGGAAATAACGTCGCCCAAGTTTAAAAATACACTGTGCTCCGGTATTGACTGGCATTCACTCTTCACAGTCATTCGCGCTCAGCATGGGACTCGTGCCAAAGAGATTGGGGCAGCGTTTTTCTGGGATTACAGCACTGAGAGTGCTGCCATGGAAGTAGTTACCAAGATTCATGAGCTGACTCACGCAATGCTTGCTCCGTACCTGGAGTATGAAGTTTCCAACCAGGCTACGACGACGAAGGAACAGACTATTTCCCGATGCACATCAGTATATACAAAGTTGATTGACCCGAAAAGCTTAGCAAGGTCTGAAAAGCTATTGTTCAAGTCATTCAAGGTCGTAATTCAGAAGCTGTGCCAGTGGGAGTGGGATCTTTTTGAATGGAGCGAAAGACATACGACGAACTTCCTTGGTTTTGAACAAGACTTGGGTTCTCTTTCGATCCAGGATGAGATTCTTAAGCAAAGAAAGTCCACCGAAGATCTACTCGCGTGGATTGGCTGGGACACATGGACTGAATGTGACCGCCAGTGCGCTATAAATGTGAGTTATACCCAGTTGGCCAAGGTGCGACTTGGCGCTAACAACCATCTCAGGAGCTCTGTACTATTCCAACGTGGCCTGTTATATATGCACCAGGTCTTCCGCAGGGAGGTATCTACGCAGGAAACAGTTCCAGGCTTACCGAAGAGGAAATGCGCGAGTTTTGGCGGCCAAAGTGCGTCAATAGAACCGACTTTGACCGTGGTGGGGGTCGCGGGAGAGAGCCTGTCTATCAGTTCCCTGATGTACCGCCCTACATCTAAGTCAATAGAGTGCATCTTTGGTGAGCAGCAAAATTGCAAGCAGGTTACCACTAACTAGAACTTACGGCCGGGATGATAGGTATGGGTAAATGAATTTGAAGTGAGGGCGAGGTCCGAAAACAGGGAGTGGCAGCAACATAAGTGATCATCTTTTTTCGCATGGTGCCATAGCATCACACAGAACACTGTACTTTGAATACAGTCGATGCTTCCACCGCAATGAGATACTATGAACCGTCATGCACAAGTCAAAACCTTTTGTTATGGGCTCCGAGTTTTAGAGAACATCTAGCCCGGCAGTGATCCAAGGACAAACTGTAATGATTATATCTTCAGGCGGCGGCTGAGAAGAATACTAATACTGCCGATAATGCCTTCACCACCGCTCATACTGCTAGTACGCTTGCGAGCATATTTTTTTTTTTTTGATGCCGGACTGACTGTAGGCCCAAGCGGTAGATAAGGCCATCCGGAGAGCCTTCCATCCATGCTCAATTTGGTAACCCTCTCACCACCTGCCTTTAGGCAAAAGACTCAAATCGTATGTTGCCTCTCTTAGTCTATGCCTGGAGCAACAGCTTCATGTTGGGGTCCTTCAAGATTCGACAGTCGCTCTCGTATCCCTTTTCCTTCCATCCAACTGTCTGGCAGTCCTGCGAGTTTTGTCAACGGGCCATAGCCTCGATTAAGCTCTTTGGTCACTCTAAAATGCAGCGGTGTTAGAGAAGCGGAGACGATCTGGCGGTGAGGGTCAACTTGACAAACATGCAAGATTGAGAATAAGTCGGCTCCCGCAAGTATACAGGACAAACTTGAAATTTTTGATTACTTCAACAACCAGGTCGGTTTAAAGTGACCAGCTACACACAACGACGATGACTCAATGATCAATAGCAACGCATCGCCGGGGTGCAAACAGCGATAGTTATATGCGGCTTGCTAAAGTTTTGGGGTTGGAACTTCCAAAAAAAAAAAAAAAAAAAACGTTACTCAGCCACCTGAGTAGGTTTAACATCAAAAGACTAGCCTTTGTGATATCTTTGCTCGAGGTTGTAAGGCGTAGCAGCTTCCGTATTTCTCTCGACTTGCTAGACTGCGGAGCAAATATAAAAGCTGGAAACCCTTATTATATATGGAGAATAATACGACAACGTACCTTTAGTCCGATTAGGTACAGGAATGAACAAAACCGGACTGTGAGTGATTGAAGAGGCATAGCATCGGCTACCTCGCATGGGGCTTGTGCAGGCCAGAAACCAAACTCCACGCTGCCAAAGCATGGCTCCTGAGTCACGTAGGATTATGTACCGAGACGCCCAATAGAAACGATACCTATACGTTTATAGGCTATAGCCTGAGAATTATATAGGTGATGAATCATGCATGCATTGATCGTCAAACAGCATATACAGCCCCGTAAGTCAGTCTTTGTATTAATAAGGCTAGTGGGATTATATTTTCATGTGATAATGGCATATTTCCAGCCATTGCCAGAAATCTGAGCCACGAATGCAAACCCTTAAGCTTCCGTGGCTGGAGCGGCCGGTGGGGCAGCTCCGGGAGCCTCAGCCGGAGTTGCCGGCGGAGGTGTCTGGGGCTCGGCCGGTGGGGGCTGGGCTGCCGGCTGTCCTTCCCCAGCTGGCGGAGGAGTAGCTTGCTGTCCGCCATTTCCTTTGCCTTTGCCTTTTCCACGATCACCACCAGGGCTAATGTTGATACCTACGTCAAAATTCGTCAGCTAATGACCGTTCACGGGACAGCATATTTATTTAGGTCACTTACCCGACTTGCCGCCAACCGAGGTACTACCATCACTTCCCTTGGTGATGCCCAAGTTGCCTCCGACTAGTTTTCTGGGTTAGCAAAGTGGGCCAGAGGAATCAATTGAAGGACTTCTTACCGTTCTGGACCTGGCCATCAGCTCCAATTGTAATACCGGCGTTGTCCTTGAACTGTTCTGACTCTTGGACGGCTTTAGGCTGGCCTGCTTCGCCAGCTGGCTTGGCGGCTTCACCTGCGTTGCCGTTGCCTTTCCCTTTGCGTTCTGCCTCCTTTGCGGCCTCTTTCGCCTTTGCCGCCTCACCAGGGTTCGCTCCGAGACCTTGCTCTGCCTTCGCAGCTTCGCCAGGGTTGGCAGCAGGACCGCCTTCTCCTTTACCCTTACCAGCCTTTTGACCGCCCCCGCCAGCCGCTTCGCCGCCTTGACCGGCGTTCGCGGTGCCGTTCTTCTTGCCTTGGCTGGCATTCAGAAACGCATCAAGTGCACTATTACCAGTTCCTCCCGCAGGCTTGTTGCCTCCCAGCTGGAGCCCGGGAGCAGACAGACCGCCATTTCCATTAGCCGTCTGGTTTCCTGCAGCTCCAGCTTGTTGGCCCTGTCCCTTGCCCTTGCCTCCGAGCTGAAGCCCTCCCGGGCCGCCGATGTTGATGCCTCCGCCCTCGAAGCTAATCTGCCTCTTGGTGACAGTAGGTTTGTCGGTATTCGGCTTAACAAGAGCTGCGGCACGACCGGCAGCACTGCCCTATAACGTCAAGGAGGCATTAGTAAGACGATTAACGAGTTGACAAGATGTAATAATCATTCACAGATGATTCCTGAGCAACCAGCCTTGTTGACTTACAGAAAACATGTTTAACTGGCTCTCTTGGCGGTCGCAAAGCCCCCCTTCGCCAAGCGCCAAGATGGCCACTGCAACAAGAGAAGAGAACCGCATGTTGGTCAAACAGGAAATCGGCGGATCTTCTTCTTAATTTTTTTTTTTTTTGAAACAAAAAATATGGTCCAAAGAGGGCTGCACAGCAGCAAAGAATTGAAGCTAAGGCGAGAATAGGATATTAGGGCGTAACAACAACAACCAGCGAAGCATCAAGCTTCTGCACGAACGAAAAGACTGAGCGACAGAGGAAAGACCATGAGAAGCAAAGGACGAGATGAGATGATTAACAATCCGGGGAAAGGAGGGAATTGGCATCTCACGCCCCACATATTTTTCTTAGAGGAACTGCATATAGAGTTACTTTTCGTCAGAACACAACGCAGAGTTGTGTTCTACATTTGCCCGTTTCTATCGTCGGCTGACGTGGACGTGAAGCCGGGCCGGAGAGCGTAACATTTGGGGGATCTTGAGCCGCATGAAGCGAGCCTGAACCGGGCACCACCCTGGTGCTCGTGCACACTTTGATCTGGACCTTTTCTGCCCATCGTAGCCCAACTCGCCCCCCCAAACCCAGCTGGTTGGATCGGCCAAGTTAAACGCTAAGAGTAGTTTAAAAGCGTCAAGAGTTCTCGCCAAAACACACACGTCAACGGAGGCCAAGAAAAAGGAAACGTCACAAATAACCCGGAGTGCATAACATGGATGGGTTTTGGGTGAGATCGGATGGCGCCGCAAGTGGCTCGTCTGGAGTTGACTTGCTACCACACCACCGTCTCGGCACGGCTTGGCGTCGCGGAGCTGCGGCAGCGCGGGCTATTATTGGGATTTTTCTAGGGATGCCCGCCCGGTGTTCACCGTGTCCGTCGTAACCCTTCCGAGACGGGATCTTATTTATTCATGGGGCGTACAATGGCATGCTGCGCGAGGAAAGCAAGGGAGGGGAGAGATTAAAGGCAGTAAGGCACCGTCCAATTCGTTCATTACTTTTCTTATCCTTTCTGCGTCGTAAAGTCATTAGAAATTACGAATAGTAAAGCGCGCACAGTGAAGAATGAAGGACTCGGGGAAGGTTGTAGTAGTAGGGAAGGGCTTTTTTCCAAGGAGGGTTTTGAAGTGATTTCGACATCGGCCACACTTCGCCACACACACACCAGGCTCGTTTTCTTGAACACTCTTCCGCTCGAAAAAAATTACACCAAACCGACACCATCCTAGAAATTCTGCCTGGAAAAAGGCAAAACAAAAGAAATAAGTAACCGTCCTTTCCCCAACATCCGCTCCGATTTCCTTTGTTTCGCCACAGTTCGTGTTAAGATGCTGTTGTTGTTGTTGTTGTTGTTGTCGTTGTCAAGATCCCGAGGACCAGAGAAAAAGATTCTCTTTCACTTAACAATGGCAGGCGGTCGGGGCCAGCGAAAGGGGAAGGAGAGTGGTCTGGTAGATGGTGACGGTCACGTCCTCATCATCGTCGTCGTTGGCGGCGTGGAAGCCACCCTTACCGCCGGTCGGGTAGGGCGCCTTGGTGATCTGGGGAGCGTTCGGAGCACGGGGGGGCTTAGTCAGAGTTACGGGGTGATTGTAGCCTGCGGACCAGCCAATGGTGTCAGGACAAGTGCCTTGGAAAACTGTAGTAACTTGGGTGACGACAACGGGCGTCGGAGTGATGTGCTGGCCAGCCGAGCCCGTCGCCGTCGCGGTGGAGTTCTTGGAAAAGGAAGGGCCAAGGGTCTTGCTCACCGTGACAGTGACGGTGGCCGGCGGCGCACAAACGGAGGGCTCGGCCGGGATCGGGGTGGGATCGGTGCAGTCGGCGCCGCTGATGGCGAACTTGGGCGTCTGAGCGTAGATCACGTAGACGTTGGTGCCGTTGATGGCATTGCTGTAATTCGGAGGCATTCAGTGTTAGCCCGGTATTCGTTCCGAACAAAAAGGACTTGGAGGCAAAACCCCTTCGCATAGGAGGCGGACCCTTGTCATGCCCACGAGTTTGATCCGCTTTTAATTTCAAGATGCTGTTACGTGACTCGTTTACCACACCCGCTTGGGATAAGCTTGATGGAGCATCTTTCAGGGGCTGAACAAAAGCAAACTCGGGAAAGCAGGACAAAGGGTCCCCCCTCCCAGGGACACAGACACACACAACACACGCACACTCCCAGACGAGAGACAGAAGAAATGGGGAAAGGCTCACAATTGGTAACCACCAGAGTTGGCAGCAGAGCAGGGGATCTGGACGGAGGCGGCACCGGCGGAGGTCTCAATGTTTTGAGCCAAAAGAGTGTAAGAAGGAGGCCAGTTGACGAAGTTGACGAGGTAGACACTGAAGATGGAGGGATCGGTATCGACGGTGTTCCAGCTCAACTCGTACTTGGTGCCCTTGGTGACGGTGGAGTTCAAAGAAGGGCTGGTGAACTCGATGGCGGAGACAACCAAGGGGGCCACGAGGGCGAGGGCAGCAGTGAAGAAACGCATATTTTCTGTGGGTTTTTGTGATCCGGAATACGAACAAAAGAGTGACTGGGATCGGTGAGGGAACGAAAAAGATCCTGAAAGTCCGAAAGCTCAGAGATAGGGGGGCATCGCGACTATTATGTGCACTTTTTTCAAGCTGCCTCTCGAAACCATGGGAGATTGGCAATAGGCAACGACAGTGCTGGGCCGCAGGAGTGGTGGAGTCTTTTCCCCAGGGCCGGAAGCCCGCGGTGCCGCTAAACCCAGAGATTTGCGTCGAACGAGGGGTTCGTATTTGGAGATGTGAAATCCTCCTGTTGGCACCTATTCAAGGGTCCGTTGTGGTTCATGATCGCGGACTAGACACTCAACACAGCGGCAGGGCACGGATCCCATTGCTAGTTATGGGTTAGGTCATTTCGCGTAGCGCCAATCTTGGCGAGGAAGATTTAAGCACTATTATGTGATATGCGGCACAGTTAAGCCACAATACTTCTCTCGGGCGCTGCCCCTGATTCCTACCTACAGCTGCTTATGAGCTGGTGTGCTGCTTATGCTGCTTTGTAAAGGGGGTTACCCAAACTGGACCGTTGATATTGGCGTTCAGTTGGTTCATTGGGCGTCCGGCAGGGGCGCTATTTAGGCTGACAGCTTTCATGCCGCTTGGTTCATTTGAGGCGATCTGGTCAGCTTCTTCGACTCTTCCTTCTTCCCCTTTTTCTTGCTATTCCTTCGTGACATGAATCAAGCCATGGCACTGCGTCCTCCCGGCTCCGTTGGCGCCGCTCTGCGGCGTGGCACTCGTAAAGGTTGCCAAACCTTGGCTGTTATCTTACCGCGCCGCACCGCACTTGGACGAATACGGCATCGCTCATAGCATGACAGAGTGCCCAATTTCAACTTCGCAGGAACAGACACCTTTGCAGCCTTTTAACTCGACGAACCATGCGAGAAAGGCGAAAAAAGTCCCGCAGGGATGGAAATGAGGAACGGGGCTTTGCGAGACTGACGGTCAGCCAATGCAGCAAGAGATTCGTCCGCTCTGGTTTCTGTTGGCGCTTGGTGATGTGCGAACCAGCACCGAAGAAGAAGAAGAATAGAGCAGCAAAATTAGACCCGCCAAACCCCGTGTGCTATCAATTTCGTCTCGTGAACGTTTGCCATGGCTCGTCTCAAAAGGATCGTCGCGTTTGCGGGCCCCAATTCAACTGGGCGCAATCAGTTTGCTCCTTTTTCCGGCTTGGCGAGCGTTGGACGGAGTAAGTTGCCGGCGGCCGAGTCTTGTCATCAAAGAGATGAGTGGTGACCTTGACAAAAAACAAAAACTAATAAATGGTAGTCCATGATGACGTATAGAATAAAGATGAAAGATGGGTTGGCCGAACTTGGGCCGACAAAGGGAAGTAAACGGCTCCGTCCAATGTCGCCACGCCCCGACGCCAATTCCGGACGATGACCGGCTCCAAGCGCGTTGCCGAGGCCTGTTATTGTTTCTAGTAATCACTAAACCGTCTTGTTCAACATGTTTGTCACTAAATCAGGTGCGACTATGCCTCAGCATGCAGAAGCGCGACGCGATCTCGACTGGTCCCGACTTATCCATACGCTTTTTGTGTGAACATTGTTGCGAAAGTGTACTCCTCTTAACTAATCAACACCACTTGGGAGTGGAGTTTTTAATTCGACTAAAGATTTTTTTTTCTAGCTCAACACGCACGCACGCCATCCGTTAACTTGACCAGAACCGGTTCGTGTCCTGACTGACTCGTTGAGACTTTCCTACTTGGCTTGGTCCAGATCTAGCCTGTCGTGGACAATGGGCATGTCTTTCACCGGCGTAAACCCCGTTTGAATTGATTCGGAACAGTACCGCCTTAGACCTGAATCGGCTATTGTAGCGTAACACGGCATTTCAAGGGCTCAAAAGGGCATACAGATAGATAATGCTCAATTCGCTCCGTCACACAACCAAGCAGTATCTACTCCGAACTCGAATCAGTTGCTCGTGTCGTCGTTTGTCTTCGTTTCTCAATGAATCATTGGCACTAAGTGAAATGAGAATCCCTGTCCTTCGACAGTATCACTCTAAAACCCTGGTGTAGAGACAAGTTAGTTTCTTTGAGTCCACGGAGTACGAAGCCATTGAATTCAAGTAGTCGTTTGTCCACCGGCACGCATATCATTCTTTCAGTCTTCACGTTGGCGAAACGAGGTTCGCTGACAACTCTACCTGTTTTATATGATTGCATTCTGGCCAAAGGCCATAAAGTTGTCTTTTTTTGCCGCCCTAGGTCCTCGTGTCCATAACACCTTGTAGTTCTTAAGATGGAATAATTTCGCACGCGAGCCTCATACCGGGCGCAGTACCAAGATGCTGTTGATCGTAATATTCTCCTTAATTAGTTTTCAGGTCTTGGCCGCGCCAATCGCAGGATACGACGACATCGCAAATGCCGCTTACCTTGCCGGTCCTCTGCCTCTTCAAGAGCTAGACGCCGAACTAGCACGTCTACATGCAAACGGGACCCTTTCTAAGCGCGAAGGAGGGGAATGCCAACATGTAACCTTTTGCAGCAAGCCAAAGTTCCGAGGCAAATGCAGCGCTTTCTGTTTTGCCCCTGACAAGTTCACGCCCATCAGCCATCAATGGACACTTGAAACTCAGTCAGTTCGCATGCGAGAGAGATCCGCGTGCTGGTTCTATAGGTAGGATTGCTCCAAACGATTTGATACGTTTTTTTCTGCTGTTTCGAACGATTCCAGGACTGATGTCTCTCTATTTCAGAAATATTATGTGCAAGGTAAATGTTGATATGACCCCGATGCAATTCATCACATGGCCTGGCTACGACCTCAAACCCCCCGTCTTGGGCGCCATGTCATGCGTCTACTGTCCTGATAAAGATCCCGACTACTTCGAATAAGGGTATGGTTCTGCTAAGGCGACAATGAAAGACACGCATCTACAACAACATATATGTACTACAATCGTGGATGACGGTCTGGAAGGCTTGCGCAGTGCCCTATGAAACGGATTTGCATGTTAGCAACCGGCGGCACACAATTAGCGACATGGTTTCTACAGGAACAATAAGTTGAAGGAAGACCGGTGGCAAGTTGAACCGTCGCATCAAGGAACCTGGAAGTCTGTAATCTGATGTCATGACCAAATCGTGTTTTTGGAGTTTATTGGCAATACTTGTGTCTTCTGCGACGTCTACCGTTAGTCTACAGAGCAATCGATGCGTTGGTAGCCGTGGCCCAAAGCCATCAAGCCGGTGCGTATTCTTAATTGCATACAAATGAGAACACGAAGGTATCAAACATGAACGTGACAAGATCATACATAATTGCATCAATTAGTGATTATAAACGACGATATTTGTGTCTAGAAGGGTTAACTTCATGATGGGATTCACCACAACATGCAGGTTCACATGACAGCCATTGTGAGACTGCTGCCATCATAGTGAAAACTGAAAGGCGAGACTTCTAAGGTACAGTTTCTTGCTGTCTATGTATTAGTTTGCTTGATTTATCCTCTTCCTGAAGATAGCTCGATACGCTCAGTATTACCTGCCAATTTTCCCTGTTTCTCTAATAATCTCACAATCTACGGCAATCCTACCAGCGTAAAGGTTCAAAAGTCTGTGTCGCTGCCGCAATGTGAGAACCTGTAAGCATCGATCAAAATAAAATGGATATGATAACCAAAGAGTATCTTCATCTTATCAACACCACCTCCTCTAATCAGAGACTATCGTGTCAATAAAATGATCAGACGAACGACCACTTGGTGGCTCCGCTAGACTTCACATTGTGAAACCGTATAATCGGGAAGGCTTAGCCTATACTTGGCCATATTGCGCGCTGCTCAATATACTAGCAGACTAGCTTAGGTATTATTAAGGTAATCTACGAATCAATACCTCTAATCTTAACCTAAATTTCACAGCTAGATAGTAATGAAACCACGTATCCGTGCTAAGAATCATAGGTGTAGACATTGTGAAACCTACCTTCTAGTATCTCAGGCTTTTTAACTGAAACGAAGAGAAACATCTAACTCGCATGCAATGGAGCGTATTCAAGCACCTTCTCTAACTGGTCACGACCCCTCAGCCTACGGGTGAGCTGCTGTCGAGTCAAGGGCCCTGCCTTGCTGAGTCGTCAGCAGCTCACCAGACATTGAAAAAGAGTGCGCATTCAGAACTTAATCTATCATTGGGGATAACTTATCGTCAAAAAGTGTCGCGAATGATAATCGCCTGGCTCAACTTTCTCGCGGTAGGGCAGAGAAAGAAGCTGCTGCACTATATGAAGCGATTCTCTCTTTCTTTTCTAATATAGAGACGCATCAACATTGAACAGGGTATTCATATGAGGCAGACACAATGCCATCATCTCATGTCTTGCTACGATCGGCTTTCGGGCCCCGATCGGTCCGAATATATACTTTCTGAGCGGCATCTAGCTCCTTAGTCTTCAGTTGCGGGTGTGAAACACACTCGTTCAAATCTTTCCAGATGTGAGCAAAGAACCGAACTGTCGAAAAGTGTTGTATAAACCGCGGCACTAGTGGCATTCCATTGATGCGCTTGCCGTTACGTCTGAACTCCTTTTAGGAAGATGAAGAGACGAAAAGACAACTTTAATGTCTCGTGCGGCGCAGCAAAAGTAGGTACAAACCCTGTCTTATCTTTTAGTTCCAATGAGTTTGCAATAATTGGGCACCGAGGCCGAGCAAGGCAACCAACTCACAGTCAGCGACTCACGCGAGACGATGTGTGTGGCTCTGCCTGAGTAGGCAGCACAGGGGAGAGAAGAACTCATCGTTTCAGATTTTTGACCCGCAAAACTGACTAGCAATTAAGTTGCTAAGGTCTCCGCGGATCATTTGCAGGCGTTGCGCGGACGCGGAGGGGAAGGTAGTAGCCGTAATGGTGATGTTTAAGAGCATTCTTGTGCGCAAACGCACAGAAATTGGCTAGAGACCTAAACTTTAACAGGGGTCTGCCAGTCAGCATGTGGAATCTTCTTGTCATTTGTACAGATGACAGGGGCATTGCCGATGACCGCGGGTGTTTCGGCACGTCAACGAGGGGTGTCCAATGGTTCAAGTCCTCCGTTGACACTGAACCAGGGATTGGGCAGCACTCCCAGTTTCTTGGGTCCGTCTGATTGTTGGTTCGGCGAATCCCAACTGTAGTCAATTAGGCAAAGCCTGATAAAAAGTTCCTTAATCGAGTGTGATTCATTCAAAACCTAAGGGTGAATCAAGATTGCCTTTTCACGACAGACGTGGTTGTTCGCGGTTTTCAGGAGGCCAAGGCGGATACAGTGATTGAGCAGCTTAACTACGATCAGGTTAACGTTTGAATGATCCAAGAACTCAGTATTGCGCATGCATTCGGGTGCCTGTCGGGATTATAGAATTTTCAGAAATCAGTCATCCATCTCTGTGTGTGATGCGTCCACTTGGCTCTACGGGTATCGAGCTGACTAGGATCTGCCTGGCAATGCGAATTCTCATACTCACCAGAGTGTACGACACCATTGATTCAGTGTAAAGTCTAAGGCTGGGGTCTTATCCGCGCTGCGAAACATTCGCAAAGGCCGTTTTTTTCCGAGCAAGGTACGACAAGAGATCCAAGGGTCAAGTCAGAAGAATAATACAAGAGCCTGACTATCTGCGGTTCTTCTACATAGGAATTCAAAAATCTATTAGCTGAGCGATACGTAAACTTTCGTTTCTGCAACCGCTGGAACGGTAACGGCAAGCCTCTTTGCTTTCCCTCGCTACCTCAGCTTTCTTCCTGTTACTTTCTCTTGCCAAACGGGCCGCTCTCCGTGTATCATCGTCCACCAAGCGGCTAGAAGATGCCGTAGCGATTATACTACATGTAAGTATCCTCTGCAAGTGGAGAACAAAAGGGGTGACCAACGTCCCATCGAGGTTTCGGACGAACACAAGCGAGACCCATCACTTTCTCTACTCTTACGCTGGATCCTGTGTTGAGAATATCAGAATTCCCGTTTCGGGTAAGGTGCCATTCAGTTCACAGACCAATAGCGGGCGATCTTTTCATGTCTCCAAGTTGTGGGTCTCTTGTTGAGAATATCAGGATTTCCTATTTGGGTAATCCTGTTTAGTCTTCTTGACATTGAATTAACCTGAATGATATACATATAAGGCCGTGGCCTGATCACTTGGTTTATTTTTGACAGCAGTTCTCTTCTTAACACATTCTTTTTTTTTTCGTCTATTGTTCGTTAACTAAGCCTTTTGACTTAATAGCTTTTCAATCTTGGTCGTGCGACGTTCGATACGAGCTTGACCGGATTCTAATCCTCCATTTTTCCTTCTCGGACATTCTTCATTTCTACATACAATCTGGAGCTGGCTACTTCAAAAAATCAACGACGAAAACTATAAGAAGAAATCATGGTTCACTCATATTCTCTCGTTATCATGCTCGCAGTAGCTATGCTGGGCGAAGCTGCGGTATTGTCGACACCAGCTCACGGAACGATTTCGAGCTCCCTACTATCCAGACAGAATAAGGGAGGTAATGGCGGCGGTGCCTGTCTGAACAAGAACCTCATTCAATCAAACAGCGACAAGACTGGCCAGGAACCCGGAACGGACGGCATCAAGCCGGGCCAGGCGAAATCTGTAACGTAAGTATAGCCGATGGCAATCAATCCACAACACCTACATACAGGCATCTTCCGTGTAACAGATCATTGAGGCTTACCAACACGGACAACACAGTGACCCCGACAACTTTATCAACTTCTGCCAGGGCAAGACCATCACCAATGGCGCTCAAATCACGGCGGGATCATGCAACGGCATCCCGATGGGCGACATACCTGCCCTCAAGAACATGGTGTCGGCCATGATCACCAACCCGCAGCCAGGCGAAAAGGTACAGGCAGGTCAGACGTTCAATATCTCAGTACAAACGTCAAACCTCAAAGCTGGAAATTTTGTGAACCCTACCACAAACTACTACACATCGCCTCAGGCCCTTGATGACCAAGGAAAAATCATCGGCCATTGCCACGTTACAGTGCAAGATATTGGAAGCCTCAAGTCAACTACTCCACCTGACCCTACCAAGTTCGCCTTCTTCAAGGGTATCGACGATGCCGGCAATGGTAAAGGCCTTCTGCAGGCTACGGTTACCGGCGGTCTCCCTGCTGGCACCTACCGCGTCTGCACCATGATTGCCGCCCAGAACCATCAGCCTGTGGCTATGCCTGTGGCGCAACGCGGTGCTCAGGACGACTGTACAAAGTTCGAGGTCGTAGGCAACGGCAACAACAACGGAGCCAATGGCAACAAAAACGGAGCCAATGGGGCTAAGGACAACAATGCAAACAAGGGAGACCAGGCAAAGGCAGGCAAGGGTAGCAAGAAGGGTGGTGGCAAGACTGGTGGTGCCAAAAAAGGCGGCTCCAAGAACTAATCTACAGCTGAGCTGGCGATTGTGCTTGTTGGAGTAAGGAGAACTTTTATCTCCTCCGGAAGCTTGAACAAACTCAATAGGGACAATGCAGGTTTAGCTTTTACCGGGAGACATGACGAATGTAAGATGCCTGTTGTACGAATATACTTGTTTTCTCCTAGTGCATGACAAGATTGTTGGAGTTGTATATAATTTCAAATCTTGTTAAGATGAGTTCGCTTTATGATTGCAATGAAATCTTCTTCCTTTCTTTTTTAACATTGCGATGCGAGTTCTTGACTTGGTTCAGTCGGACTCTTCCACAATCAACGTCGAAGCCACCCACATCCAGATGGAACAAATTGGCCCGACAAGAACTGCACACGAATTGAAGTTTCTAGCCATACCTCCTACCTACTCCTTGGGACTAAGGTCCATCCAAGTATCCCCATTGAAGAGGCCAGCATCATTGAGCCCAGGTAGACAATCAATGGCTCAAACCGGCCCTGGCCATATCCAGAGCGAACCGGGCCGGTCATAAGCGAAGTCGTGATTGGACCCGTAAGGATGTTCCCAATTCCTTTTCCGAGAGCCATAAAACTGTAGACTGGTCCAGGGTCTTCCGAGAGAACAGAACCAAACTTCTGCCATAGGCATGGAAATCCGCCAGATGCCACGCCATATATCAACGAGAAGGCCACTAGAGGAGCCAATGACGAAGCATAGGCCCACATGAGAAAGCTCGCAAGGGCAGAGACAAAGGATGAGACAAAGACCAGAATAAGAACATTATTGACGCGATCAGACACGTAGCCAAGGCCGAGGTGGCCAAACACCGTTGCCACGTTGCTTGCAGCGAGAATCAACGCACCTGCTGTTCCAGAGAGACCAATGGATGTCGCATATGTCGGTAGATAGAGATAGGGGATATAGTACCCAAGGCCTTGGAGCAGGTTCGACATGGCGAAACAGTAAAAGAGTGGCTGTCGGAGAAAACCAGTATCCATCTTTCGCAGAGCCCCTTGGTTTGACACGGGCAATCGGCCTTTCAGAAGCGGTATAATAGGCAGAACGGTGATGAAAACCCCAACTGCCACGGCACGAAGAGTTGTTTGATATCCGTATTTTGACAGTAGAAGCTCCAAGAGAAAAGGGAAGCCGGCTCCGCTGCAGCCTGCACCGGCTGACATGACCCCGAAAGCCCACCCCCGCCGCTTGATGAACCACTCATTTAGCATACGCAGGATGGGATAGTACACTATCAGAAATGCAAAACCAAACATAACTCCTTGAGTAGCGATGAGGCCGGGGACCGTGGTTGCGAAGGATGCAGCCACGAGGGATACGACGCAGCCGAGCCACCCTACGACAATGAGATGTCGTTGCCATTTCTGATAACGCGCTACCAGGGGCGTTGCAACGAGGCCACCTAGAAAATAGACACTGGTTGCTACGGTACCGATGACAGCTACGTTTGAGTCTTTTTTGAAGTCGGGATGTTTCGAGTAATACTCTTGGAACACACCGTAAGATAACGGGAAGCCTATGAGGAATCATTTATCAGTACCAGATTTATGCAAGACTTGGAATGACGAATCGTTCCTGGGCAAAACATACCCCAAAGTACAGCCTCGATCACAAAAGCCCCAGCCAGAAACTTCCAAGCGGCAGCTCCGCCATCAGGAGCAGGCAGTGATTGGTGTGAAGACTGTTGCCTGTGATCCTCCTCCGTCGACGGAATCTCTTCAAGGGGAATTACTTGTGTATCCGTAGCCATTTTGAGCACTAAGAAACCTACCTGGTGGAGGCAATGGTCGAAGAGTCTCAAATCGGGAAACACCTCAATAGGCTGGCCATCGCGGAAAAGTAAATGCCAGAAGTCGAGACCATGCCTACTGCATTTTGCATATCCGCGTTTACTTACTGGGTACCCCGCACACTTGATGGCGACGTACGAGGACGACATGCGAGACCGAGTCACTGGGCCGAGTCACCAGTTACTTATCCGAACCGGATGACGCGCTCCGGTCTAGGCCCCGGCCCGGCTCGGTTTGGTATCGACCCCTGACGGTATTATAATTTAATTAATCACGTACTAATGCGACCACAACATCAGCTGACTTTTAAGGACGCAGAACCTCGCGACGGATTTGTAGATTGGACCCAAGTTGTTGAAGATCAGTGCTAAATCATACTACTGCAACTTCGTGGAACCTATCTAGTAATCCGTTGTTGACTAGCTCACCATGCATGACTCCATGGAGGTATACTTCGTTCACCAAGCTATAGGATTCGCCATCGCTAGCTTCGCTTCTGTTTTTTCGAAGCAGCAACGGCATTCTGCCACCCTTCACCAACCAAATTTCATCACCTACTTCTGCTTCGGCTGGTCCTAGTCCAATATAGCCGCCACGAGTCTCCAGAAAACATCTGCCAGGTGTAACAAAATGAATGATCTTGGTAAAAGAGTCATCTGTTAAGCTTATCTCAAGGTCTTGCAGGGAGACTGTTTGAAGCAGGTCATCCAGCTTTATGAAAGGTTTGTGGTCAGCCGTATGTTTAGCATAGGCCGCAATGTTTTGACGCCACGTCTCTCGCTCAACACCTTGCTGAGAGTGCCAGTCATACATCATGCACTTCCGTAGCCACTGTTCAGTTCGACTACTGTAATCGCTCTGTACTATTGCTCTCGGCCTTATGTCAGCGGTCAGCGTCTTTACGACAGCTTCGACCATCGATTCACCCCCTGAAACATAAGTGTGATTACGCATGCAATGTTCTAGAATCCAAAGGACGTTCCGAAGAATGCCATGCGTATTGCACTCGAGAGACCGAATGTGCTTGACGGTGTCAAAACATGTACCCTCGAGCGCTAGTTTAGAACCTTCAATGCGGAAAAAGGGCTTAGACAAGCCTTTTGCAGTGCCTGTTGCGTCAAGCGGACCATACCATCGAGCATACTTCATCCGTCGTTGTCGCACCCGTTGCAGAGAGGTGTATTGCTCAGGTCCATGGAAACTAAAATCTGGCACCCAGGAGGGTAACTGCTGACGCCTGCCATCAGGGCTACCTGCTAATCCCAATATGTCCAGGTTGGGTAGATGTTGTAGAAGCCAGGACGTTACCTCAGTAAAGGCGTGCTCAACTGAGACTTCGTAACTGGGGTTTATCCCACTTTGGTAATTCGGACCCAGAATGCGAGGAATCAACCCCAAAGTTCCATAGATATGATCCAATGGGTTTCGGAACTCATAAAATCGTAGTCTGTGGAAGTTATGTAGTACTTCGGCATGCCGAGCTTCCTCATCGGTGGTGGCGCCCCAGCGTCTATCCTGCCAATCAATCAAATGTTTACTAACCGCCCTTTGTTGGAACTCGGGCAACGCAGCCGAAACAGGGTTCCAGAGGCGCTCGATTGTGCCAGGTCTCTTTTTCCATAAAGGGAGGCGGTCGCCAAGTTGCAAATTCAGCGTGTCTTCCCAGCCAACGGTTAACATAAAGGTGCAAAACCGGTTGATAGTGACCCAGCGAAATTGGCTTCTGCCACAATAGAGAATTACAGCATGCGGCTTCGGTATCGCCATTTCTTGAACGACCCATCCGCGGGTAAGCCATCTTTTCTTCACGAAAAACGAAAAGAAGTCGGTATATGAATCGCGCCATCGCTGGCAGGTCCGGCTGCCCACCAGTTTGTCAATGACAGGGTGGTCCAGCTCGTGTCCTGCATCTTGAAGCAATTGTAGAATTCTCCGACTTGCACTCGAGCGCCAGAGACGTAACATCAAGGGCGCGAATTCATTCATGACCCATTGAACGTTGTCATTTGGTTCTGAATTGCCCAGCCATGCAATGACGTGGCGAGCAGATTGATAGATCTCGCTCATTAACTGCACCTGGCCCGACCTTTCTGCGTCATTTTTCTGATCTATGCAAATGGCATCGATCCAAAAGTTGAATCCTTCCTGCGGTATGAGGAACCGACGAGTTTTGTCTGCGAAGGCGGATGTGTTCTCTTGGGGTTTTGATGGTTCAAACTTTTCTGACATCTCCTCACTCATTCGTTGCAGGAAATTGAATAGGTTTTCCCCAACTTCTAGGCTTTGCCTGTCGCAATCGATCCGAAAAGACCGGTCTTGTGTCCCTTCATGTTCTTCTTCGTCTGAAAAATCTGGCAATGCCCATGTGTACGATAACGCCCAAAATGGCGGTAAATTGCTTAAGGAATAGGGCCTCAGGCTTAAGGAAAATCCATGTTGGCAATTTTTATCTGGAATGATCCTTAGAAGTCGAACCGACCTCTCTGAAGGTAAGCGCGTATAACTGTACATTGTCCTCTTAATGGCTATTGAAACTTGAATGTGCCTGCAACGTATTGATCCATGGGTGTAAGCCAATATGAGCATTGGATCGGCAAAGGAGTACCAAGGTCTCCTCAGAATGAAAGGGTAACTTATCATTGGGGCCGCTTGGCCTTTTAAATACCAATGAGACCCGCAGTTATGCAAGTGGGATGGTGTGCAGCGGGGTTTGCGTCACAGGAACACAAAGGCCAGTGACAACCAATCAACAACTCAACCAATCAACTCAGCATAAAAAAGCCAACGGTTGCTCGTAATATAAAAGGATTCAGCTAAGTAGCGTCTTACTTGCTGTAGCGTGTTGTGATATTAAGGCACACCTCAGTAAAAGGATTTGAGAAAAAAATCGGTTAAGAGTAGCATTTGGATTCTTCCACTCGTTGTGCTGGAAGACTAGCTATATCCATGGACGAAGTGTATGGAAGTTTACAGTCTTATACCTGTCTTCACTTGTGAGTCCTTCGAGAATGTTTGACTTTAGAATGTGTTCCAATTTATGTCCATGGTAACTGAACCATCACATCCGATGTCTTGCGATCCACTAGACTCCACGTCACTCTGGTGTATCCATAAAGTGAAGCAGCCTCAAATCCACCATCAATCAATGTATTACATAATCCCCGATGGCACAATTGGCTAGCGCGTCAGACTGTTACGACCGACAATGATTGTTTAATCACGATCGAGGTGGTAATCTGGAGGTTGGTGGTTCGAGCCCACCTCGGGGAGATGCGTATACTTTTTGGTCTCTTTAAGAACTCTATGACTGTCTGTACTACTATGAATGCTTTCTCAAACGGTTGGCTCGGCCTCTAATTACTGCAGAGGCTCCTGGTGTCTTCTCGGCCTCATTTTGAAATGTCTCTTTCAACGTCTTATCGTTGCCGATATTGTGTGTTTTAAGAGAATGTCCCGTTAAACGGATTTGCTAAGATTAGCTTTGGTAGACTTTGTCAATGAATAACAAAGATATTGGTGCGCTGATTTAGAAATGCCTGTTATGATGGATTTACTTAGCTGTCTGGCAAAATAAACGTGACTCTTGTGATCACACAAGATGGTTTAAGCTCAGGAAACATGTGTCTAATACTTACCCTACTATGCTAGCAAATATATTTGGGGACATTGCGTCCTGGCCGTGACTCGCAGCATCTGACAGGCAAGATGCGCCCATCTCATCCATATATGCCAGCCTAAGTAACAGTTGATGGATGTATCGCAGGTTGGCGTTGGCCACCCAAAATCATCAACAAATTATTAACATTCTTAACAGTAATAATAATTAAAGGCCAGCCTTATGACAGCGCTTCACTTGTCATTCTCGATCATAGTAACACAAACAAAAGAGAGCCAGACTAAATACCTTTAGTTCACTTCTAGGAGGTGAAATTGAACGATCGGTTTCTTGAGATCACTTACAGAAAATATTCTTAATACTTACAGATCTCTCAATGGTTCTGAAGGTGTACATTCAAATAACAAAGTATCTGGTATTGCTGCCAACTTTCATCGATGTCATCACATTGGAGGATGGTAGTGTTGAAATGGGTGGCCCGAGTGACAATCAATTTAGCCATGGAACCTTTAACTCAAAACCCTCTAGCCTGCTCCCGTGCACCTGTAAGTAAAAGATTACTCGCCTAAATGGAGATTGTTTAAGAGGCTGGTACAATTCAGCGGCAAGAATGTGAGACATATGCAACTAGAAAAGCCCTGTAGCACTCAGCTGTTTTAAAACGGCAGCAGAAAGATGCTGTACTCGAATAATGGGCTATTGTGGTCTATGAGCACCAGTCTAGGAGTGCAATTTAGGGGGATGTCGTGCTGGCTCCGGGCCTCCGGACCCACTCTGCCGCGTCTCGGCCGCGAGGTCACGTGACCTCGCTCCAGCGACCGTATTCTTAAGCGTCCTTCGCTCCGCTCGCTCACTTAGAGAATACAAGCCGTTTTGTTCCTAGTTGATGCCGCCCGTGCCTGACGTCGGTCACCACAGTTATGAGCCCAGCTTACCACATCACCCCTTTCTACTGTTAACCAGACGAAGGGTTCGTGGCGGAACACCATCAACTCCTTACGGTCTTCACAAATTTCGCTTCAAACAGCAACTTCTACAACGAAGATGTCGTCGCAGATATCTGTTCTCACGAGTACGACAAGGCTAACCTGCCGCCGGGACTTCCCCGTTTGGTACGACGCTCTCTACGCCGAAGCCGACGCAGCAGACGTCTGGGATCTCATAGACCCAGACGACACTACGTCTCCGTCAGACCCAAGAGAGGACGATGAAGAACTCTCGATCGAATCATGGATCACGCAGCAGAACGAAAAGCAGCGTAGAACCTATGATCGGAAGCGGAAAGCCTACGATTCGATTCTCCAGCATAGGGCAGAAGCGAGTGACGATACAGGGGAAGAACTCCAGGAGCCTGTAGCACAACCAACTCTCACGCAAAACACGCCCGGGATCTTTGAAAGATATACGAACTACCTCGCTTCAAAATCAGGCCGCGACGTCCTCAAAACTCGTCGGGAGCGGGACTTCGACTCTATTCAGCGTTGGGTTAAGGAAACGGTCGACAAGGACATCCTCTACGCTGCGAGATCGGAGATCCTAGCGAAGAACCAACGTTCACTCCGTGCTCTTATTCAGTACCTTCGGAAACGCTACGCTCCAAGCGAATCAAGCAGTCAAACTACAGTTCGCGAAGAGTACCTTCTCCTCCTGGAAAAGGCCAACACAAGCGTAAACCCCCAGACCTGGCTAAGAGACTTCCATCGAGTACTGCTCCGCGCGCTTCGATTCAGAATACCGGAAAGCCAGGGAACGCTCGCTTCGAAAACTTTTCTTCGAGCGGTGGGACACCGTTTTGCCCCCTCCTGGGCGACCTCCGAGCTCACTGAAATTGTCAAAATGGAGCGCAAGGGGGACCGCATCCCTACTGTAAGTGAATACAGGGATATGCTGGAGGACTTGCTGTATGAGGACACCCTATACGACAAAAATCGGGGTAAAACAAGCGGTGTGTACGCTACCCTTGCCGGTCGCCCGAGCGAAGCAATCTCAGATGGAAAAAGCGGTTCGAAAGGAAAAGGCAAATCCGAAGCGTGCCCCTGCAACAAACCCCACAACGCAAACCCCCTGGAGTGCACCCGCGTGGAGTACGCCCTTACCGGGCGAATCAAGCCTTCCCAGGACAAACTATCGAGGGACGAGTGCAAGGAGATTCGAAAGCGTATCAATCAGTCCGAGAACTATGATCTCCGAGCCGAATTAGCTCGGAAAGGCTGGATCTGGGCGACGGAACCTCCCAGCTTCCGAAACCCAGCGCCGCCTCGCAATAGGTCGTCAGGAAATACCGGCTCTAAAGCGAAATCGCAGCAAGAGGAGAATGAGTCAGAGGTGACACTGAAGAGAAATATCCACGCAGTAACGATCAGCCGTGAACTTCTCCGGGAAATTTCGGACGACTTCGACTCGGACTACGACCAACCAAGCGTATTTGCAACCCCACTGACGGGACCCCATGTTCTGTCACGAAGCACGGTTCTCGACAACTGCGGAGCTACGCACCTTGTTAACAACCTTGACTTGCTTGAATCGTCTTCTATTAAAACGTGCATCGGCGACGAGAGAGTCGACTCAGGAACTGCTTCGTACCCAATCCTAGCAAAGGGAACGTGGATCTTGCCAAAAGCACTAAATGGCCCTGATGGAGACCTCACAGCAGACCTTACGCTCCATAACGTTGGATACGTAGAGAACTTTCACGTTAACATCGTTTCGGAAGCACTCCTCCGAAAGACAGGCATCTGGTACTCCGGATTGGATAACACACTTCGCCAGGGAACGTACAAAAACAGCGTGGTAGTCAAGCATCTTGTTAGGAAGATGAACATTACTTTCTTCGAATATAAGACCGGTTCCCAGTATATTGCTCAGAAGCGAATTACCTCGAGTAACGCAGGAATCGTGAACCATTTGGTGCTTGCAGTACAGGATCCCGCTCGACTCTCGCTTCGTAAACCACCTGATAGGTATGATGACGCCTGGTTATGGCACCTTCGTTCGGGTCACCTCGCACCAGACGCACTAGAACGAATGGTGTCAAACGTGAGAGGAGTAAAGATAAAAGGACCCACGCGTCTGGAATGCGAATACTGCGCGACAGCGCACGCGAAACAGTTAATTTCGAGGCGAACCTCTGAACGGAAAGCAATTCGACCGTACTATAGGGTCTCATGGGATCTCTTCGACTACCCGACAAGCTTTGACAAGAACCGCTGGCTCTTAGTGATCAAAGACGAATATACCGGTCGTCTTTTCGCGTTTCCGCGCGTAAGTAAATCGCACACCTTCGTCTTCGACGCTCTCAGGCACTTCGAACGATGGGTCGCTCGCCAACGAGGCGTCACCCTGTGCAAGCTGAGACAAGACGTAGAACGCGCGGTAATTGCGATAAACGGAATGACTGAGTATCAACTTTGGGCCCAGCATAACGGGATTGAAATCGAAGAGACACCCCCCTACACCAAGGAACCCAATGGCGGAGGCGAACGAGCGGGCCAGGAATTAATAACCCGAGCGATAAAGATGCTCAGCGCAGCGGGCCTGCCAACTACTCTCTGGGTGGAAGCAGTCATGGCAGCCGCCTACCTGTACAATATGTCACCACGGAAGCGAAGAGCTTGGCTCTCACCAATTCAAGTCGAAGAGAGCTGGTTCCGACAGTATTTTCGCTGGTGGCAACCACAATACAGCGCGAGCCTCGCCCGCGACCTTCGCCCCCACTGGGGCTGGACGTACGCGTATGGGTGTAGGGCTTATCCCCTGAAAAAGGACCGCGAAGCGGATAGGAACAGACGTAACTTCAAGGTGGAACCGCGAGGACATATTGGATATCTGGTGGGCTACGTTATGGACGCTCACAACCTATACAGAGTCTGGATACCCTCGCTTGATCAAGTGATTA